GCCCCCAGCTGGTCAGTATCAGGCACCCTCCAGGGCCTCCAACTCCTGCCAATTGGAGCCTTCACTGCTACATCAAAGTATCCTCCGATAAACTGCAGCTGGAGGGCATTGGCATAACCAACTGACATGCAGTAAACTACCCTCAGAGAGTAAGGGTTAATATTTAACATGGCGTCACACGTGACCCATGACGAAGTCGTCATGATGTCACAACAACTTTTATCTAGAACACCTGGTCTATATACATACCAAGTTTCACCTCAATCGGACCTGCAGTGCTGGAGATATAGGCCTTCAAAATATTCACCTACTGTATGTTGTGACGTCACTTGACTCAAAATGACACCATGATGACTTCAATGTATCGGCACACTGTTCTAAGTGTATGCCAATTACATTTTTTGTAAATATAAAGGTAATCGGATTGATTTTAGTGCCCAAAGTGCCATGCACGATGAAAACGGGAAATGGCTGAAAAAGAGGGGGAAAAAAAGAAAACAAATATTAACAAAAACAAAGGCTTTCAGCAACTGCCAAAATTACAACCATCAATGTCAATTAAGTCCTTCAGACCAGTCTGAAAACAACATTGCAAACAAGAACAGAGAAAAAAAAGACGTCACTCTAACTTTGTTTAATTTGAACCAACAGAGAAGTTCTGTTTCCCATTCAGGAACAAAATTGAACAGCAACATAGGTGATAAGTACCATTATGCCTATGTTCATATTCATCTAATGCCATTTGATTACAAAGGTGCCCGCACATCAAAGTACTGAAAATTTCACACAAAAGGTTGAACTCTATTCTACAAACTACATACAGGTGACGCCAGCTACATGCAATTTTGTATCGAACAGCTAAATCCTTCAAATATACAGCTACACATACTTATAACTGATTTCATAGGGGGTTCATTTTTACATTTAAATGACTACAACATAGGCACACCATTACCATGGTAGATATTTACCAATACCTATACTTAAAACTTGACATGGAAAACATCAGTAAACTTATTCATATAAAATTTTCCAAATATCTTTGTGACAATGAACATGAATATACATACATTTATATTTTTATGAGAAACACCTGGTCGTGATCTGTACATGTAACACAGTTCCCCACATCACAGAAACCAATTTTGATGCTGCAATGTACACAATTGAGTTCTTTCGACACCAGAGTTGATCTGCAGCAATTTCTATACACATGTATACAATTAAAGGTGTGCCATAAAACACTTAACACAAGTACCAAGTCAAAAAAACTCCTTTCCGCAGCATATTATAAAAGCAAGGATTAAAGGAAACATGTTATAGGATTTTAACGACTTTAATACATTTGAACAGCTTTCTTGCCAAGTAACTTTGACTTTCCACCATTTGTAGCAGTAAAAAAAAAGGGAGAAACCTCAACATTTTAGTTTTTATGCTAATAAAAATTTCCATATTCATGAGGCAAAGCGTGATCAAGGCAGAACAGTAGTGTCTCCATAGCTTTGTGTACAAATATATATCAAACTTTTCTTCATTTTCCTGGAGTAAGTTCCTCTTTTTAACTTGATTATCATGTTTAAACAGCTTGTTTGGCATGTTTGGACAATAGAAGTGGCCAATATTCTTCAAAACAGTTTTGTGGGTAATTTTGAAGGACTCTTTTTTTGTACTATTCAGTACCAGTTACAAAAGCAAAATAGCGCCCTCTTACATGTGTTGATGAAAGGATTTGCCAATAATTGAACTTACCACTTTCTTGTCACTTCCAATGAAAACAAGTATTGAGATCTTGTATGTATTGTTGCAACACATAGTAATGTGCATGAAAACATGATGAGCTGAAACTGTACGTTTCCTTTAAATTGACAAAATTGAAGATATTTAGTACTGTTCAATCCACTTTCAACTGAAAATTTCAAAAAGCCAACCTTCTTTTACGTGAGGTTTCCACATTTGACTGACCCTAGCTTTCTCCCTGAATTGTGCTGTAAGTAATACACATATAACTATCCATCCACCTTCCCAAATCTTCATTCTTTTAGTTCCGTAACAAATGTATACACGGTTTACTCACAAATGCAACTTCAACAAAAAGTGAAAACAGAATGAACACATTGTAATATTTCAGAACCATCAGAACAACACTTTGGTTTGTTTGCTTTTTCAAGTAAATAACTCTATATAGTTTGGATTTTTGGCATTAAACTTCCAGAATACAAATATTAAAATGATGCACTCAGCATTCTATTTTAATTTGTTTTGACCTTGGTTTTCATGCAATATTGTCCTTTTTTGGAAGGTTTTTAAGTTTTGATTGTAAAGCGTCTTGAGTGACAGATTTGGCACTATAGGCCTATAAGATTATTATAAGTTCAATTTTAATGGTACTGATTATAAATGTATAGCCAAAACTCCAAAGCAAAGGATTTGCTAGAGGCATCTGAATAAAACTTGTAGACCGCTGTTCCCAAACTGACGTCTTTGATAACAAAAAAAAATTAAAAAGGACCCTCTTAATTGTTATGTTTGCCAAAATGAAATTCTGGTAAAGTTAATCAATGAACTGTGGTCAGGGTACACAATACATGTTTGTGCCCCTCCGCTGGTCCTGCCAGGGTAAATGAACTGCACCATGTGCATTAGCAACAATCACATCTTAACCAAATTAGTTATTATCTCCATTCCCAGGATCAGGTCATATCATACTGTACATCCTTATAAATAATTAGTGTCAATCAAACCTCATGATATACAGTGTATCCAAATGTATACTTTGTATCCAAACAAATTCAAACAAAATATAACTGAATGCCAGACATAGAATGTGTAACCAACATTGACAATATAGGTATGGTTTAAAAGAAACATCTTTCCAATTTAAAATGAGACATCAAACATCCAATACCGATGATTTTGAGAGAGTTATGAGAAGCTTTCCAAGAGAGGTCAAATTGACCACAGGACCAAGTTTTTAATTTTAGGCATTGGGACAAAGGTAGCCTAATTGCCCCTGTGTGGAAATTTGACTGGCCTATAAAAAAAGGTCTTGAGCGAGTAAGCACCAATCCAAACACTTTCTTGCTATCACCTCATGCTAAAAATGTTTAGCATAACATATTTACAAACTGATAACAAGAAAGTGTTTAGAATTTTGTTTACTAGCTAAGCACATTTTTTGTCAGCTAGGCAAATATCCACACAGAGGCAATTAGGCTGCCATTGTTCCAATGCCTAAAATGGAAAACTTAGTCCCATGGTCAATTCCACCTCTCTTGTAAAATTACTTTCAACTCTGTCAAACATTATCGGGTTTGGACGATTGATGTCTCATTTTAAAGAGGAAATATGTATCTCTCAAACCATACCTATAATATCTATGTTGGTTACACTGCATTCTACGTCTCGCATTTACACAATGTAGTTATATTTTGTTTGCATTTTTGTTTTTATACACACTGTATAACTTTACTATTTTCATGCCATGCAAAGGATTAATGCAAGTACTTTTATAACAAACGGGGAATATACACACAAAAAAGAAGTATTTCTACATGATTACGCAGGTACTGGAAATGTCCAACATACACAAAAATATACAAGCTATAAGCTCTAGTAAATTTCCTGAAGACCGCATTATATGTTAAAAAATAAACACACACAAAGTCCCTATCCATGTTAAAGTACTTCAACAATAATATGAACACCTTACATTTGATATATTACAAGTGTAAAAGTACACTGTTATCTATGTTGGAACAAATTATAACACTAATCTGACACCCTTTTCAACACTACACTACTTAGCAATAATATATTGGCACTTAACATACTAGGGTTTTACCTATTAAAATTTCTTTACCAAAAAAACCCCACAATTTTTTGGTTATACTTATACTTTTTCCTTTCTCAGTTTACTTTAAAGAGAAATCCTGCGTTTCCACGTACCTTGACAACCTATCCAAGATATAACAATGAAGTTAAATTTCTTGTAAGGAAAAATATATTGTTTTCCATGATATACCAATTATTTGCTGTGGCATTATACTATACTTCTTTAGTTCACAGTAAACCGCAAACACCTCCATACTACTCAGTGTTGAAGGACTCAAGTCAAGGACTCAGACGAGTCCATCTCGACTTGCAATTTCGGTAACTCGGACTCAACTCGAGCCACACTGGCAAAATACTCGGACTCAAGCTCCACATTACAACTCTGATTTGAAGCTAATGACTCGTGATTCAAAAGTTAAATCTTGCTCCACTAAAAAAAAATTACATTTTTAGAACATGATTCTGATCCCCCCCCCCCCCAATAAGTCGCGTTTAAGTAAAGCTGACGAACGTTAAGCACACAAACCGTACCGCACCATGTGCCAGGTGGTGTTGCAAATAATAATGTTGGTTATTAAAGGAACCTCCCTAATTCTGCAACAGCGCATCACTTATGGCTTGGATGTACATGTAGGCTCAAACCAAATGACTCAAGACTCAATCTTGAACTAAGTGACTATATCACTGATGCTGGTCGACACACAATATAGTGCGCAACACAAAGTGGTCACCAAAAAATCTTAAGTACTTCTAGCACTAGCAGCACATGGTTATGGTAATGAACGTCTTGGATTACTCATTTATCCAATATACCAGAAAAATATACGACAAGCATAGGTTTTGTTGGCCTCATGACCACCCATCTTAACCCCTAGGGTGTATGAAAAATCATATTAAAGTAAGTGAGTGAAATCAATATAAGTAATATAAACGATATGAATCTATAGCAGATGTTTGATGTTTGCAAAAGGTGCATGTTTGGGTAAATAGGTGCAATATGATGAATATAACACAACAGTTACTTTCAAATTTTCAGGAATGCTGCAAACTTTCAGCAAATAAATGCAATCTCAGTGTATTACAAACACTACATTATTCAATCCAATTACAATATATACATGTATAAACTTCACATAAATACTTGTAAACCTATAGTAGTACTTATAGTAGCACAAAACTAGTTCTTGATATTACATTGCTGGCTATCTAAAACACAAAACCACATCGTTCAAACTTACGTATATGCACCAATAAAAATGAATAGTTGTGAATTTTGCAAAACTGCACATGAATACTTTATTTCCAAAAGACGGTATAGCCATTTGGAAAAAATAATTTCAAAACATTCCCATGATTTTGAAACCATGCAACCCTAACTCCCTAGGGGGTATGCAAAATCGTATTAAAATTGGAGGATTTGGGACTGTTAGGGGCTAAACAATAACAATAGTATAATAACTGTTTCTGAAATTCATTTTTCGCTTTGTTTTCTTCTGAAATTGAGCTCAACTATCTAAATCCTGTCTAAACTGACTTAGAGCAGCCAGGAAATGGTGGAATTCTTAACAAAATGGCGTTTCTCACGTTATGGAATCTCTCCACATTTTAAATATGAATTCTGGGAGGGTTTATTTTTGTTTCAACTGAGATTGCAATTTAACACAGCATTTGATACATGTTACAGCTATTCAATGCTGCTGGGGCCTATGCAAAGTCACCATCATAATGACTCGAGTCTATAATTAATATGGAAAAGAAATACTTAATAATAGATTAATGAAATGAATTCAACATAAAATACAAAATTTGTTCCTGGAAAAGATAATTCAAAGCAGCAGTAAAAATCAATTGCAAATATTTTAATAAACTTGGTCCATTTATATCGGGTAAAACTTTTAGAAACTTTTACCATCAGTTTAAAGTTGACAAAATCTAGGTTAACAATATATGGGTACAAATATCTCAAAATATCCCCAACAGGAGCAGGCAAGATCTGGCTCAAATCAAATATTGATGCATGGGTCTTTTTTTTAGCGCATCAGCATTAACCCTAAAAGGGCTACCCCTATACTTTTTCCACGATTGCCTTGAAAATTTTTCAGAACCCCAGCTGTTCCGACTTTTTAGCCTCGAGTCTGCCCATCTTTTGATACCAGAAACATACAATTCGGAAAACGGGTTGCCGCGCAGCAAACTTTTCCGGTGCTACACGCCACGAAAACTGAATTTCCCCAATAAACGTAGTGTACACGAAGTAGAGTTACCATTCGTGCATATGAATAATTAATTAGCCATAATTCCAAAACCTTTGACCTATAGACATGAAATGTCTTGGGTATGTTCATGATAACTTGTTCTATGCATGTACCGAGTTTCATAATTTTTTGTCCACCGGCGCAGCTGAGAGATGGTCCTTTTATGGTTAATATCATCTCTACGAAATTATGTTCTTGTTGGAGAATGAGGACTCATGATCACGAATTATTGTAACCTACACTTTTGCGAAACTATACTGTACATCTACGGTTAAATAATTGCACTTTTTTACACAAATATGTTATCTTTGATTACATGTATGACTTAAAAATATTTCAGTGTGAAAAAGCAATAAAAGGAATATATCAGTTAATGAATTTGCACACACAATCTTCCATTGTCAAAACATAAAATTAAGAAAATTAAACTGCAATGATTGTCTTTTCTATGTCAGCTGTTATCACCTGATCGTGATTATTTGTCTATTATTTGAACAAAGAAAGTACTTCTTTTAGTAAACTGGAATGTATTAAAATAAACGCAAAGTATGCCAGGAAAGCTTTTAGCATGTTAAAATATTCAGTGTGTTTTTGGCATTCACATCTTATAACATATGCCATGCACTGTTTTGGACGTATCGGAGTGGACAGCAAAATAAGGTTTTTGAACAAATACAAGTACATGTAGTGTCTTCAATATATATTTTTTTAAACGTAGTTGAAAAGTACAGCAGTGAATACATGTAATTTTTCTTTTCATTTGACTAAGTGCCCGATATTACTGCTAAATGAACAACAAAATACTACACTCAGGTATCTTATGTATACAAGTCCATGTAGTACAATATGACTTTTTGCAAGTCGATGGCCCACTTAATGTGGCACTTCTGTACATGTAAGTCTTAAAACAGCATACATGTTAAAATGTTAATGTACAATGTACATGTACAAGGAAAATACCGGTAGGTGAACAAATAACCAGAAAATCTCTCCCAAAATTAAATTACCCTTTGGTTAGTGTAATGTGAACCAACCAACCAACCTCAAGACTATTCTGTGCTGTAAGTAGAAAAGCTTTGCTAACTTGAACAACATCTCCCTAACTCTGTTCTATATGGTGCCCTTCCCCCTATCTCCACCACCATCAGACAGTGTCACCTTCGGCTAGCCGGTCACGTTTATCAACATAATGAGCCAGCTAGTCAAGTTGTCCTCTTGAATCCTGATGCCCCTCGACGAAAAATTCGTCCCAACATGACCCTGAAAACATCCATCGAGCTAGAAACTGGTCTGCGTGGTCCATCTCTTACCAACACTATGCTCGACAGGGACAGTTGGGCCCAACTCATCAAGTCATCATGAAAATGAATGAATTAGGAAGAAGAACTTGTATTCTATTATAGGAGATAGATTTAACTGTTTTTGCTTTGTTTTAACTTGGGACGGACTTGGAGGTTTTTTGGGGTAACAACCCCAAATGAACAAAGGTACAAGCAGTCAACTTTTCGCTATGCTAAAGCTTCTCTTCAGCACAAGTCTTTACACAAAGAATAAATGGAGATAAAGAATGGATTTCAGAGGCAAGATCAAAAGATAGCAGACTTGTACAAATAAACAGGTAAAATTTGAATTTTTGCAAAGTGCAAACAGCAACACACAGTCGTGAATTTCTATACACCAAAGGACAATGCTTTGTGTTTCCCCGTGTCCCTGTAATATGAGACATTTCTATAGACTAAGCACATAACCGTATGATCGAGGACCGTTTTCAACAAAAGACCCAATGCTCGAGGACTGAGAGGATCTTTTGTTCTCCCTTTGTGTGTCTGTCATTTATCACAAAGCAATACATGTACACACACTCTTGTTTTACTATACTCAAGAGGGCAATGCTTTGTGTTTCCCACACTCTCCCATGGACAAATCACACAAACTTACTACAGAGGACCGTTTCCAACAAAAGACCCAACTGTGTGTCGGTCCTCGGGGGTTATGTAGAACACGTACACTACTTATTACCACATAATACACCTTTGAATTGTTCACCACATATCAGGATATCCTCATCAGGTTGGTTTGAAATCTAGCATGCCTGATAAACAGCATAATATTTCAATATACAATCACTGAAGGAGCTCATTAAGCTCTCTAAGGCGGAATAACAGCTTGGATAATCTGATCATCGCAGAAATGCCCACACCCAGACAAATCCTGGGATTGCTATACTGCGGGGGAGTGTACAGTCCCCTTCTTTGGATTCTTAAGATACACTGCTGCCGGTGCTGTCTTTGGTGTCGCGACTGATCTTCCTAGACCCCTGCATGCTGTGTCCTTCCTTAGCCAGGCGGTCCAGGTCTAGATGGCCTAAGTTTTCCTCACCCAGAAGGAATCGTTCCAGCTTGTCAATGCAGGCATCCTGGTAGTCATGAATCCACCTGTGGTAGTGGGTAATCAGATAATGTTAGATAATTGCCATTGGCTGAACAAGAAAACAGAGAGTGAAAAACCCTGAAACTGTTATTTAGAATGCAGGGTGGTACAACTTCAAAATGGTCATAAATGGTACTTGAAATGTTCCTGTAAAAGCCATGTTCACTTTGAATTTTGGGAGAGTTTAGAGAGAAATGACAAAAAGCATTTTCAATGGTTGAATGTTATCAATACTTACTGTAGAATGGACATTTTGATTGAGAAATCATACCCAGTCAACAAACAGTTAGCAGAACAGTTGTGCAATACAGGGTGGATAAAAAAGAAAGAAACTGAAATATTATTGCTCATTGGAACAGAGGTAGGGCACATGTGAATCAAAGGGAGATATCCTCTGTTAGTGTTGAATCTCCTCTTTAAAATGACACCCTAGTCATGTCATTACATTCACAGTTAACTGAACAGTGACCAAAGGGTCTATTTAGAGAATTGCGCCACTTTTCAATTGTGGTTTTTGTTGTGTCGTTTGTCACAGAGTGAAAGGCTATGCATGGTTGCCAATCAAGGCAGGCGTGAAAAAAGAGATTTCACCATGAAAAGTGGCGCAAGTCTCTAAATAGACCCTTTCATAAAAATTGGTCACTGCTCAGTCAACCATGAATGTAATGACATGATCAGGGTGTCATTTTCAAGAAATGACACGTCAGGATTAAAGTCTTAACAGATGATATCTCCCTTTGATTCACATGTGCTCTACTTTAGCAATACTATCTGGGTTTCGTTTTTTTGTATCCACGCTGTATAAAGCAGAAAACTGTCCTAATCTTAAGCACTGTGCTAAGCAATTTGTCCTTTTTCCTTTAAGGTTAGTGAACCTTGTGATGTGATTAAGACTTAACCCTCCTACTATCTGAACAATCACAGACAGTCAAAAAATCCCCTGCCATGCCTTTTTAATACACAGGCTAGGCACAAACAGTCAGATCAATTTTAAGGCAAGCAATATGACTAGTCAAATTCAGTCAACAGACAAAAGCAGGTAAATGGTAGGCACAGCTGGCTTATCAATCACATACAGTCAAAGCATTGTATCAAGTTACATAAACAGTCACAGCCAGTCAATCCTGCTTAATGTGGGCTGGGAGCTCGTAATTGTTGAAAACAGTCACTTAACTTGACTTTGACTGAAATGACAACTTGGCACAGAATGTATGTTTGCATGGGAGGGTTAAAGTTTTTGTGAAAAAGAAAGAGCCTCTGTTAGCAAAACAAATTGTGTGCTTAGCTGTGCCATGAAACCGGCCCCAGCTCTTTTGATATATGTGTATGTCTTACTTGATGCCATTGAAGAAGATAATGTTCCTCATATCTTCCGGGAGTTGCTCAGGTTTAGGCCATCTGAAGTTATCCAGGACGGGTACAATGTTACACTTACTATCTATCGCCGCAACTATTTCCTGTATTTCAAAACAATTAAGCAAGATAATCAATAACCTAACAAACACTGCAATGGTAATTATGCCTATCAGTGGCCCACCCAAGGAGGGGGCCTCAGGGGATAACCCTATCCCCCCCCCCCCCAAAGGTTGTCATATTTTTTATTTTATTTTTAAATTGACCTTGGTGATATGTATGTGGCCTATTTTCGAGTAGTATAATAGGGGTGTTATAATTTTGATTCACCACCAACGTGGTGACACCAACGTTAAAATATCCCCCCCCCCCCCCAAAAAAAAAAATTTTGAGCCCCTCCCCCCCCCCCCCCCCCCCCCCCCGAAGCCAAATCCTGGGTGCGCCCACTGATGCCAATACAAGCAATGTATGACACAATTATCCATTGAGTTTATAGCAATACTTATAGCAAGAAAATGTCATGAACAAAATGATATCTGAGTGAATCAAAATTTCATATTGATTGAAAAGACGTACTGTCCCTTCTATTTTTTTAGCTGTGGGATAGCAGCTCAATCAAATCATCATGTCTCTCATTTAGTTAGTTAAGACAAGATAAGTTTGCGGTAGCACCATATGAATAAATCTCGTTTGTGAATATGTGTGGTTCTGAAAAGAATGGGAGGGATTCAACGTTTCGAACAGTATGCTCTGCCCGTCGTCAGGAGAATGAGGGATCCAACGATGATGCGATGTTATAAGGATGGGGGTGGTGAGGCGTGAGAAGGATGTAAACTTTAGTTAGTTAGTTAGTAACAAACGTTGACATTGTCTATTGCTCCTACATTCTTTGACCAATTTCAACCAAACTTTGTCAAAAGTATCAGTAACCCAGTCCCAACATGTCACATGACCAAACTGGGGTCCAAGGTCATCATGGGGTCACTGGAGTCAAAAACCTATTTGTTTTTTACTCAAAACACTACTCCTTCCAGAAATTGCATGGCACAATCACGTGACTCATGCATGAACATGAATTCATTTGGCCGCAGCTTCCAAGATATTTCCAATCGAGCTTGTTGAATTCCATGTTGAAAACATTTTTTTATTGTTATTTTTCTGGCAATTAAAAAGTTATTTACTTTTTAATGCATGGAATGAAAACAAAATCAGTCCATATTTATTGATGGAATAATTCATTTCAAATTTCAATTATGAATAATTCAGCTCTTACAGACTGGTTCTCAACTCCGTTTAAAATAGATACTGTAGGGACTGGAAACCAGTGCAAATGCAGGGGGTACATGTATATATTTGTGCACACTAGAAGCAGTTTGTGAAAGACTGCAGTTGCCCCCCCCCCCCCCCCCCCAAAAAAAATAAAAGAAGAGAGTTCTTCATTAAATAAAACAATACATTTAAAACTTTGTCAGTAGATTTTTTTAAACGAATATGCAAACTACATTCTCAGACTTGACTACTTTGTCCAATTGGTCAATGTTGTCCACGTTCTTACCCTATGCACCCAGTCCTTTCGCTCATTGTCTTCAAAGCAACGGTCTAGACATCCTGATGACAGAACCAAGACAAAGTTGCGGGCATGCCGTACACTCTTCAGCAGATTGTTGTCAAATTTACCGGCTTCAAGCTTCTCAACATCAATGAAAACACTGAACCCTCTCAACTGAAGGTGAACCTTCAGCAAACTACACCAAAAAAAAAAGGTAACAAATTTGTCAAATATATTTCAGAGTCTCCCTTTAATTTGTTTCTTTGAAATCATATATTATAACTGAAAGATGACAAAATAAACAGTTTAAATTTCTGTCCTTCATGCCACTTCAGAGTGGAGTTGTTCTGTCCATTATAGGTAATCTCATTCCTAATCTTATTCACTCTGGATTCATACATGACCCTTTTCAATCCACTTTGTGTCCGTTGCAAAGTTAGGTCCTTTCTAAACTGTAGGACTAACTATGCTATGGACGGACATGAAACAGCCTGAATCTCAAACAATCAGAAGCACTATGGAGTATTGCACCCCTTGCTTGGACGTAAGCCAGCGAGACTCAGTTTGACAAAGCTGGATGATATTTAGCAGATAGCTCTGAAAAGCATTAAGGCACTCACTGGTACTCCAAACATTAAATCCTTGTCCCATAGAAGAAATGTGGTAGGACTGGTTTACAAATTCATACAAAGGAGGCACCAGAGCTTATGAAATCTATGTTACTTCCCCAGTACGGACAAGCAAGGACAACTAGGAGAAGCTAGAATATGAGCACTCATGACTTCAGTGCCCTGACTGGATGGACAGGGATCTGGTTACTGGTCCCTGCATCAATATGGCAGATGCTTCATGCCTGTCACTATCCCTGCATGGCATAGTCTTCCAAATGAGATTGTGGGACACCCTCATGATGATAACCCATTTGATTTAGTGATTATTTATTTATTATTGATCATTATTGAAGTCTGAGTATTTCCATTCTGAGTCCAGCACCCGATTTCACGAAGCCCTGCAATGCGTCGCAACTCGAGTTGCAACACGTAACTTGCAATGCGTCGTATGATCCTTTTCACCACAGTGCTGCAATGCATCGTACGCTACAATGAGTTGCATGAAATCGGGTGCAGATCCAAACCAAATTCTGCTTAACCCTGTAGTCACTATAGCACCCAAAACCGACCTGCCTATTACTCCCTGTAGTGCCCGAGCACTCAATGGTTTCATTGATTTTTCAAGTTCTTAAATACAATATATTACAATGAAATCCATGTCCTAAAGCAAGCCGCAATTGTTTTTTGTCAAGTCATTCAAGTTGAAGTATTATGTGATGCGATCAAGCTAAATGAGTCGTTTGTCGACACTGGTCAAAAATTGGTTTCTTTCAGATTTGAAAAAAGCAGAATCTCAGCATTACTGATGTAAAAACCGCATGCTAGTACCATCTTTAGTTAAAAAAATATGGAAGTTGGAACACCAAGAGATGTGATGAAGTGATGTGATGAAGTGATGTGATGAAGTGGCCCTATTTTGGCCTGAATCTCCAAATAAACATTCCCGACAAACGACTCATTTAGCCTGATCGCATCACATATCAAGTTTATGTATTCAAGTTTAAGTATTATATTTCATAGGTCATCTCAGAAACATTACAATGATTCACCTTGCTAGGAGGGATCCAGTAGCCCTCCTGTAGCTGATGAAAACATCCAGGAACTTGGGATTGTTACGATTGTCAGGCTGGTCAGCAACAATGGCAGGGATGGGAACAGGTGTGTGAGTCGGGCTGTCAAACACTTTAGGGAATTTGTCCACACCTGTTGGGTTATAACAAAGATGAGAATGATAGATATGAGAGAGAAGGTTCAAACATATCAAGGGCACTGTTAATGTTTGTGGTGCTCCTCTATGTTCGGTGACAGTGTTGTCGGACTCGAGTCCGGGACTCAGACTCAGTCCATCTCTAATTGCAGTGAATCAGACTTGAGTCCATCTCTGTATCAGTGTATTGGATTTGACTCAAGTCACTTTAGCAAAGGACTGGGACTCGTCCATCAAGACTCAGATGCTTGTGTCTCGTGACAGATGAAAACCTAATGCTAATGTCTTGTGACTCGGACCGTTTAGGTCCACGCACATCTGTTTCGTAAAATGAACAGGGCCCAATTCGATGGCACTGTTTACTGTTACAGAAAAAATGTCTGCTTACTGTAGCAGAAAATTATGTGCTTAAGGTATAAGGTAAGCGTATTTCATGGGTTAGCGAGGAATTTTAGCTTCTGCGTATGTGTACATCCCATAACTACGGATTCTAAGCTTACGGGGTTAGTGCAGAATGTTTCTGCTAGCATTGTTAGCACAAAATGGAGACCGTAAGCGCGGAATAATGTGGTTATAGCAGCGCTATGAATTTAGGCCTAGGTCTGCATGTAGATGTTCACACCAGAAAATGACTTGTGACTTAGACTAGAATCATATGAGTCGAGATTCAGATTTGGACTCCATCCAAATGAATTACATTGGACACGGACTCGACTCGTGACTCGACTCGTGACTCAACTACAATACTGTTGAGTGGTGAGGACACTTTCTGTACCATCTAACAATACACATCAACACTTCGAAGCTTTTCTCTCATAGAGCTTTACATGGATACATGTACACATACCAGTACTTAAGTTTTCCATAATTGTTATTGACAATATGGCATTGTTTTGCATCATGTATGCATATGCAAACACTTAGCTATCGGAGGTGTTATGAATGGCATTACAAATCCAAAATGGCAGCCTCCACGAAAGGCCTTGTATGTGCAGTCAATCTTGCTTTGGTACAGTGGCAAATGATACACACCGGTATATGCTAAGCGATCCATCCTCTTTCAATCAAATCTTACACATTATTAAAACAAAATGACAAAGAAAGTGAGAGTTGACAATTTAGGGCAAGTTCGCGCAAGGACTATAGTTAACCATTGTTCGACTAACGCTTGCCCGAACTCTGTCTAGTCAACGATGGTTGACTACGCTAGTCGACTATTTGGAACCAAACTAATGGGGCTGGTTGCATTGCTGGTAACCAATAGCCGCGCACATTCATAACGTACAGCAGGGAGCCAGGATCCAGAAGTTTTGAGATGACATTTTGACCAGCGTTTGACTACAGACGTTCGCACGTTGCTATTAGTGCGCAGGCGTAAGGTACGTCACAAATCAACCACTAGTCGACTAATGGTCCTTGCCCGAACTTGGCCTTAGTACCGTCACTGACACATAGTAAATTATTGTCTAGGGGCTAGACGTTGCTATGGTTTGATACACGATAATCCGCCGCCCCGATAACCCACCGCCGCGAGAGGGCGCTATCACAACTAACCAATATCCCCCACGGACTTGTCAGCAGCATCTAGCGTATCTCCTAAAATCTCTCCCGACTTCTACTGGCAATTACGGTCCATTTTCAGTCCCACATACTACACACACAAAAAAGAGCTGACCAGTGGAGTTGCACAAACTCTTGTTGCATCTTTTCTAGCACTTACACAAATTTGAGTCTGCTTCGTAACTACTATCAATGCAGTATCTAGTATCTACAACATAGTATCTACAACATAGTTTTAGCTCCAGCTCTATATTTTAAATTCCTGATGAGCATTGGAGCTGGAGTTAGACTAAAGCTAACTTGATTCTAGACTTACTTCTTTTCCTCTGTTATCCGCAAAATAGGATAGTCTACTTAAAACTGGTGGAAATGGTACATAATAATAACTGCAGGCAAGTACACCAACGTGTGGTGACACCCCATGCAGGAAGTGATACTCAATTTGAAATGGTCTGGATTATTTAAACAGTCAGATGTACAATGCCATAAACTCTGACTTAATCTACATATGCGTAACTGTCAACAGTTAGGCTATCCTATGTCATCCTTGTCACGTAATGAGATTCTGTTGAAGTACTGGATCCCCAGGAGAATCTCACAGGACTGACAACCAAGATTTGCAGGATGCACCTTTTTGGCATGCAAGTCATGCAATTAGCCTTTATGATGGGGTGGACATTGGACAAAATAGAAGGGCACTATTTTGGAGTGGGTACAGACCATAGAGCTATGTTAAATTACTAGAGTGATGACTCGTAGCAATCCATGTTAGTGCACAAACTTATGGAAAACTCCAAATTTTGTACAACTTCTGTATGGCTATTTGCATGTATCCGCAATTGTATTTTATACAGATGCTTTACTGAAGCCGAAAACCAAAACGTACAATCAGTATATGAGCGTTTCATGTTGCTCTGCTCAAATACTGAAGAAGTTGAGGGAATGCAAATTGTGATTTGGCTGGCGTTGTTTTTATTGTTTATAATGCTCAGCCATGCACACATTTAGGCCTAGATTATACTGTCTCTGCCTCAACATATTGACAGTGATTGCTGGAGGATTTTGCAGGATTGAGGCAGTGGTCACCCCTCCAAGGACCACATTCAAGAAATAACAGAGAATTGTCCAGGATAGGGGCTGATGCTGTACATGGAGGCAGTTGGAGGATTTTGCGGGATTGAGGTTGCATCCTCAATCGAGCAAAAACAAATGCCTTGGGAGTTAGGGTTCAGAGACCCAAAACAAATAGTTATCTTCTGGTTGAAATGAAAGTGTTACAATTGTGTCGCTGGAGAACAGAGTTATACTAGCCATAACAAAATAAACAAAATGAATACGGTACTGTGATCATGGACAGTAAAAGTACACGTACACTATTTCATTTCTTGTTTTCTTCTGGTGCAGTCATGTTGGTGTTGGCAATGAAATATAACATCAATTTTAAGGGCAATACTATTTCTTTATTACCAAACACCTCTTATTTCTCCGAAGAATGGCAGAAATGTTTTGAGTGAATATCGATCAACAAAGCTTTGTTATTAATGCTCCATTTGCTATTGATCAATCCATTTGAGGTGTAGACTACACCTACAACTGACTACACCTACACTGTATACATGTACATGGCTGTATTACATTTTTAACACTCCTCATCCTATAGCTATAATTACTCAATGTGAACGTGAAAGTAATTAACACAGACACACCTGTGACATCCTTTCTTTTATTAAGTGTTGTACATTTACAGCGTTAACATTTGCAATTGACGTCACCGGCACATCCAGCCATCATTAGCTTCTTTGATATTTGGCTGACACAATATGAGGTTGCTATTTTGAGGGATTCAAAATGCAAATTTACATACATCTACATGTACATGTACATAGATGATGTTCATAAAAAAAATAAAAGGGAAAAGTTAGTATACAGCACAGGGTGAGTAAAAAAAAAAGCGGAACCCAAACCTCAAAAATTATTTTTCATATTTGAAAAAATATGTAGCATCAAACATAATAATGACTGGAAAGCATATTTCATAAGCTACTTTTAGATGAAAAAAATTACTGAAATTGCTAAATCCGTCCAAAATATATCACCATTTAAACACAATGACCCGAAAACCACTTTAAATTAAAAACAAAAACAGAAAATACGATTTCAAGAATCATCGTCACAATCGTCTTCAAACATCACCAGCGATAAAACCGCAGTTTAAAAGTTAAACGCGTTCAGCAAAGTCCTTTTGAAGGCCTGTCTTAAAGAAACAAGGATTTTATAAATCATATTGTTTGCCTATTCAGGGTTGTTAAGATATTGTGTGCTACAGTTGTTGACAGTTGTTGAAACAAGTATTCTGTATCATTTTCTTTGTTGTTCGAAACAGTCAGAATACACTATAAGTTGTTTTTTTTTGGACGAAACAGGTTTTAGGGTCATGGCTTTAGGTTTAGGTTTTAGGGTAAATGCACTATAAAAAAATTATTATTAACGAATTATTTGCCCATCAGTTTTTACAGTGTGGTGATATTCTTTGAACAAATTGAGCAATTTCAGTAATTTTTCATCTAAAAGTAGATATGAAATTGGCTTTCCAGTCATTTTTTTGGGGTGCTACATATTTTTTTTAAATATGAAATATATTTTTTTGGGTCTGGGTTGCAGTTTTGTTTTTACTCATCCTGTATTTTAGAAACATTTACATACATACCTTGTTAGCAGTACCTAACATGCTTAAAAACCAACATGCACATGCAAAACCACACACTAAGGCAAACAAATATTTAAAGCCATGCAGAGATGAAAAAATAAACATCACTGTCAAAGACATGCACACATTACATTTAGCTTAGTACACGTATCATGCATCCCTTATGCATGCCTTATATGGTAATGTTAATGAATACTCAAGTTGATGTTAAGAAGCTAAATATGCCTGAAACCAATTTAGTACAGAAAGTACAGGCCAGGTTTTGAGTTCAAAGAGATGTTTCTGATAAACATTGGAACAATACTTCCCAGTATCTAGTGATTTCCGTGGTAGTTCCTTCAGCCAAGGGAAGGTACCGGTTTGGATGTTAGCATCAGGAGTACTTGGTTTCAGGCTTTGCTTCAACAGTTTCAGCCCTGTAAATTAATGGAACAATATCAACAGCTTCTAAAAAGAACTTGGTCTTTTTCTGTACAACTTTCAACTACAAACGAACACCAAAAGAAGAGCGAAAGAAAACAAAGCTGCAAAATAATAATGTGTAATTGTCAAGAATGTGGTGAGAAATAAAGATGAAACAAGTGACGCTCGGTTCCGACAGGCGTTCCAGAGTCGCGCCGAACCTAATTCAAGGCAAGATTTGAATTAAGTACATGAAAAGTTTGACGTCTGAAACAATTAGGAGCGACTAGATGCGCCAGATGGAGAAAGATCGACTGTCGGAGTTGAACGACTCAGGAGCGACTTACAGACATCACTCTAGTTATGAGCCAAACTCAATGCGATGTGTGTGTATGTAAATAAGTAGTGACCTTCATAAATTTGGACTGCAGTCCATGTGTTTAATGTGCGATGCAGTGCTTATAATTTGAAAGTTTTTGCAGATTTAAACCTTTCACAAACAAACCTTTCAAACAAAAATGTACAATAAATGTTCGTCCCACTGTCGTCTCAATGCAACACATGATGCAGTTTTTAAGCAGAAAACCAAGACTTCCAGTATCCATGTTGTACAGGCACAGCGCAGGTAGATACAAATTGTTCGTACGTGGCATGACGTGCAAGTAATAGGAAGCACACATGACGTGCAAGTGATAAAGCGAGCACACATGACGAGCTAGCTGTCTTCGATACGCCTTCACTTCGCACAGTACACTCTCAATCAGCTTCAATTACGTATTCTACACGGCCAGGCGTTTGCGTTTAGTTTAGGAATGCGCACGCAGCCCAGGCATCAATGCTGCACAATGCCGGCTTGTTGCTAAGATCCCATGTGTGTTTGTTTGTTTGTACACAATACTCAATGTATTAAGTTGGCCTGTCTGAAACCAAAAATCTAATAGACAATAACAATCACCACTGCTAGATGCTTTAAGATTTACATACATACCATACTAAATATCAAGTTTTGAAATACAAGAGATATTGTATGTCTGAATGACACAAAACAAGACAAATGGCTAGCTTAATAAAGCTGGTCGTAATTCACATCAAATTTTACTCAATCCGTTCAAAATGGCTGTAATTCACCGGTGTTTTTATGCATTTGGCCTATGGGCCAGATTTAGTACTTTCATTGGCAATAATGTGGTAAATCCTGTTTCAAACTTGTCAAATGTTTGTTGGCCACTGTGAGACTAATAAGCAAGTCTAATTCACAAGTAACATTCGGCAAGTTAAGCCTGGTTCATACTTCACAGTGAAGTGAAATCTGTGACGTCAACAATTAATGCACCAACGTTTATACACTGTATACTCAGTGTGTTACCTCCCGAGTGAAAGTTGGAAAAAATCACTCGGGTGGGACTCGAACCCACGACCTCCTGCTTTCTAGTGCAGATGTCTTACCACTCGACCACCGAGCTAACGGGATCGGTTGGCTGGTTCGAATCTGAGTATACAGTGTTCAAACGTCGGTGCAGGGCAAAACCTAATTTGATTTATATCACCCCGACGCAAAAAAAATTCAATCTTCTAACAATTAATGCGTTGGATATGCGTGCACCATTGTAGATGACATGAATTTCGCTTCGCACTTGCTTTCGCGTGAACTGGGCTATTCAAATACATGTACAACAAGATATATATAGGTTGGCCCAGCTGGCATCGGCAAAAATCAATTACGAATATTTTTATGCCCTATCAAGCAAAAATGTAAAGAGGTCACACTCGTCAAATGTTTGTTGGCCAATGGTTAGGGTGCACTCATGTGGCGTGGAACGTGGGTTCGAATCCTGACAGGGACGTGGTGCTGGGACGTAAAGCCGTAGGTCCCACGTGTTGTGTAATGCACGTTAAAGAACCCAATAACACTTGTTGCAAAGAGAAGGGGTTGACCGCGGTGTTTCTGGCAGTGGATGCAATATGCACCGCAGCACCTTGTATACCCTTCTAAAGGTGCTACATAATGGGTCTCATATTCTCATATACTTCATTTACCTGTCTTTGGTTGCATTCTCCCCTAGCGCTTTGCATCCTTTGGAAAAGGCGCTTTATAAATACGGCTATTACTATTATTATTATAAATACGCTATTATTATTATTATTATTATTAATGTGCATGTAATGCAATATATGCAAGTCAATTTTTAATGCAGCTTCACAGTTGTTACAAATTCATAAAATCATGTCATGCATGCGGTTAATGTGGTAACAAAGGCACAGCAGGCAAACTAATTAGAGAGAAATCATTAGCCCAGTGAAATGAACGTTATTATTGATTTCTTGTTATCTGCTCTGAAATTTGATATTGTTTATCAATTTAATAATAAAAGAGGCACACCTGTTCCTATCAATTATGAACATCATTATCGTGATTATAACCGATCCACAACAGTTTGTGTTCCTTGTGTTTGTTTACATGAATATGTACAGGTACACGTACAATCCTGGCCAAATCTCGCTGGGCCCCTACACCCCCCGGCCCCCGCTCAATGTTGTCTCTTATTGTGCGGTGTGTGCTCCGTCAGCTGGAGAGAACAACATTGACTGGGGGAGCGGGGGAGTGGGTGACCGTGGCAGGCTCAGGAAATGTCCCAACCGTTTTGTGGGTGTCTTTTTGGGGGGGGGGGGCTGTTTGTTTTACCATTATTTAATGGATTGTGTTAATAAATAAATCTGTGATGTTTAGATTATAAAGCATATCAATTTGACAATAAAATAAAGTGATCAGTCTCTTCAAAGACACTAAATGGGCCGAGAAAGTTACAATCTATGTCAAACAAGTCAAGTCACGTTGCAGGTTTATAGGTCTCTCTCAAAGACGGCTATCTCTGCTAGAACTGCAACTGCGTAGTTTACGCAATCAAGCACGCATTGCGCAGTGTTAAAAATGTTCCAAACAAGCACGCTTGTTGCTCGAATGTGTTCGAAATACGACACAGCCAATGCATGTTATGCAAGTTGACGCTCAAAATGCTGATGCATGTGGCTGGTCTGTAGGAAATGACATCATTTGAGAGAGACGTACGGTAGGCCTACCTGTGCATATGTACACATTTCCCAAGTTTCATTTCCACGTTTTCCCATTTCCCTGTTGGACGAAAAAGGGTATGAGTTTTGAAGAACTCATGGACTGCACAAAGGGCTGGAAATAATGGCTACAAATCAAAACTAGAAAGTCTAAACTAAAAAAGAGTTCACTGTACGGTACCTCAAAATTAGCTGATATAATTGTGTCATGGTTTTGGGGATTTAACTTTCGCTTGTGGTATTTACGATGGCATTCACATTCTGTATGCTGACTAAACTATGTATTAAACTCTGCACAATAAATGTCAATATTTGCATAACGGTACTACAGAAACAATGGATGAAAATGTCACAGCAACATCCAAAACCAAAAGCTGTGTTGCAACTGTGCGCATTAAACAGACACATTTAACATATGTATACATGTACCAAAAAACACTTCAGATATGATTTTCATTCATGTGGCCGTACTTAAAGCATATTCGTAAGCAACACTTATTTACATGGCACATAAGCATGCAAACAAGATAACTGAAAACACGTACATGTACATAACTTGTGAGGACAAGAGAAAGTTAAAAGGTAAAATAGCACTACACATGAAGAAGAGAAGATAAGACGATATTGTCGATATGTGCTTCAATAGTTTCCACTTTAGGGTAGCACAGTACCGTACATGTATAATAACACAAACACATGCCAGGTCCACATTGATGGTTTTACCATCATCTCTGGAAAATTTCATAGTCTAATGCAAGCATGGCTTAAAGCTATAGTCCATCATTTGCAGCCATCCAAAAAGTAACTGGCGTAATTATTGCTGAAAAACAACCTTGGTTGAAAGATAGTAAGGGAACTAAACTCCCTGTGAAATTATTCCTTCTGGGAAGCTGTCATTTTGAAGTAATCAACGAAAGAAGGCATTTCCAACGGTGATTCTTAAGAAGCACCGTAGGAAAATTTAAATTTGTAGTTCGTTTTGTTATTCAGCGCAGCGCGCACAAGTATTGGAACGACGCACACGCGCGCGCGGTTGTTATAATTCGTCGGATCAGTGCGCGACGTCGCGTATAGCTGCAATTCAAAACAATTCAAAACATGATTTAGTAACTTTTGATTTGAAATTGAGATCTTAGAATGCTGTTTTTCTCGGAATGTACAGCTGAAGCTTAGCTGAAACTTCATCAGGTTAGTTGCTCAGTATCCTTCATTAGATTTTGAACTCTCTTGTCGCTTCAAACGAACAAAATGTACAAATTACAAATGATGGACTGTAGCTTTAAGCCCTTTTCACACTAGACAAATCTCGGTGTTGACGCAGGGTTGAAAAAATGCAGCACTTCACACGTGAAGAATTTCAACCCTGCGTCAATCCCGAGATTGATTTCGCCCTGGGTTGAACTCAACCCTGCTCCAGACCGGGGTTGAGATTTTCAACCCGGGTTGACAGGGTTCAAAACAGGAGTAGGCCTAACTGAGCATGATAAGCTTGATTTGCATGAAACAAGTGTGAAACAATGCGGGGCTGAAGGCGGGATTGAAAGTCAACCCGGGGCGGCACTGGGTTCACCAAGTTGAGAGGCTTTAGTGTGAAAAGGTCTTTAGAGTTGTAAGTAGAATATGAAGGCATTAAAAACTCAATGAATCTCTCACATGCTTGTCATCACACTTTGATATGTACATGCACGTCCATGCATGTACATCTACATGTACATGCATCTTGTGTATTCATTTTCTTGATGGTCCAAACACATTCATGCATTATCCTGTATGTCCTTTAGTTTTTATGAGTAGCACTGTAAATATACATTGAACATGTATTATACATGGAAGCTCTAAGTTTTAAACCTTTTGCAATCACGACCACTCACAAGTTAGATAAGGGGGAAAAAATTCATATTCACGTAAATTGAGCATACAGAACACATGCCAAACAACAAGACATCTGAAACAGGCACTGATAAATTATGCATATCATTACAGGACTATAGTGTACCGGTACCTTGTGGTCTAATTGCCCAGAGTATCTTCATACGGTGGACTCCGTTGGTAATGCCTGCATCAGTCTTCAGATGGTCATCGGTGATAAATGGCAAGAGGCTGAAATCAATCCCACAATGCACCAGGTTATGGGTGTACTGAGGATACTCTGGCCCCAGGCGTTTCAGCCACTCGCCAAGCTCCCGATCGCCGCTGTTGGAATTGGACTTTAGACGAGCTAGCTCACGTACGAACCTGCGCAATAGAAAATTGAAATGAGTTTTTAAATAATTTTTAATGAATATCTTATGTCAAAGGTGGTTCACAAATATTGGCATCAAAGTTGTGCATGCTGAGCTACAGGGGGAGTCAGAATGATCTCAACCTAAATTAAAGAAAATTTAATATTAAAAACATGTAGCAATTATCAAAACAAGTGCAAATGAGATGTGTTATAGGCTGATATTTTGGACATATTTGTTGAAAGTTTCATATAAATCCATTGTACATATGTACCATTGTGAAGAAAAGCACTAGCACAGAACACATATGCTGAAAATTACACTTGGGAGTTCCATGGTCTTTTCATGTATTTCATGTCACTGATACCGATATAGGCTATGCTGAATGTTACATGTGTAGACACTGCATGCGTACTCTTACGTATGTATGTATAAGTATACATTGTACATGTACATTAATGTATGTGCATATGGAATGAAAACAAGGTTGAATTATGTTCCGACTTAGAACATTAATGCCTAGTGTCTCATCCACAATGCGAGAATAGGTCGTCTGTGACATTTGAGTAACATAATCATCCCCTCGACAGTTGCAGACAGAGAAATATTCCCAAGTTTAGTGTTCCTGATCTGAGTGTACACGTACATTAAGCATTCCTGTCAGGTATAGGCCCACACTGTACATTTTGATTTACCTGTTTTTATGCACGTATCAGGAACTTATTTTAATACGGCAAACCGATTCTGAATGCATGGGTTGGTCAAATTCTCACGTCAAGGTCATGCATTGTAGCTCAAATTACATGTCAACATGTGTATGTGTAAATTGCAAACTAATTATGAGCTAAATTAAGTTTATACGTATGTATACACACATGGACAAGCAATCCAAACAAACTATACATGTTTGCTTTAATTGAGACTGACTGTCACTCTACTATTTGAGGAATGAATGCCATTCAAAGGTTGAAGGTTTTGACATTTTGAGGCCAAGATACATGTACACTACAGCTTCAATTGAGAGTTTGAATATGTAACGTAATTATCCCTCCAAATCCTTACCTTCAATATAGTGTAAATGTAGGCTGAAGATCATCTTGTAATTTTGATTGTTCCTTAAATATTTGAGAAACAGCCCTGTATCATTTATTGCAAAATATTCACCAAAATTATTGTTACAAATTTTCAAAGTTTCATGACTCCAAAGTCACGTTTTGCATTACCCTCCCCCGTGAGTTTTGGTACATTTACATGTATGGAGTTATTTTTTTGGGTACATTTATGTTTCATGACTGACTTCGAGCAATCGATCTAGCCCACATGTATAATTTGTGACAGTATAAATTTGACTCTAAAGAGGAGTCGTGACATTAGGGAGACATTGAAATGTCTCCTTATTCTAACTAAGCTACAGCTTATGACAAAAAACATATCTCCTTAAGGGTACATACAATATACATTTAATTAATGCACAACTAAAAAAAAGAGCTCATGCTGAGCATGCCTACATGTACAAGTACAAGACCATTTTTCAAGTTAGTCAGTTTTATTCCTGAATTAAGTACGAATTTTGGCATTTCAATCAAACTACACATGTATATTATACACAAATATGACATGATGACACTATCATGTGAAGCATTTAACTAACACAAATATTCATGTATATATGATATGCTGAATATCTACTAAACTGGAAATCTGATGAATATAATCTACCTAAATGTCATGTTATAGCATCATGACATTACTTTGAAATCAATTTTGAAAACTCTCTGCACAGTATCTACATGTACATGTACATGCTTGAAAAATAACTTCAAATTTGTTTTTCAATGTCCTTCATAGTCATAAAGGGATGCACAAAGCAAGGATGAAAGGTATAGTCCATCATTTGTAATTTGTGCATTTTGTTTGTTTGAAGCAACAAAGTGCCCAAGATCCAAAGAAGGGTACTGAACAACTAACCTGATGAAGTTTCAGCTCAGCTTCAGCAGTATATTCCGAGAAAAACAACATTCTAGGATCTCGATTTCAAATCAGAAGTTGCTGAATCATGTTTTGAATTGGGCCAGAATTCAGCGTCCGAGACACTGAGCCGATTGCAGCTACGCAATGTCGCGCACTGATCCGACGAATAACAGCAACTGCGCGCGCGTGTGTGTCGTGCTAATGCTTGTGCGCGCTTCGCCGAATAACAAAACGAACTACTAATTTGAATTTCCTACGGTGCTTCTGAAGAAGTACAGTTGGAAAGGCCTTCTGTTGTTGATTTCTTCAAAATGACAGCTTGCCACAGAGAAAAATTTCACAGGGAGTTTTAGTCCCTTACTATCTTTCAACCAAGTATGTTTTTCAACAATAATTATGCCAGTTACTTTTTGGATAGCTGCAAATGATGGACTCTGGCTTTAAGCCTCGGAAGAATCTGGGTACCTTTGAGACACTGTTCAGGCTGTTTTTGACATCCACTTTCAGGGGTGGATCAAGCTCTGGCTCGAGTCAAGGGTAAAGATGGGACTTTGCATTTAATTCAGTAAACGTTTATCAATACCACGCAGGGACGGCAGGGTGTAAACGTTTAAACATTTAGCCACTTTACAAAAGCTCGACACCTGCCCCAGTACAAATGCACTCGTGTTTAAAAAATTATCAACATCTTCTTTACAGCACAAAGAGCATTGATCTTACACCAGCGGCATGTTGAAAACATAAAACAATACATTGTATACATTAATTGTAAATAAGTGACACAATAGACAACCAGCAGTCAACATGCATGTAAACTTAAACTGCCAGGAATGTGATACTAACATAGGTGTGGGAGAAATTAGAGATTTCAAAATCCGGTCATCCTATTGTTTTTTTCTTTTATTTCAAACCAAACGCTAGTTATCCGATTTCACCGGAAGTTCCCATTAACCCTAACTCCCTAGGCCTTTTTGCTAGGATGTACATGTAGCCTCAGTCCTGCAAAATCCTCCAAGTGGCCTCATGGAAAAATAGCATATAGCCTCAATTCTGCAAATTCCCCCATTATTTCTTGAATATGGTCTGTGGAGGGGTGACCACTGCCTGAATCCTGCAAAATCCTGCGGCAGTGACTGCCAATATGTTGAGGCTTGGCCAGTGACATCCTGGAGCAGTGCGGAGGATTTCAAGCATAATCCAGCCTATATTTATGCATGGCTGAGCAAAAATAAAACACAAGGTCCGGCCCAAGACCTTGACAAAGTGCAACCTACGAAATCAGTAACGCACTTTTGCCATGTAACCTCAATCCTCCAAATTCCTCCACTTTGGCAAAGAGGATTTTGAAGGATTCAGGGCGGTTAGGGTTCATAATCACAGTCATGCCAACAAAAAATGCCGAGTGATGTGCCTACTTGTACTACATGCACATGTATTTTGGCTGTCAAATAAAACTCAGCTCCTTTGATAAGGCCTAAGAAAATGCATTCTCATATTCCATATACTACAAGGAGTACCCGAAGTCCAGACGCTGCCTGCCTGCCTGGCCTTTTGTATCTTTTTGGCCAATTGCCAAAATTCCCATTTTCTTGCAAAATTTTGGTTCATTTATTGGCAGTGCATATTTGGCTTTTCCGTGATGTGCGGAAAAGCCTTTGTTTTTGTTCAGATTTTTTAGGCATTCTTCTTTTGCATATTTGGTTTTTTCGCGATGTGCGGAAAAAAGCCTTTGTTTTTGTTCAGATTTTTTAGGCATTCTTCTTCTTTTTTAGTTCTATCCCAAATTCCATAGACTTTGTACACAATTTTTCTACCCTCAACTTTCGACACTTTGAATGCTTAGCAAATCAATAGAACTTTAACAAATCAATCCTAAAAATGCTACAGTACCTTCGCTTCAGCAGACTACTCTCCATCTCAATATCTCGGATGAGTTCTTCTTCCGTTATGGTCAACAACAGGTCCCCATCCACCCTGTGGCGTTCAAATGCCGGGCAGAACTGTGCAAAGCCAATGTTCTTGACCCACATTTGGACCTCCTTGACCGTCCAGCAAGAGATGTTGAAGGAGAGCTTGGCAGGGATGTCTTCGCCGATGGTACGTAGGGCTTGAATGCACAACTTGGATGCTATCTCGTTGTTGGAAGAGGCTACGCGACGCAGGGCAGGAATGACCATAATCTCGTGAAAAATCTGCATTTAAAAACATGAGAAACATTTCAAACATCTCCGATGTGAACAGAATTTTCCAAGAAATTTACTTGTCATAGGGGGAGAATATGGCGAGAAACCCTGAACAACACCTTCAATATGAAGAGCTATCAGTTAAAATATCTCAAGGTCAAACAGCCTCAGAGTCTGTGGTTGCCAACTGCAAAAGGGTACAACAGTTACACTGTTCAATAGGATTAGCTCACATTGTCTCAAAATTGGCAGTTTGTGCACTGGTGTATTTGGCCCAATGCAACCAGGTCCCACAGACTTTTTCACCAGCTGCAGTGTGTTGTGTCTGGCAGAGTCAGCACTTTTACTACGTCCATAAAAGAAGTAATCTTTTGAGAAATTTTCTGATCCTGTGTACTATTTTTTAAAGACACCAACCTTCATTTACCATTGTTTAGTTATAAGAATGAATAGGCCTGAGACCTGATAACGTTACGCTGTGTTAGCATGTGTGCTTTCTTAAGTGGTTGACAGACCCAACTTCACCTGGCGTCCTGACTTCGCTCCCATAAGAAAGCCCATATGTAAACAAAGCCATTACGCCATTAGGTCTCAGGTCTATTGAAAACTTGTCAGTGGTCTGTTCTTTTCCAGACATTATACCCACAAGTACAGCGGTAGAAAAATGTAAGAATCTAATCAACCATCGAGTGGATCACTTAATTTCAAGATGAGAAATGCACTACAGGTTTTATTAGCGTTCTTTGATAACACCTACCTTGGTCCTGCCTTGCTCCTTCTTGATGGCGGCCTCCATAGCAAAATGAAACGCGGCAAGACATTGCGCCTCTCTCCTTGTGCTATCCAGCAGCGGCATCAAGCGCTGTAACCACTGCTCAGAACGCCCCTGGGAGTGCGCCTTGTCACTTTTACCAAAGGTCAGGGGGTCATGGGTTGTTACAAAGGGCTCTACAAGATCAAGCGTGCCCGAGTTCACAACACACTTCTCCACATCCTGATTAGCTGACAGAACCGCCACGGCTAGACAGGCGTAGTAGCGGATGCTGTGATCGCTGCTATTAGCCAACGGAAACAGCCACTCGGAGGCACGCTGATCAACCATCTTCTGCTGGTTAGCTGGTCCCCCGTACATAGCACAGTTTGCCAGGGCAGCCGCACAGTGTCGCAGAGTGATATTATCGCTCATGCGGCAGGTGTAAACGACAGCCGTCAATCCACCCCAATCAATCACCTTTGCGCAGGTCTCTTCAGAATGCTTGAACAGATTCTCCAACAGACCCATCCCGATTTGAAGTAAGGTTGGCTCCTTGCGGGAACAAGCCAGCTTTACAACGGAATCTAGCCCATGCTTCACTACATAGTCCCGATTATCAGCCGTCATGACCTGTTCCAGGAGCCTTGCAGAATTGACCTGCAATGCCTTGTCATCTGACTTGCAGTTCTTCAATAGAATGTCCAATCCTCCTTCAGTGCGTAGATTGTCACTAATACTACAGGCCAGGTCCCGGCCATACTTGGGCGTGCTCCAGGCATCATCCACCATACGATACAGCTGTTGTGTGGCTTCTACAACCCTTTCAGCATCCTCCTCCTGCATTCTTCGGATGACGTCATTAGCCAGAAGAATAGTACTCTCCATCTTGCCTTCATTCGCTGACGCGGCAGTCGCTTCTTGCGGAGATAGGGAGGACATGATTTTTTTAAACTTGCCACTACGTCTGTAGCTGCCTCGGAATCTGTCTCGCTCTGGCCTTGGTTCGTCTCTCTCTCCAGATAACTCCACCTGGGATATTTCAACGTAGCTAGCCTCTTCTTCTCGGTGTTCGGCTTTCATTTCATAACCTGACCCCCTGCTTCCTTTACCATCAGCTGATTTCTGCATGTAAGCATCAGACAGGCCCTTGGAGCCTGGTGGATTCAGCAGTCTTTCTTTCGTCTCCTCATTGACACGATGAGGGGGCTTGTTGTCTTCCTCTCCAACAAACTTCTCTGCTTCTTGAGTAGCCAGATCTGGCTTGAGTGAACGCTTCCTTCCACCGCTAAGTGACTGTTCAGAGCTGCTGGGTTTATTGTGGGACCGCCTCTTACTGGAGTTGTTCCCCATAAAGAGGACTCCAAGGACGTCTGTTAATACTTCTTGGTATCTCAACAGCTGCAGCAAGCAGTATTAAGTAGATTTCTCAATGAAGGTATCTTCAGAAATACCTGTGTGAGTGAAAAAAAAATGTGTTCAGGCCATGACGTAATGTTTACTTAGCTATTAACAGTACATTAGGTGCCGATGCTAACTTAACCCTAACCTACCTGAATATCTTCTTTGCATAACCGAAAGATTTTGAAGGATTGAGGTCATTTGAAAATTATTAGTACAGGAGGATTTTAGGCCAAAAAAAAGTCTCCGGTTTCTGATGTGCGAGCGCATCGCCATAGCCATGCGCGTTGGCAAAATTAAAATGGTATTTGTATTATGTGGCCTCTCTAGGCTCCCATACATTGTGCACCAAATTTAGTTGGGCGCCATTTGCAGATGGTGATGTCATTTTGTAATTGTGCGTCTGGAAGCCATACTGAGGGAGCAATGGTCATGTATCTGTAACCTGAAAACGCTTTTTACTTAGCACAATGTGTAAGGGAGCAGACTAATGACCAGCCTGGCAGCTCATGCAAGATATCGATGTCGCTGTATGGTCTGACGTTACCGTTTTCTCTGATATTTGTCTTAACTATCCAAATTTCATGAAGAATGTTTGTGTCGGTCGAGATCGTAAGTGGCTGCATAATTATCAAGCCTTATGGCCTTACTGAGGTCACCTCAAGCTCCAACCTGAAGAATATTTGTGAGAGTTTTAAGGAGATCAAAGCATCATCTGCAACATCAGCGGACATTTGAAGGGAAAAAAAAGTAGTGGAAAAAAAGGATTGAGGGCGTATTGCAAATTAACATGATTATTCTTTGGCAGACGACTGAGGTATGCATGCATGCCCCATATGACACTAGATGAAACTTGAGGATTGAGGCAATTGCTAGTTTCGCTAAAAAATGATTCTGGAAATTCAGGATATTGTTTCGGTTTTGCGGTAACACCATGTGGTAATAACTACTGCTTAGAAGATATTAGTTCTGAGAAGAACTTGTCCTGCTTATTATCAACTTGCTAAGTAGTTTTTTTGTTCTGTTTAGAACAGTCCTGCTGTAAGTCCTAAAAGAACTTGTCTTTGGTCTCAACGTTTCGACTAGCCTGCTCTAGTCATCGTCAGGAGACTGAAGAAAGTTGGAGATGCTACTCCTTAAGTAGGGTTTGTTAGGATTAGGAGTGCTTGCTGGGCATGCCCTGCTCGCTCGGGTGTGTCAGTTGGTTGTGAGCCATGGGCATTGTGTTGAGGGATGCCCGCTGAGCGTCCTGCTCGCTCGACTGTGTCAGTTGGCTGTGAGCCTTGGGCATTGTGTTGAGGGATGCCCGCTGAGCGTCCTGCTCGCTCAGGTGTGTCAGTTGGCTGTGAGCCACGGGTGTTGCAACTTGGAATAACTGAATGCCATATGTGGCTTATGAAGTAGCCGATATCTTGTGGGACAGTGTCATGTTTGTGGATCTCAATAGCTTCTCTGATACGACGGGTGTACCAGTGTTTCTCTGGGGCTATGATTTCCGCTTGTTCCCAATCAACAACATGATCCAGATCAGCAGAGTGTTTGACAATTGCCGATTTGTCAAGTTCCCCTCTGCGGCCGTGAGCTATGTGTTCTTTAAGCCTGGTAGTGAGGTCTCTGCCAGTCTCGCCAATGTACACTTTGCCACATGAGCAAGGAATTCGGTAAACTCCTGCTTGACCTCTCGGGTTGTGCTTGTCTTTGTGGGTGTACAATTTCGTTTCGAGTTTATTGCGAGTTCGGTAGTAGACCTTAATATTGGCTTCACGGAGGATTCGCTGGATCTTGTGTGATGCATGGCCAATATACGGAAGGACTGGATGTTATGAAATTCAGGATGTTACCGGTACTTGCTTTATACATTCATCTGTGTAAATGGGCAAGCATCCAATTGAAATTTCGTGACAATTAGATTTCTGACTAGACAAGTGGTCTTTCCACTTATTGTAAATTGCTTCTTTTCAGAGCTGCTTTCGGAAAGGGATTTTTTTAATTTGTGGAGTTCTGTTGCCTCATGGTCTGGTGCATTGAGAGTATGATCTTATGGGGAAATCTGCAAGTCATGGGCAGAGTTGTAACGAGTCACTGATTTTTGTGACTTGAGTCGAGTCGAGTCATTTTAAAGAAGTGACTCGAGTCGAGTCGAGTCATTAGGTCAACAAGGTCGAGTCGAGTCGAGTCGAGTCACAGAGTGTGGTCGAGTCGAGTCGAGTCGAGTCGAGTCAAGTATTTAGCTCGAGTCAATTCGAGTCACAAATATTTGAACACTAAATTACAATAAAAAGCAACAAACACAAGAGAGAAAGAATACAAGGCACCAGTCTATTACGGAAATCCAAAGACATAAAGTATGCTGTATGGTACCCAACCAACAGTTTCCATTGCTAGCTCACGTCACAGATAAGAAGATGTGAAACTTCGGTCTTATAACCGGTTTGGCTTCGGGTCTAGATTTTGTTGTTCGCTGATCGCTGACAACGTTAAAACCTAATTGCATTATACAAAACTGTTTCTGATTATTTAAAGGTGGGCCCGTCCGTATCCATTTTTTTGTGTGAAATCGGGACATGAATTTAGCCAGCGTTCCACCAAGAACTTCAAAATCGCCCGAAACCAATGATGAAACCACGGATTGAGAAATGCGTTTTAAGTCTGGTTCCGGGTTTAGCATTACATGCTATAGAACCACAAGGTGGGAGTCCGCGACACGGTGTATGTGTGTTGTTTCATTATGGAGGAAGGAAACAGACTGCCGCTGTATATAAACGTACATTATTCGCGAACATTAACGTGACGTGAACAAAAACTGGCAACGCGAACGGCGCAGCGTAAGTCATTGCAAATATTTTTCGCAAGTAAGTTTTGCTTTTATTTTGGGACTCGAGTCTTATTAGCCTTCCTCGAGTCGAGTCGAGTCATTCTGATGAGGGACTCGAGTCGAGTCGAGTCATTTGCTCGCAGTGACTCGAGTCGAGTCGAGTCATTTACCCGTCGGGACTCGAGTCGAGTCGAGTCGCCAAAAAATGTGACTCGAGTCGGACTCGAGTCGAGTCATTGACTCAAGTCATTACAACTCTGGTCATGGGTTCGAGTCCAGCCTGGGTTAGTGGTATGTGCCAGTCACCTTGTCACTCATTGTTTCTCCCCACCCAGGAGAATGAGTAGAGATAGTTATTGTGGTTGATTTTAGCTGCTTTGCGACAAAATGGCAGCATTGAGCTGTTTACTCCCCAGGGAGATGAGATGGTCTTTGGAATATTTTCATTGCCCTGGTGAGCAGGGGTAATGATATTGTACTACATACGCCATGATAACCTGTCTGGTTGAAACAATATGTACATGTACGTGCGCTATGTAATTCACATTATTATTTACATCAGGCTTCCAGTGGTAAAAATAAATCGGCGTATTGTATGCTTGCGGAAAAAGTACCCGGATGACTGAAATTTTACATCAGTAAAAGTACTCGGATGAGGGCAATATTATTTTTTATTTTGTCATCCGGGAATTTTCACGAATTTCACTGGTTCCCACTTAGTCAAGAACGTAGAAACTCATACTTGTCAACCAGACAACAGAGGGTACCAGGCAGTACTTCACACGTAGATGCAGCGGGCATTGGGGAATAGACACACTGTTGTCAACGACCACAAATAGCTTCTTTAAGAGGCGTGAAATTTGCTTCAGTAAGCAAAGAATAATTTACCGAAACATGAGAAATAAAGACAGTTTCGTGAATCGTTTTCTTGTGGGTGAAGTCAGCTTGATATAAATAATAATATTGGATGGCTTTTTGGGGGGGATACAAGAATATATTGCACTTGCTATAACAATATTCAACGAGTGCAATATTGTTACAGCCTGTGCAACATATTCTTGTATCCCCCTCAAAGTCATTTAATATTACATTTATCTCCTTTTCCCAATACGCAGCCTACATGGGCCAAGCTAGCCACAGGAAATTGTTGATCAGGTGGCTACAGACTGTTCAATCCCCTCATATATACATTTAATTACCACACAGGGTCATAGACCCACGATAATTGGACACAACTCCCATACCATCTTCTAAACAGCAGTCTCAGGTAAAAAAATAACAGCGTTGCTGTTGAAACCCCTCAGCCAGAGTCAGGTTATCATCCGGGAACCATTAACATTTAACTCACCACGGTGACCTTGACCTTTGACCTTTTGACCCCAAAACCAATCCCAACTTGCCTACTCCCAAGGGCAACACCCTACCAAAGTTAGACATAAAAATCTTATTTCTAACTCAAGTTATCATCCGGAAACCATTTACCTTGAATTCACCATGCTGACCTTGACCTTTGACCTTGTGACCCCAAAACCAATCCCAACTTGCCTACTCCCAAGAGTAACCCTCTACAAAAGTTAGACCCCAAAATCTCATTTCTAACTCAATTATCATCCTGTAACCATTTATCTTTAACTCACCATGGTGACCTTGACCTTTGACCTTTTGACCCCAAAACCAATCCCAACTTGCCTAACACCAAGGGCAACCCTCTACCAAAGTTAGACACCAAAATCTCATTTCTAACTCAAGTTATCATCAGGAAACCATTTACCTTTAACTCACCACGGTGACCTTGACCTTTGACCTTTTGACCTCAAAACCAATCCCAACTTGCCTACTCCCAAGGGTAACCCTCTACCAAAGTTAGACACCAAAATCTCATTTCTAACTCAAGTTATCATCCGGAAACCATTTACCTTTAACTCACCATGGTGACCTTGACCTTTGACCTTTTGACCCCAAAACCAATCCCAACTTGCCTACTCCCAAGGGCAACCCTCTACCAAAGTTAGACACCAAAATATCATTTCTAACTCAAGTTATCATCCGGAAACCATTTACCTTTAACTCACCACGGTGACCTTGACCTTTGACCTTTTGACCTCAAAACCAATCCCAACTTGCCTACTCCCAAGGGCAACCCCCTACCGAAGTTACAACCCCAAACGACATTTTAAACTCAAGTTATCATCCGGAAACCAAGCTACCCGGACGGACGGACGGACGGACGGACATACATCCGGACGGACGGACGCCCTAGGCGATGACAATACCCCTCGAGCCTCTCGGCTGAGGGGTAAAAAACTGCATAATTGATTACCTCTGCACAAAATAGTATTGTTTAAATTGCGAACATGTACAATTAAAAATGTACTACATGTAGTTACATTTTGTACTTTTTCCTTAAAAGTGTAGATACATGTAATTACAAAATGTACAAAAAACGTAATCTTTCAAAAAATATATTGTTCACGTTCCATTTAAATGCTCCAACATACAATGTATCACAAATAAAAACAATTGGCACTTAGATTTTCAAAAATACAGTTTTCATTTTATGTTTATTCCTGTTGGTTATGCTTATTATTTAATATTAAGAGGTGACTATGCATTATATGGTACCTGCATGCATTTCAGGTACACAGAGATGACTGATTCCATAGTTTATACATTTTTATGACAATTTTACGACAAGTAAATTCTTTGAAATTCTTGAAATAAACACAAATTCATCCGTAGTTGCACTATGTGAATGTCATACATGTACAAGTCTATAAACATGAACATGCAGCAGTTTCTGTTTCCACAACTATGTACATTTGTACATGTACATGTACCTTGTATGTTTGTAGTGGCTGTTCAGTTCAAACTACGTATAGTTCACTAAAATGATGCGGATATTTCAACACAAGGAAGTGTACATTGCAAACAAAAAAATACATGTTAAATAATATTCAATATTCTAATGGTAGTTATCCTGTAAAAAAAATAATAAGCTCGATATGATCTCGGAAGCTGTAGGCCAACGCATTTGTGTTAATTCATGTGTTAAGTGATTGTGCCGTGTTGTTTCTGGAAGGAGTAAGTGTTTTCATTACAAACATCAGGGTTTTGATCCTAGTGACCCAATTTTCCAGGACTGCATTAAATTGATAAGCGGTCAGTGGAGACCCATTAAAGTGAAAACAGAGGGGGGAGTTGAAATATACCGGTATATACCCAGGTATGAGGGATGAGGTGATTTATAGCCATGCAAGGCTGTTGCTGATGTTTGTTACCAACTGACCAACCAACTAACAAAGAGACATGACAATTTGTTGAGCTGCTGTCCGCAGCTTAAAATTTCAGGTGAAATATAGTTTGTCTGAATTGAATGCAGGTTTTTTTCTCAAGGTCATGGGTCATGTACAATGACTGTTGATCAATGTCCATTCAGGTACAGCTACACATAGGTCCTACATGTACATAAACCTATGCCAGGGTCATGCACATGTCCTTCATAGGCCCACTGATGATAGCTGAAGTCAGCTGCCAACTGTGGCTGCGGCCATCACTGCAAGTCGGCAAACGGCACAGTTATTGTGCTTGTATTGATGCATGATTTGCACTGAGCCCAGGCTGCGATTAAATTGTATCAAGCCCATGATTTCCTCATTAGTTTGCCTACTCAGCCTTGTGGTTGCGAAGGCTTCGCTTCTACGGTAGCATTGTGTTTTAAGCAAATTTAATCCGATTACGTACAGTGACGCTAAAAACAAAGCAGTAAAATCAATGCACCCCCCTCCCCCCAAAAAAATGGCTGTTACATTTCAACGTTCTGTTTTTCAAAGAATATGCTCAGTATGATTGTTAATTATAGCAGAAAAAGAAATTCTACACTTCATGTCAGTGAAAAATCACCGTTATTGATGCTGATACGTCATTGGTAAAGCTGACCTATTCCAAATTTCAGCTCAATCTGTTTTTGCAAACGCTACATGTACAAAATGTAGTGTTACACCTTGAACCAGACTGGGACCGTGAGTGCATAAAAACGTGCAAAATTACTACTGACGTTTTTTTTACTCACCATTCGGCTAATTAATGCCCACACAACACATACATCAAAATGCTTAAGTTGCAAGCATGTCACCTGCGAAATTTGAGACCTTCAATCCAATTTTAAGGCAAGTTTTTGGCAGTTCAAAAACCATCCACGTCATTCTCCGTGCTCTAGAAATGGTTGTGTGATTCCCAAGGTATTCTGGGTCGGTGTAGGAAGAGCCTTGCAGCTTACTGTTTTTTAATCGATGGCAAAAAGAACATAGCGCCCTCTGTTAAAAAATGAAGCATTCTGCATTCACTCAGATCAACAAGAGGGCGCTGTTTTATCTACACGATGAAAATGTTTTAGCTGAGGAGTTTTTTTGCACAATGCATTGCAGTACACATCAACGTGATGTTTTGCGTTTGGATTTTGATAACTCCCTGCAAAATTAGAATTAAAAGCTGAAGTTTTGGTGATGCAATACTCACAACAGCAACTTTGCGAGGCAGAAGTTTCGGGGATTATTGAGGAAACTGTAGTGAGTAAGAAGCTTGCAAATTTGATTCACACTGGTTTTATTATGCAGCACAAACTTTTGCACGATATGGATACCTTAAGTTTTGGGACTCTCATACACAGTATTGAGAGTCCCAAATTTTCGGACTAACCTTGAACTATTGCCAAGGCAAATTTCACTGGACTAGGCTTTTCTGAGAAATTGCAGCTGACATGCTCATCAGGAATTCATGTGCAATGCTAGAGACAAAACTATGTTGTCTGCGAGATTGTTAGAGACCCTTAAAACCCAGCCTCCACAAAATAGTCCTTTTTCCCTCTTTTATCCCAACCCAGATTCCATTAAACATACCTCAGTCATTCACTGAGCTAATGATTGACTTGAAACGGAAGAAATGTTACTAAAATATGAGAAAAATTGATGATTTCGGTGGCTTTTTCAGAATAATTGAGGAATAATCTGAATAATGTTTGAATATTTTCCCATCTAAATTTGACTTTTTATGACATGTTAAATTGCTTTCTAATGGCTGTTAGATAACTGCAGGGTAAAATTATTGACATCCATATCGTCAGACCCCAAAGCTACGCGGTCCTTTTTCTACGCATTCTCCTTTAAATTGTGTGTGAATACGTGCGCGTGTTGCAAGTGTTTCCTGCGCAGATCATGGAGGGTCGAGGATATATGGAATTCTTTCCATATCTTTTACTAAACTAGACCCGTGAACGTGGCGTTGTATACAACGCCACGCGCTTCCCTCGGGTAAATACAAGCGAAAGCATTCTATCTTTTGATCCGCTACGTATAACCATGTAAAATTTTGCCCATAGGTGAATCACTTACTTGTTGGGCTTCCTGTGAATTTACGCGAGTGTTGGATCTGTCATTGCCAAGAAATTCGATGTAAAGTACAGTACAACTTTGTCACAATGAATGTTTTCAAAATGATCAGAAAATCAAAGACAGGCATGACACTCTGGTACCCCGATTGCCGCATGCGCAAAACGGTAGGAGTATCACCAGTGGGTACCCGACTAACCGTCTTACACGGCAGGATGACCATAATACCATGTAAAATTCTGCTAAATCTACTTCGAAAGTCTGCCAAATCACCCAGTATATATTGCTGTTCCATTGTGCAAGGGTTTGTTTCAGGGATCTTTCAAAAAATGAAGGTTTTTCAAACCAAATGTGCCATATTTCTCTAATCTTTTTCATTTTTCCTTCATCTTCATAATTCTGCCGAAAAAAATATTCTGCTGATTTTCTGTACAACTCATTTTTGTATGCAAATATTCTGTCAAATGTAGCCGAAATTCGGCTAGAACGGTCACTCCATCTTAGTAACCGCGGCTCACAATAGAGTGTTTTTACTATAGACTGAAGCGTGGCTATGTATATAGCCACGTTCACGGGTCTATTACTAAACATGCTAAAAATTCAAGAAAGCTGGCGCCGGCCAAACATCCACCTCCTTTAAAAAAGACACTGAAGAAAATTGCATTGTCATGATTGTTTAACAAAGAAAATTATGACTGTTACAATTAGGCCTACTTTACAAAAATTGAATGAAGAGAAGTCAGCTTTAGCCTTTAGGTTGCTGAAGTCATTTTGGAATAATAAAAACACACTCGACTCTAACTCGACCACAAATAAAGCGGGGCCCGTAACTACACAATCGCACAAACAACAGCCTGACAACCCACATATAAATCGTAATATGTAAACATAAGAAAAGTCTAGAGTGCGCCACATACAAAACGGGCTAGGCCCAATGCCTACACAGAATGACTGGACACCAAGGACCAATTCAGGTCTCACTCGCACGATTGTTTTGCAGCCTACTTGTCATGCATTATTCTAAATCAAACATATGCACATGAAGATACATTTAAGTGCCATTTTGACTTACAGATCTTTATGTGTAGAGAGTTAATATCGCCGAAGAAAATCCCTTTCGTCTACACGCGGTCTATGACAGCTCAGTGAATTGTGCAGCTTGACAATATTATTTCGCGCAAAACTCCCACAATGCACTATTCCGCACGATATCGACACGATATATCGATATGTTTGTATCGAAATTGCACCCATGGGTAAACGAACAAAACGTGATCGAATTTTGGCTTTTTTTTTTTTAATTTGAGCAATTTTTTTTTACTGTACAGTGTTTTGTTTTGTTTTTACTCTTATTTGAATAAACATTTTTTCGAGAAATTACTTCGGAAGGGGCGAACCGCGGGGGCTAAAGTGGGGCGGGGCAAATTATAATTCCTTAATCCTTATGTTGTAACTATCGTGTATTTTGTCATGGGGAAATCAGTTGATGTTGGAATGTTATCCTAGACCAATAGGCAATTTTGTATGATTATCCATGTTGTAAACCTGGGTGTTGTCAGAGTAAATGCATTGGGGGCACACCGAACCCGACCCGAGGGGGTCGCGTGCGAACTTCCGCTCGATCGTGTACTCAAAAAAAAAAAGCGCGGACAGCAGGCGCGGTTCTAGTAGAGCCAATATTTGGGGGGGGGGGGGGGGGGGGGGGGGGGGGCTAGCAGGTGGGATCCAGAATTTTTTCAGGGAGGCGTGCTGAAATATAGACCGGTTATCTTTTTCTGGACACTTACGCCTCTAAAAATCAATAGGTGGGGTGGGGGCGTGCCATATATTTTCAATGGGGAGTGCTGATAAAATACTACAATCATTAACTAAAAGTGTACAAAATGGCCGGCGCGGAGACCGTTCGCATGTTCGTCACATTCTTACATTTGGCCTAGACAAAATTTGGGGGGGCTAAAGCTACCCCAACCTCCTCCCCCCCCCCCCCCCCCCCATCGGAGGGGGTTATTGTTCCATTGGTGGCGCTATATACGTTCGGTGGATGTGACTACTGTCGCCCTTTATAGGTCATTTTTGTTGTGTTACCTGAATATATTTCCTAAGTTTAGTGTGAACTGTTGAATGGTATGCATACCACACTATTTATTTACTATACCCTCACTTTCATAAATGCGGCTTAAAGCATAAGAGCATGTTTCACTATATCACACATTTTTCATTATTCATCAGAGCAGACTGTACTTTTTATACGTACCGGTACTTCATTTCTCTACACATCAAAAAGCGGGGAGGAAGGTTTACTCCACTGTTTCCGGCCTCTTCGGTGTTCAAAACTGCGTGTTCAATAGTCAGAAGTATTTTCTGTACAATGGAAGGTCTTTATGGTAGTTTTCTCCGTGATGATAAAACACGTTTTGTTGGCGACTACAAAATTGGTTTGTCTAAATATTTTATAGGCTTATTTTAACTGTCCTTAGTAATAATTAAGGTAAGTTTTATACCAGTACAGCAAGAATTTAATGAGTTATCGCTCAAGCAACGCGCGGGTTGTTTCTGTGTGCTCAATCGTCAGGAGTTTTTTCTGTACACTTGGAGGACGTTTTTAAGGTAGGTTTTCTCCGTGATAATGAAAAAGGCGCTTTTTTGGTGACTGCAACATTGGTTTGTCTTAATACTTTATAGGTTTATTAAATATGTCCCTATCAATAATTAAAGGTAGTTTTAAACCAGTACGGCACGTATTTGATGAGTTATTGTTCAAGCAACTCGCGAGTTGTTTCTGCGTGCTCAATCGTCAGGAGTTTTTTCTACTCACTTGGACGTCTTTAAGGTAGGTTTTCTCGATGATGATTAAAAAAGGGTGTTTTTTTATTGGTGACTACAACATTGGTTTATCTTAATACTTTATAAGCTTATTAAACATGTCCCCAACAATAATTAAAACAAGTTTGAAACCAGTACGGAAAGTATTTGATGAGTTATCGTTCAAGCAACGCGCGGATTGTTTCTGCGTGTTCAATCGTCAGGAGTATTTTCTGTACAATGGGAGGTCTTTATGGTAGTTTTCTCCGTGGTGATAAAACGCGGGTTTTTTTGGGCGACTTCATCATTCGTTTGTCTGAATATTTTATAGGCTTATTTTAACTGTCCTGAGCAATAATTAAGGGAGGAGTTTTGAACCAGTACAGCAAGTATTTGAAGAGTTATCGCTCAAGCAAGGCGCGGGTTGTTTCTGCGTGCTCAATCGTCAGGAGTATTTTCTACACACTTGGACGTCTTTAAGCTAGTTTTTTCCATGATGATAAAAAAGGTTTTTTTTGTGACTACAACATTGGTTTATCTTAATACATGTCAGTGTTTCCCCTGCCCATTCAAACGTGAGGTGGCCCACCTCGCTACTTTCAGTGACCACCTCGCTCAATTTTTGCCAATATCACCACCTCGCTGTGAAGATTTACAATAAAGGTATATCAATTGAAAAAATATCATTTTGTGTAATATATGAGCGTTTTCCTTAAATACCTCCACGTATCAAGAACTCACAGTTTCGATGTGTTTTTGGAATCATCGCGCATTTCTGTGAGTGCTGCATTCTTTTCAGTTTGCAGACTGTTAATTTCATTTCAATCATCAATTTGAATTGTTACCACCTCGCTCAGTTCATTAGCCAGGGGAAACACTGATACATGTACTTTATAAGCTTATTAAACATGTCCCCAACAATAATTGAAGGAAGTTTGAAACCAGTACGGCAAGTATTTGATGAGTTATTGTTCAAGCAACGCGCGGGTTGTTTCTGCGATCTCAATCGTCAGGAGTATTTTCTACATACGTGGACGTCTTTAAGGTAGGTTTTCTCCATGATGATAAAAAAGGTGTGTTTTCTTTTGTGACTACAACATTGGATTATCTTAATACTTTATAAGCTTATTAAACATGTCCCCAGCAAAAATTAAAGGAAGTTTGAAACCAGTACGACAAGTATTTAATGAGTTATTATTTAAGCAACGCGTGCGTTGTTTCTGCGTGCTCAATTGTCAGGAGTATTTTCTGTACACTTGGACGTCTTTAAGGTAGGTTTTCTCCATGATGAAAAAGGATTTTTGTTGGTGACTACAACATTGGTTTGACTTAATATTTTATAAGCTTATTAAACATGTCCCCAACAATAATTAAGTTTTAAACCAGTACGACTGGTATTTGATGAATTATTGTTCAAGTAACGCGCGGGTTGTTTCTGCGTGTTCAATAGTCAGGAGTATTTTCTGTACAATGGGAGGTCTTTACGATAGTTTTCTCCGTGATGACAAAACACGTTTGTTTTGGTGACTACAACATTGTTTTGTCTGAACATTTTACAGGCTTATTAAACATGTCCCCAGCAATAATTAAGGGAAGTTGCAAACCATTACGATAGGTATTTACCGAGTTATTGTTCAAGCAACGCGCGGGTTGTTTCTGCGTGTTTAATAGTCAGGAGTATTTTCTGTACAATGGGAGGTCTTTATGGTAGTTTTCTCCGTGGTGATAAAACACGTTTGTTTTGGTGACTACAACATTGTTTTGTCTGAACATTTTACAGGCTTATTAAACATGTCAACAGCAATAATTAAGGGAAGTTGCAAACCATTACGATAGGTATTTACCGAGTTATTGTTCAAGCAACGCGTGGGTTGTTTCTGCGAGTTCAATAGTCGGGAGTATTTTCTGTACACTTCGCCGTCTTTAAGGTAGGTTTTCTCCATGATGATAAAAAAGGATATTTTTTTGGTGACTTCAACATTGGTTTGACTTAATACTTTGTAGGCTTATTAGACATGTCCCTAACAATAATTAAGGGAAGTTTCAAACCAGTACGACAGGTATTTGTTGAATTATTGTTCAAGCAACGCGCGGGTTGTTTCTGCGTGTTTAATAGTCAGGAGTATTTTCTGTACAATGGGAGGTCTTTATGGTAGTTTTCTCCGTGATGATAAAACACGTTTTGTTTGGTGACTACAACATTGGTTTGCCTGAATATTTTATAGGCTCATTTTAACTGTCCTCTGCAATAATTAAGGGAAGATTCAAACCAGTACAGCAAGTATTTAATGAGTTATTGTTCAAGCAACGCGTGCGTTGTTTCTGCGTGCTGCACTGTCAGGAGTATTTTCTGTACACTTGGACGTCTTTAAGGTAGGTTTTCTCGGTGATGATAAAAAGGAGGGGTTTTTTGGTGACTACAACATTGGCTTTATCTTAATATGTCATACTGCTTATTGAACATGTCCCGAACAATAATTAAGGGAAATTTCAAACCAGTACGACTGGTATTTGATGAGTTATTGTTCAAGCAACGCGCGGATTGTTTCTGCGTGTTCAATAGTCAGGAGTATTTTCTACATACTTTGACGTCATTAAGGTAGGGTTTCTCCGTAATGATAAAAAGGGTGGGTTTTTTTGGTGACTACAAGATTGGTTTGTCTTAATACTTTATAGGCTTATTACACGTCCCCAACATTAATTAAAACTTACATATAATCCCTACACCCGGTAATCCTCTCATCTATTGAATACCCTTTACAATGGATCCGCATTCCCTCCTCAAACCACCCCCCCCCCTCCCACAATTCCCCATAGAACGTGTACAAAAAGGGGGCAGGGCATTACCTATACTGCCCCACTGCACTTCAGGTGATACATGTACTGCAATATGTGAAAAAATAAGTAAAGTGGAAAAGAATTCCAACACAAGTGCAACAGTTTCGTTTGTTTGCCCCCCCCCCCCCGCCCTTTTTTTGGAGGGGAGGATTGAAATTGTTCGAATCCAGCATTGTGTATTGTAGTATTAAATATTTAGCAAATTGTGATGTATAATATGTCTAAAATTGCTAGAACAAAATTTTATTATATTTTTTAAAAGGGGAGCTGTCAAAGAAACATCATGGAGAGACAAGTCCTAAGCTTTAGATTGATACAGCATGAGATTTTTTTATTGCTTTATTTAAAATTGGACTACAGTCTGTACTCATTTCAAATTGTTAATTCAATGTACATCAATGTAACAAAGATTTGAAGAAATTTAATGAAATTAATAAAATGAATTAACACAGTTGTAATCAAGTTCATGTGTATGTATTTTTTTTGTTTTGCAAGTTTCGTAGACAAAGCACTTAGAATAAATTGAAATGTTTCATTTTTATACAAAATGGAAATTTGGAGGGAAAAAATAGTTCTGAAGCAGCAATGCCTGGCGTATGATTCAGTTAAAAATTATCAAAGCAGCTTTTAATGCATATTTAGTCCTTTTGATATTACAGCAGCCAAAATAGACCCCTCTCATAGACAGACATTTTCGTGGAAAAATTACAACTGCGTATCCACTGCCATCACGTGTGAGTGCGTGCAGTGTGCAAAATATTCTAAACACATATGCATGTTGCTCAAAATTTCTTCGGAATGTGGCGTAGCTGATGCGCGTCACAAAAATGTGACACCCAAAATACCAATGCACGTAGCGATCTCTAGGAAATGACGTCATTTGAGAGACCTATCCGGTTCGTAAGTGACATCGTTATACATGCGCGCGCACCACTGATTATTAGCACCCATTGTGGCTAAGCACTCAAGTTGCGTTAACTTCCGGTTCCATTCATGCTATACTAGACCGTGTGAAGTGAACATGGTTAAGTTGAGATGATGTCACACGGTAACACTAACGGGCCGAAAAGAATACCCAAGTACACCATGTATTCTATTCCACACGCACAGCTTAAGTGTGTTAAGACATCAGCGCGAACCAGAACAATGAAAGCTGACGTCACACTTCGGTACTCCATAGGAGGGTACCTAAATAGGATTAATCTGAAATCTTTTCTGATTTTTCTGAAGGAACATTGAAGATATCAGCATGCAGCACAAGAGGGCAGTATGACAACCATCTATCAACCCAAAAACTGCAGCTTTTGTCATACTGGGTTTTATGGTTGCATATCAGTAATAAACTGCCAACCATCGACCAGTGATACATACCTCCACTTCTAAAAATCAGCCAAAATACTCACAACTCTCCAAGGTGTTTCAAACACACATCCAATTAAAACTTATTTCATCATCTTTCAGTTTCTGTGTAATTTTGTTGAGGGGTTATCTGAGGACCCGTGGGAGAAAATTACATCCAAAGATGATCACCCCTAAAAAATAGACCTGAAGCCCATATTGCTATTTTGAAATATGATGCCTACTTTCAATAGCAAAATAGAGCAATTTTAGGGCCCAATTTCATCGACATTTCAAAGTCCTGTTAGCGGCCTTCCATCCTTCTTTTTTCTTACAAACCCTCAAGTTCATGGCCCACAAAATGCTCTAAAAGCAGAGAATTTGAGGGTATGCAAATCGTGATTTGACTGGAGTAGGCAATTTTGGGCCTACTTACTGCCCTGCGTAAAAAGCCTGCACTAACATTTAAGACCACGTCACATTATTTACAAAGGTGGATGTTGAGGTCATGTGACACAGACTGTCAGGGAACTGTTCTGTGATACAATGTACATTTGTGTAAATTGAAATATGGGTTGGTTTCTTAAGTATTGATGTTAACTGTACAATATTAGGAAATAACATGACTAAGATGAAACCAACAGGCATAATGTCACAGTGATACAGTCGACTTGTGGACAATAAAATTGAAATATTAAAAATACAGAATTGCGCACTGCAAAAAATAATTAACATGGCATATCGTGAATTGATTAAACATGTCACATCAACAGAAGGTTATCAAATATGGTTATCAATGTACATTTGATTATGATCTTATACAGTCTAAATTTAAAAAAAAAAAAAAAAAAGAAAGAAAGAAATACAAACTTAACGCTACTAAGAAGATCAAATTAAATGCATGTGTAATTGTTTTAATCAACAATGCTATGTACAAAGATACTACGATCCATTACACTCACCTGTGATGCATCTACAACACATTGTATACATGTATACAGTTGCAGTGAACTACAAATCTCAGTCGCGACAAATATTCTTACAAGGTCCATAACTAAACAGGACTGTATTTGTTCAATAGTTGCTTGTCTATCACACGGCAGTAAATTTGCCTTGCTTACTGGGAGTGAATCTCTTATGCAATGAACTACAGCTTGTCACAGATTCCTCATCTGATGAGGACATGTTTCTGAAGCGAGGTGAACGCCGCAAACTACTTGCCCAAGATGAGGTTGATGAGCTAGAGCAAGAAGAAGACTGACGACTCATCATACTGGAGTTTTGAAAGGAGCTACGCAGCATCTTACCTGATGGCTGATTGGCCGAAGCCTCTGAGAGAGGTCGTTTCAGTGAACTGCTGAAGAAAACAATGCAATTAACAAAATTTACTTATCAATTATATGTCCAGCAAGGGGTAGACATTATTCCCCTAAGCCAAAAAAGGGTGCTTTTTTTTTAGTACCACTTGGAGGCTAGTAGGAGACATAGATTGGTCATCTGGAAAAGGTGAAATGAACTTTGTTAGCTATGAAATGTCTGGTGGTTAGAAAGTTGATAAGATGGGATTAGAAAGTTGCTGACAAGTTCTTTGTGAGGAAAGAGCCGTTGGGGACGAGGTGGAAGCCACCAGGTTCTCTGTGTATGTGACTCCACACATGAAGTTCTCAGTGTAAGGATCCACACATGAAGTTCGCTCACATTACACCTGTGCTCCAAAATCTCCACTGGCTGCCAGTCTCTTATAGAATAATCTACAAGCTCATGTTAATCGTCTACAAAGCTCTCAATGGCAAAGCCCCCTCTTACATCACTGAACTCCTCTCATGATACAATCCACCACGCACGCTCCGATCAAGTAATAAATGTTTACTCCATGAACCCATATCACACCGCTCATGGGGGGATAGATCCTTTTCAGCAGCAGCACCTCGACTGTGGAACCAGCTACCACTACACATTAGGACATCTGATTCCATTCTCTCCTTCAAAGCATCCCTCAAAACACATCTGATGACTCTGGCTTTTGCTTAATGAATCTGGCTTTAAAAATTTCATTCCGTTTATTGTTTCTGAGCCAGGTGCATTCTGATCACGTGAGCGGCGTGGGCGTCGGTGTGCATTCGTCACATCTTTATGTTTACATCTGAATTGGAGATGCCCGACGATGTAGGCCGACGTTCATGTTGTTCACGTGGGAAGAATGCACCAAGACACCAACAGAGTGTATATGTTGTTTCTTATTTTAAAATTTGTAATTTGTTTTCTCTCTCTATTGGTATTATGTTTATTTTCTGAGTAAATTAGATTGATTGTGTTTATAGCGCCTTGAGCGCCTTAATAGGTGGATATGTGCGCTTTATAAATCTTCATTATTATTATTATGGGGCAAGCCGTGGTTGTTGTGAAGAAGGCCGTTTTCACCAAACATCCAGGAGAGACCAAGGGGGATAAAAGGAGCATGCTAAACAGAGAAAAGGAAGGTGACTTGGGGGAAAAATATTAGCAAATGACTAGCGCCCTCATGGAAATATGGCACATGTAGTAATGCTCCAGGGCTGCACAGTAGAATCTGCATTATTTTCTTCCAAGAACAAGCACCCTATCAGCATCAATCATAGGCACTGGAACCAATCTATTTGAAGACGGATCTGTTTCAGCACAAAAGCAAAGTAAAACAAGTAAAACCCTTGTTTCAGAGGGTTGCAGGTGCTCAAAATACAAAAACAGTAAAAATATAATATAAACACAGAAGATGGAAATCGGTTAGAAGAGAACAATTTAATTTATTGAATATCACAGGCAGTACATCTGTAATACAAGAAGTTAGAGTATTAAATACACGCAATACCTGAGAGTATTTGGATTTTCAAATCTAGGACACATTTCACTGCATAGGTTTTGCGAAGCCAAAGTCTGAATAATAATAATAATAATAATAATAATTTGGGAGGCTAATCATCCTTACTCGCAGCTGGTATGCTGAATTGCGAAGGACGCGGCTACAACATGGTCGGGCCGCTGGCACATGAAGGCGCCTATGGCTGCCGGCCACATCGACCCATATATGACCACGGAGCACAGCCTGAGATCGAAAGTGTTTGATTTTTCCGGAGGGAGGAAAACCGAAGGGCCCGGAGAAAAACCCTCGTGGCACAGGAGAGAACCAACACACAACTCTACTCACATGCGATCCGCGGCCAGGATTCGAACCGCGGTCACCTTGGTGAGAGGCGAGCGCTTTACGCACAAGCCACCCATGCCACCCAAATGAAAAGACTTTAATTCTGAACAGATTTGTTAAAATCTTTCGAGCAGATGTTTTCATTTATATGACAGTTCCTTCTGATAGGACAGGTTATAAGCTTACCCATTATTTTGTGTACTGCCCCTGGATCCACTATGCTGTCGGAGGGGCCTCCTTGGTTCCTCCTGTGTATTAGTCTGGGTTGTATGTCCCTTCAGACATATCAGATCCAGCAGGGTGTCAGTGGTGGATGTGACGTACGCAGTGCCTGGTGTCATACCATGACCAACAAGACGAGGACTGGCAAGATCCAGGAAGGTGTGTATACCAGGGCTACAAAGAAGAAGACGGACACAAGAGAAACGATCAGAGCCTGATTCCAACCAGCAAGCTGACCTTGTTCAGCTCGCTGGTCAATTGGTAAGACGTCTGCACTTGTAAGCAGGATGTTATAGGTTTGAGATCCACTTGATTTTTATTTTTCCATTCTTATTGCAAACCCTATGACAATACTGAGTATGCAGGGTTTCTGAAGGGTTGTCCTGTCAAATAATCTGTGACCAATACAAGCAAAGCAAGTTCAGTGTTCCAATTGCACAAAAGTATTTCATAGTTTTCTCTTCATGGAAATTTCAGATTTTAAATTTGGTATCTATCATCCCATACAGATCTGTGTGTGTTTATCTCCAGCATTTACCCGAAAGTCAAATAGGCAAATTTTGCATGTGCAATCAGATTGAACTTGGAAAAGATCTCTCTCAAATGACGTCACTGACGAAGGCCGAGTGGTAAGTGGGGCACAGACGCACTACATTTTCCGTGGTCCACGAGCGCGAGCGTGATAACGAATTCATCTTCAAGCAAACTTGACGCACTAAAAAGATTGAACACGCACGCTGTACACAAACCTTTCAGCGGTTATCCTATAACACGTGCGTGTTTGTATTGGAATAGCGCAATACGCGGAGTGCGGTATGGACCGTGGCCGTGCTACATGGTTATATGTAGCACGGCTTGTTGCCATGGATCGACCAATCAGGATCGAGGATTCAAGTTTACTTGAAGATAACACTATTTATTTCCCACTTAACTTGTGACTAGACATGAGCTCCTTACCTGTCCTGTTCCACGATTGGCTTAATTTCACACACCTCCATGGAGTTGAAGTGGGTAACATACAGGTAAGGGCCCCTGAACATGAATGCTAATGGTAGACGTGACCATTTCATGTCTTCAGGACGAGTACGCCGACCTTTGCCATCCACAAACACGCCAAACTCTGCAAGAGCAAACACAAATCAATTCAGTATTAATTTGAATATTTGTCTGAATCTTTACAAATTTCTAATTACTGTCTTCATTCAATTTTAACCAGTTCGCGTCGGAGGACGTGATAACATGCACTGGCTGTTTTTATACACAGGCACGGCTGGTGACGGGCTAAGACGTGATGATTGCCTAGACTCGCCTCGTGTCTTTTGTACACACACACAAAGTCTGTGAAGTTTGTGAAGGCAGACTGTGTGTTAATCTTGAATTGGCTGTTGTGCACGGCCTATTGTTGTCTGCAGTGCACACCCTGAGTATTGAAACATATAAGGTTTTGTCAATAAATATCATACAAATACTGATGAAATGACTCTTGTGAATCAGTATTTGTGGCATCTGCCTGAAGTTGGCGGGAAAATTTGCCTGTTGCGAAAATCGAAATTTTCAGCAAAAATAATCCCGGTGCAAAGGGGTTAAGGAGTTCAGAGGTTAATGTTGTCTTACCATGGAAGCAGAGTAGATATTCCTTAGGGAAGCCGTCTGGAGCAATCTGCACCACTGCTATTGGGAAGCTGTTGACTTGACTTGCTCCAAAGACGGCAAACGCCAGGGAAGTATCAGTAGAATCCAGAAACTCTGTCAGACATAGCAATCAAATCGACATGACGGATTGGATGCAGGGAATGACTCAAGATAGTCTCTCTGACTTGATATCGGGTTGGTCTCACACGTACAGTAGTAAACGCATTTTGTCTATAACTTTAAAGATGTACTGATTTGTTAATTTAGAATTCACCTAGGAAATATAAATTTGGGTTTATTGCTCTTTTTCTAGCCATACAAAAGTTAATCATTTTAAAAATAATTTTAAAAATAAACCACAACTGGAAACTGACTAGGTGCATTTTGATGTTTTACAAATAAAGGTACGTGTTCTTTCAGCAAAACGAAAACAATTCACATTTATCTCTATGAGAATTGTTCTCATTTTGCTGTGATCCGTGGACAGAACTTTCAAACGGTGTTTGTATTCAAAATTCCGTAACTTGAAGAGTACACGAGTGATTTGAATGATTCTTGTACTAAAAGAAAGCTACTTGATTGGGCTTTCATATCCTAGATTTTGAAAGTGCTACAAGCAAAACTTCATTCAAAAATTTGGCATGCCATTTGGCTTGCGTTTTTTTTTCTCAACCTGTATATATTCAATTTATGCTATTTATTTTACATAATTATTTATTCGAGATCGCCAATCTATCTGTGAGAATTAGGTTCCATTACGTGGCTTTTTTTTCAATGTAAATCATGTGTATATGTAAACTACATGAACTTCAATAGTAGTTTTGACAGGGGTTTAATGATCCATTTACATAGATGTCACTATTTTCCCTGATTAATATATGCAATAAACCATCTCAAAGCTAATGACCTTGATATACAAATGTGAAATATCTCACCATCGATTTGATATTGGTCTAGATCAATCTGATAGAAGCGATCAGTACCAGCAAGCAGGCTGCTTGGTGTAAACAACAAACAACTACAGGGTTCCGATGTATTGATCTCCTGCAGGACATAAACACAAAGAGCGTCATGAAACAATACCAATAGTACATATATAACAATTGTGGAGTTTTCGGTGGGCCACAAACTCACCATCTTCAAGGGAAGAGACACCCACAAGAGAAAATTTATAAACAGAAAGTAATGCATTGTTTGATGAAGCAAATTAAAAGTATAAACAACCCTCAGAAGATTCACATATGTTTAGTGTAACGTTTGGATTAACTTTTAGCCTGGTGGCTTAATTTGTAAATTTTGAGAAAATAGAGAAACACCTTTTTGGTATTGTAACTGTCTTCTGTTGCTTAAAATCAGAAAGGTGTGCCTGCAGGCACACTTCCCAAACTTTAATGATTGTTTTCTTTCAAACAATACCATTTCAGACATAATAAGTGCACAGGGTATTTGGGACCAGCACTATATTCCCTTGGAGCAAAGTTTTTCTCATCAAATTGGTAGAAACATTTTTGGGTAAATAAATGAAAAGGGGAAAATGTAGTGCATTTCAGTACAATCCCTGTACATTCCAAAAAATATCCAAACACTTAAAGGGAATATACAAACATTTGCAAACATCAAAAAACAAAACTACAAATTATCGCAAAATAACTTATTGGACTGTTTGTGAATGACAGCCTTTATCCTGTGAAATCATGCCACCTTGTGTGCTGACAATTTCAAGATAACTGGTATTTTTGTCTAAATTTCCAATGCAGATCGGCTGATCAGCGTTGGAAAAAAACTGGCTTTTTTCAAATACTGCTCCCAATTTATCATATGTAGTTTGTCCACATTTTCTTTGCAATCGATTACACACCTGTGAACCTTACAAATCCCCGACGTCTACAAATTGATCCGTTTCATCTTAAGTGGGGTCAGGGAACCCAACTACAATAACATTATTGTTTTTCTTGGTTTTTCAGCATCAATGGACTCAAAACTTAAAACAGTGTATTAACAATTTGCTATAAAACACCAACCCCCAAATCCATCCATTTCTGAAAATTACAGCAAAAGCAATACATTTTATTTCTTTGAAATGGGTAAATTCTAAGCCTGTTGCGGGTACCCGGGTACCCGCCCGCGGAGGCCAAGAACCGGTTCCATTTTATCGGGTCGGGTATCCGTAACCGAATTTATAAATTTCGACGCAACGTCCGAGACAAAAAAAACACAAGTACGTGCATTCAAATATCACCAACAGAAGATTTACAAAGTTCAGAGTGAGTTTACCGACGATTCCAAAACTCCATTTTGCGGTTTATATTTTGTTTTCAGTTTTATTTAGACTATCTTTGATGCGTCTCCAGAAGCCCGAAAGTGGCGAAACACGATAGTATCAACCCATTGTTTGTGTTTGTAATAAAGCTTCTTGTAGCCGCTAGCCAGGAAATCATATTCTTTGATGCGCCGTAGATGGCGGGTAGTACCCATAACAAGTCCGTAACCTAAGATTTACAAAGTTCAAAGTGAATTACCGATCATTCACTGAAAACTCCATCTTGCGGTTTTTAGTTTGTATTCAGTTTTGTTGACTATCTTTGAAGTTTGAATTGATGTGTCTCTCTCCAGAAGCACGAAAGTTGACCCATCATGTTTTTAATAAGTTTCTCGTAGCGGGCCGCCAGGAAATGATCTTCTTTGATGCACCGCAGATGGCGGAATAAACAAACGATACTAAGTGATTGACGTTTTAATTGCAGTCACGAACAATAAAAAAAGATGACAAAATGTAAGCCCAAGTTACTTTGTTGTGTCTGTGTGATTATTTCTTGTCCCTGACATTCCCTGTCTCATAACCTTGCTGTCCGGTGATCATCATGCCACGTTCAGGAAGTAGCCACGTTTGGTCACATTTTGAGAAAAAGTCAAAACTGTTTGTTAATTGTTTTTCTTTAACCCGATTTTTTCTGATGTACGATGTCTCAAAGCCTGAGAAAGTTTTAAGGGCATTTATAATTTCCTATGATCGAACAAAGTGTAGATAAAAAATATACCTTTAACAACAAATTATATAATAAAAGAAATAACCGCGGGTAAATATTTTCTGCGGAACTGGCCAATCTCAACGCACGTAAGAAGTGCAACTTGACTAGCGATTAGCGTAGTACAAGACGTATGCGCCGGGTCCCTATGATAAAGCACGACACCATTTGTGCACGTGCTTTCACTTACCGTTAGTACTGACTGCCGTGCCGGTGTAGCATGAATTTAGGTTTTATGAAATACGGACTCATTGGTGGTATTGCGCATGCTTATGCATAGATAATTAGGAGAGGGACTGGTCATGTGAAAGGTTTTAACCAATAAAACACAGACGGCAGGATGGACTCACTGAAGAATACACAGCGGGGAGCTCTTGGAAGTTCGCCGACTTTGTCATCGATGTCTTTAAACTCTTTATTAATCACCTTACGTTTCTTTTATTTCATAAACTCAGGTGCTGTATATAATAGACATTGAATTTGCAATTCCTATTTTTTACTGACAAATCGACCATTTCCAAATCGATATACCAAATGGGGTGTTTAGAAACGAAAGCACTTACTTCCGGGTTGGCGTTATAAATCAAAACACTTACCTCCGGGTTTTTTTTTTTGGGGGGGGGGTTACGGGTACCCGGGTACCCGACCTTGACCGGGAAAGGGTACCCGGTTCCAGTCAAAACCGTAAACAGACAGGCCTAGTAAATTCTCATACATGTATTTATCTGATAAATCGTGTGTAAGGACCTTACATTTTATGCCACACTTACCTTACGTGTAGAGAACTTGGAGACACCATTCAGTTTACTGTGTTTGAGAATCCTGATCTTCTGAGGAGTAGCTGCACATATGTATGCCGCCCCATTGACTGCTCCATAGGCAAACAGATGACAAGCCTGACCAACGAGACAAACTCATGGAAATTACAGAATGAAATATGGATCATTCTGTATCAAGTCAATACACATCACACAGGTCAATCTCACAGATTTGTATTAGAGCTGTCCATTTTCAAATAATTTAGTATTCAGTTACTCAAAACTGCGTTTGATCAAATATTCGGATATTCGAAACTGCCTGCTGCAACTGCATGCTGCACTGGTAAATAGTTGACCAAAGAGTGTGCTAATTAAAATTGGCGCACGGCGATAGATATTGGGCGCTGGAGTGTTTTGCAGTAGGTATTTTATAACTGTGAAAAGGATTTAACCTGCTAAAAGGATGGGAACAATGAACCTCCATCGACAATAAAGTTACCAAAAAGTTGACAAAAAAGTGGCAACTGACAATAAAGCGCCACAACTTTACAATAAAATAACAACACAGTTTTGTGTATGCGGATAGTCTTTGTTTTCGAATATTCAAACCGACAAAAAGCTATTCGAGTATTCGGTTGATGATGACAGCCCTAATTTGTATGGTCATATAAGAAAACACTAAAACTAAAATCTGAACATTTAGGGTTTAGACTGTTAGCAAATTATAGGCATCATACCATATATGGTATGATACTGACAGACAAATTAGGTGATTTCCATCATAGGAAAACACTCAAACCCAAATTTGAACATTTTGGGTTATACCGTTAACAAATTACAGGCATCTATGGTATGATACTGTCAGACAAAGGTGATTTCCATCATAAGAAAACACTCAAACCCAAATTTGAACATTTTGGGTTATACCGTTAACAAATTACAGGCATCTATGGTATGATACTGTCAGACAAAGGTGATTTCCACCATAAGAAAACACTCAAACCCAAATTTGAACATTTTGGGTTATAACAAATTACAAGCATCTATGGTATGATACTGTCAGACAAAGGTGATTTCCACCATAAGAAAACACTCAAACCCAAATTTGAACATTTTGGGTTATACTGTTAACAAATTACAGGCTTCTAAGATATGATACTGTCAGACAAAGGTGATTTCCACCATAAGAAAACACTCAAACCCAAATTTGAACATTTTGGGTTATACTGTTAACAAATTACAGGCTTCTAAGATATGATACTGTCAGACAAAGGTGATTTCCACCATAAGAAAACACTCAAACCCAAATTCGAACATTTTGGGTTATACCGTTAACAAATTACAGGCTTCTAAGATATGATACTGTCAAAGGTGATTTCCATCACAAGAAATGATCTAGTTTGCAAATGACATGAAAGCTTTTAATTGTCAGCTTCACATTTATCGAAATAAATGTTGCCCTGATACACAACAAAGCTTGAAATCCTGAGAACCTTTAGCAAAATGACATATTTACTTTATAAAATGCAGTAGCAGACCAGAAACATCAGAGCCATACAAGACACAAGCACAAACCCTTATTCAGATAAGAAATCGATTCTTTAGATTGTTCCAGTTAAATTGCTAACATAGTCCAAACAATGAACAACCACACTGCAAATTTATTGTCATTTAACACAACATTTTTGTTCCAGGTTAAAAGGTCAGTTTTAAGCACAACATAAATGCTCATAAAATCTACACTTGGTGTGGATAATGTAATCATGGTAGTCTTTAAATCCCACTTTCCTTGCACAGATTCCTTGCGAGTGTTTTCTTTCTAAATGACGTTTTTATATTTTGTCTGATCAAAGCATCTTGACCATTATACAAACCTGAATATTTTCTATGGGCGTGTAGTTGATGACAGCCTCGGTCACACTAGCCTGACTAGCCATAGTCTTCAAATGTGTCAGGTCTGCAAAGCACAGTCTACGCTCAGGGCCTGACAGCACAAATTAAACAGAAAATACAGAGGCAAAGCATGATTCTTTGGAAAATTCTATCAAACTGCTTTTCAGAAATCAAACGTTGCAATCCAGCAATGGATGACGTTTCAAATTTGACATTCTTCCTTACTTTTAAGTACTACAGTGAAACGCCACTATAACGAATGGGGAGTCAGGTTGGCGTAGCGGTACTTTCCTCGCCTTCCACCGCTGTGACCCGGGTTCGAATCCCGCCTGGGCCAATATGCGGATTGGGTTTTCAGTCCCTGCCTGATTCCGTGGGTTTTTCCCAAAATATTCTTCTGGGCTTTTCCTCCCACCTCTAAAACTGTAACTTCTTCTCATTGTCTTCTCTCCACAGGTTTCTTCAGGCTTGCGAGCTACAGTGCCTAGGGCGCTTTTGAGGAATCCTTGGTTTCATTACCAGAAATGATTAATAATAATAATAATAATAACAAACATGTTACAGTGGTTGTTTGTTATAGTGATTGTGAATTATAATAGAATTTACTATTTCGGGAGCCATAGGAGATGTTCATTATAGACAAATGTCAGTTACAGCGGTGTTCGTTATAGCAGCGTTTCACTGTATAGTCAGTTACTAGATGATACTCTTCACACCATGAGATAGAGGCTGTGGTGTGCCAGTTATAGTCAAGTATAAAGAGTTGGAGACTTACCAACAGTCATGATAGCAATGCCAAGAGGAGCTATAGCCTTCATCTGGAAGACACTGTCTACACCATTCAGCTGTGATAGCGGCTGAGGTTTATCAGTGCTGGCCATAGCAAACAGTCCATCTTCAGAGCCAATCAACATCAACTATGATCAAATTCATACAATGAATACATCATTAACCAGTTTCTTAACTCTTCGAACTCGCATGGAATCAATCGTCGTAATGAGATCATGTAATCAAAACAATACACTCTGACATTCAAGTGGACTCATTGTAAATAGCTGTCATAATTCTTAAGGTGATTTCTCAGCTTGCTGCCCACAAAAATAGAAGTTTTGCTTGTAAACTTTGCAAATCAGCCAAAAATTCCACACACCACAGTAAACCAATCTGGAGTCAGGAATCTTATTCCATCAAAACCTTTGGCTTGAGTCATTATCGGCAACCAGGCCCCTCATCAGTTTAAATCAAACAATTTTAAGTTCTCCATTGGCTTTTCCACAATTAGTGGGACAACCTTTGTTTTTGTTCAGATTTTTAATTTTTATTTTCTCTATTTTTCTTCTTCCTTGTTCTTCCAAATTCCCATAGATTTTGTACATGTTTTTTTCTTGGTGACACTTTGAACATTTTGAATGCTAACATTTTGATCAAACTTAACACTTGGACCATATAAAGACGGAGGTCATCAGGTTCATTTTTCAAAGGCATAGGCCTAATTCTACAGAACTATAGGTCCAATTCGGTTTAAACTTGGTATGTACAGCGTACACAGTCAGGGAAGTGTTATAGGTTAGAATTGAAGTCACGTCATAATGACATCAATCAACTTCCTTGACAATTTTTGAAACCCCTCAGAAAAAAAATGCAAAATTTTGGCATGTCTCTTTTTCCTCAATATCACTAGGCTTTTTAATTCAATTCAATTTAATTTAATTAATTAATCAAACTCTCTATACACATATAAAATCAGGGGAAAAGCCCTGTGATCTGTCCTAAAACAAACACATAGATCTCTTGTTCTCTAACTTATAGCAAATGTGCTGCGGAAAAGCTCCAACGTTGTTTCAATTACTCGTATTGAATCTTACTACTAGTTTATCAACAACTCACCTCCTGGCTAAGAAGCAGCGTGCAGTTGATATCCATTTTATTCTCTCCCTCCAAGCTCAGGAGGGTATTCCCCAAGAGACGTGCATTATCTCTGGCAACCTGTGCACCCACGCTCCCTTCACTCATGACAAACTCCAGAGTCATCATCCACTTCTGTTTGTCTGAGAAGCTGGAAGCCATCAGGAAGAGTGTACGTCCAGGCCAGCAAGTTGTGTGCGGATGCAACTCAATGCGTAGCACGTAGGTGAGGTCAGTCGATGCGGTGTTGCCTAGCTCAGCAGCAGTCACTCCTGCGTGGATCGTCACCCGACCATCAGAGGGACACAGGTCAAACTCATCACCCGGTTTACTGGAACCTGAAACACAATCACAAACTAATTTCAAAATGTGTCATTCATTAGGATGTGTGATGCTTTTGTTTCTCATGGAAACAAACACTTCATTCATGACTGTCAACAAGTAACAGTTTGTAAGATTTGAAACTTTGCATGGGTGGTGGTATGAACTAGTGAAGGTTTGCGGTAACGCCATGTAGAAATCTCTTTTGGGAAGATGTGTGGTTCTGAAAAGAACCGGTTTGTGGTAAAACTCAACGTTCTGATCAGTATGCTCTGATCGTCTTGAGGAGAAAACAAAAATCAGTATGCTCTGAGTCTGATCTTCTCCTGCAGAGGATCAGAGCATACTGTTTGGAACGTTGAGTTTTACAACCAACAACCAACCCGTTCTTTTCAGACCACACATCTTCTCAAAAGAGATTTCTACATGGTGTTACCTCAAACCTTCACTAGGTAACAGTTTATTGACTTTTGAGTGACCTTGATTTCTTGCAATACTATTATGCTCTATTTCATGAAGAATAAGAACAGGCCAATGTTCTCTTCACACAATGGAAAATGGGAAATGCCAAACAAATTTGATGTCACAAAACATTCACAGTAAACTTTGGAGCAGTTCAAATGTGAAGAACATTGTGCAAATCTGCAGTGCGAATACTTGCCATGATGTTTAATACAGATTTGGTATTTCTTCTCATGCCAAATATGAATTTATAGAAATTATAGATAAACATGAAAGAAACATACACAAATAAACGATTTCAGGCATATAAACCTTGCTTTCCTTCATACCATACTTGCATTAGATGTGACTTACCATTGGTGTTCTCCTTGTCATAGATACATAGCTTGGTTCCTTCCAGGACCACCCACTTCTTATCCCAACCAGATTTACCATTCCTGCGGGTACAAAATTCATGTACCAAAATTCATGTGAGGAGGGGAAACAAAGTAATGGAGGAATTCAAGGATTCCAGTTAAAAACCTATGTGGGGTATTTAGGAGGATGCTTATACAAGATCCAAGATATTAACTTTTCTTTTCAGTGTTTTTGGGTGATTTAAAAAAAAAAATTTTTGGAGCACCTTTTTTCCACCACTAGCGGGATGTTGCGCTTCGCGCGGCACCCGCTAACTGGGTGGAGTCGTAAAGTTTGCATTGTTTGCAGATTTAAATAAGTTGTCAGTGGAAAAACAAAACAAATAAAGCAGTAAATAAATAATGAGAATCTGGGGAAAATCAGCCAGGGGGCGACTTGATACAATCATCTGACCAGACAGACATTTTCTTCATTGTCTTCGTCTGATAAATTCCCTAAATATCCAAATTATTCATTATCCCATATTCATTAGCTACAGAGGGCCTACCTCAGCAAGTAGCACCTGCTATTGGAAACCGGAAGTGGGGAAAATCCACAATTTGGAGTGAAAACTTGACAGTTTTATAAACGAAAATTCCTCAATCTGCATGTTGGGAGTAAGGAGTAATGAGTGGGATGTTTTCATAGAGATAATGTTGTAATATTGAACTATTCAAAGTCTGAAAGAAACAAATTTGCCAAAAAAAAGCAAAACCAAACAAATAATTTTTTTTCACATGCCAACCGTGACTTCAGAGGACAGTGAAACTGTAGCATATATATACAACCATGGAGCTATAAGATATCTAAGCCTCTTTATTGACACTTGCATTGTGTTACCACACACTTCTTAGGCCTTTTACAAAAACACGTGACAGTGACACACAGACATGAGACATCAGTGACACACAGGCATGAGACACCAGACAGACAGACAGCGTAGGATCTTTAAATATAGGATTTAAAAGTTTATACTGACGTATGTGAGCAACATATGTAGGAGTAAGGATGTGACTTTGTGCTTAATTTTGCTGTTAAGCAAATATTTTCCACCGTTTAAACGTTTGGCTATTCACAAAGGCTGACGAAAATTTGTAAACGGAATTGTTTTCGTTTAATCGTTTAATCGTGACATCCTTACGTAGAAGAGGTATGGGACATTGAACTTGGCCGCGCATTGAATACATCAAACACAATACATTTTATATTATATAACCGACATACAGATCCTTGTCATTTGATTGGTGGAACTCACATCACGTGGCATTTGTTATTGCTCCCATTCATGCCGCGGCTCAAAAAGTACTATCCGCCCATGGGGAATGGGAAATACTATTCAACAGTTAGGATCATGACGCGGTATTTGTGTGCAAATGCATGCTGGTGTGCGCGTTCAGCGTTGCGCGTAGCGCGTATTGTTCCAAAGAGCCAGCGCTACAGCGTTGGGTTCAAACATTTTCGTGAAAGGGTGGTTTGGAAGAGAGAAATACATTTTCCTCCAATTTTGTATTGAAAAAAAAGTTCAAATATATCAAATGACAAGGATCTATATGTCAGTTATATAAAACAAATATTGAGTGGCTTTAAATTGTGAAATGGGAGGAATATTATCGCTCGGTAAAATCTGGACTTTTCCAGTTCACTCGGCTTCGCCTCGTGAAATGGAAAAGTCCAGATTTTACCTTGCGATAATATTCCTCCCATTCCACGCTGAGCCACTCAATATTTGTATACCATGTATATTGGTGACTCAACAGATGGTTGCCAGTCATTGGATACAGTGAAATCTTGCTAAGTCAAACTCTGATAACTCAAAACAACTGTTAAGTCAAACAAAGAATCCATTGCCTTCAGTAATATAACAATGATATACAACGCTGCTTAACTCAAAACTCTGCTTAAGTCAAATTTTGAACCTGTTCCTTTGAGATTTGACTTATGAAGATTTCACTGTATATGTACTTTGATCAACCACATGTACTGAAGTGCTTCCTATGGTTTGTAAATTGAATTTTTTTCACAGACATCTATCATTTAAAAAAAAAATGCAACATGAGGGTTTTCAAAATGACATACACATCACAAATCAAGAACATGTGCCACATTGAGTGAGCACTACACTACCTCAGTAATGACAATCTAAAGACATAATCATCAGACAACTCCTCAATCCCACGAGCGTAGCCATACCTGGGTATCTTCATCCAACTCTGCAGGGTGACTGAGCCATTCTCCCCTTCAATAGGACCCACTTTAGGCGAAGCTGTCTTGCAATGCATGGCCTGACTGAAATGCTGTACGTACTGGGATGGCAGACCACATGTATGGGGTAAGGATGAGGCACACTTGAGGTGACAAACCTGGTGACACTCTGCATAGAGGAAAGATATCAATATCAACAGCCACGCAGTTGAAAATAAGCAGCACAGTACTGAAGGTATGTATGATCATTTGTTTTTTGTGCTTTTTTTTTTAAATTGAACTTTGTATTTGGAAGCAAGAAATTTGCTAAAAAGCTTAGGGTGCGCAACAACTAACCTGTAGAAGTTTCAGTTTAGCAGATACAATACATGTTGATAAAACAGTGAAAACATATGCACAACTTTTTGGTCTCGTAATTTACTAACTTGCTTCCACTGCTAATGCACATAAACAGTTTGCTTGTGGGTATCATATTTTAAATTCACCTTCAACGTTAGTTTTTGCCAAAAGATTTCTGCCTTTTTAGGATGAAATAATTTCACAGGGTATTTTAAATCAGTCCTATCTTAACCTTGAACAAGGTTTCTGTCATTAAATTGGTAGGTACTTTTCCGACACCTTTCTTTGTAAAATTAATGCCAAAAGCAATATTGATGTTTATCTTGATAATAAATTCATAACATTTCACACAAAAATGTCCCCACAAATGCAGGGTGGTCCCAAAAACGGAACCTCATACTTCCACTACCCTGAGACTCAAACCACCTGTATCAATTGATGAAGAATCCTTAATTATGATACCAAAATATCCTGATTCAGTCCAGTACTTTTTGCTGCAGAGCCTATTTTGTGAAGCACACTTCTTTCATGTGGGTATTATTACATAACAATCCCTCTATCAATTACAATGTAAGTCAACCTCCCAGGCACGGTTTAGTAATTCATCGGGACAAAAATGCCCCCACCTTACTTCACAAAATAGGCTCTAGAACAAAAACTACTGGACCAATTTGAGCACCTTGATTTCAGTTTTCTTCTAAAAAAATTCTCCATACATTGGTATATGTGTATTGATGTTTATCTTGAAAATAAATTCATAACATTTCACACAAAAATGTCCCCACAAATGCAGGGTGGTCCCAAAAACGGAACCTCATACTTCCACTACCCTGAGACTCAAACCACCTGTATCAATTGATGAAGAATCCTTAATTATGATACCAAAATATCCTGATTCAGTCCAGTACTTTTTGCTGCAGAGCCTATTTTGTGAAGCACACTTCTTTCATGTGGGTATTATTACATAACAATCCCTCTATCAATTACAATGTAAGTCAACCTCCCAGGCACGGTTTAGTAATTCATCGGGACAAAAATGCCCCCACCTTACTTCACAAAATAGGCTCTAGAACAAAAACTACTGGACCAATTTGAGCACCTTGATTTCAGTTTTCTTCTAAAAAAATTCTCCATACATTGGTATATGTGGTTTGAGTCTCAGGGTAGTGGAAGTATGAGGTTCCAGGGTTTTTTAGGGACCGCCCATAAAAAATCTTACCTTGGCATTTTGCACACTGTCGTCCAAAGTGCACAGTATCCACACAGACAGCACACTTAGTGGCACGTGTGTTGAGTCCGGTTACCAGACGATGTGGTATGTTATGCTTCATACGTTCCTTCAAGCGTTTAGCCTCTTTGCCACTCTGCGCCGTCTTACGCTTGGAGCTAGCCCTGGCGTTGGGGACTGGTGTGAAGAGGCTAGGGCTAGGCTGGTTGGTTGGGGATAGGACTATGGCTGATAACAAGTGAGGATTGGCTGTATGACCAACAGGCTTGGGAGTCTTGAAATCGGAGCGGGGTTTGGTATTGGCTGCAATGACAGGAAGAATTGGGGGAGGGAAGGGAAAGAAAAATAATACAAATGAATTAAATGCAACAAAAAATAATATTGATAATAATGTGGTGCTTACATGTATATGGGTCATTCCACCGGGTTGGGGAACAATGTGTGACATATGACCATATTAAGAAAAGCATGAATGCCTTGCTAGCAGTTGCTCTACATAATATTTGTGGCTGGGTGTTTCACTACTGCAGAAAGTTTGAAAACATTTCAATGCATTTTGCCAAAAATATGAGCAAAAAAGTCATTTTGGACGTAACATTGACCGCTGACCGTGTCAGTGTAATGTCCAAATATGACATTTGTACCTTTTTAAAATTTCTGCGAAAGATTACCCAAATTCACTCTGCGTACTTCTTACTATTCATGCAACACAATACGAAAAGCTTTTGTTATGGTAGTCAGGTATAGAATGGAGCAGAAATGATAGCTTGGTTGTGTGGATGTAACATTGACATGGTGTAAAACCCAATGTCACACTTCCATTGAGTGATTTTTACACCGTTACATCCACACTTGAGGTATTGTTTCTGCTATATTTGAACCCTGACTATACCAAAACAAAAGCTTTTATTGGTGCTTAGGTGTCCAGTTGTAAATATGCAATGTAAGTTTTGGTAATATTGTAACATACATGTAAAAAAATGGCAAAAAAAAGAATATTTGGATGTAACATTGACACGGTGTCAATGTTACATCCGAATTAATACATTTTTGCTCATATTTTTGTCAAAGTACTTACAAATGATTTCAAACTTTCTCAAGTATTGAAACACCCTAAGACAAATATTATGTTGAGCAATTGTTTAGAATGCATTGATACTTTTAATAATACATGTATAACCAAATATATGGATGTAACATGCACTGCTCCCAACCCAGTGGAATGACCCATATAGCACTTTATACCAAAGGTCTCAAAGTGCTTTACACTTATTACCCCTGTTCATCAGGCCATGATAGCACATTCTGAGTGGGCCAATCAGATCAGAGGTAAGACGGCATTGTCCAGGCACATATATTAACCAATAAAGAATGCAGAATCATTTAAGGGCGTTGCTTGTCTTCATGTACATACATGATATGAGATCAGGTCGCAAGTGTAATCCAAACAGTACAAAATCATTTGCTATAAATTCAGATCAATAAGAAAAAGTTGTAGTTAGTAAATATGTTGGGGTTTTTTTACATTTGGTGTTGAATATCGGAATGAATAGTTAACTTGAAAATTATTAGGCTTGATTAACCAATAAACACTGGCAATAATATATTAGCTAGCAAGTGCCTTCAGTTAACCAATTGGCCAAAGGAAGAAAAAGGTGACATTATGGGAGGTTGTCCAACACAGAAACTAACACAAAGTACTAAAATATAAAATATTAAAATATTAAATACTAACACGCTACACTAACACAAAGATGGAAGAGATTTTAATGTCTAAGATGTTTATTTATAAACAGCTGCATACAATGACTACACCGTCTGAAAAGTTGAAAGTTGTTATTTGGGACTACAAAGCAAGCTGTACAAACCTTCCATCTTAGCCACCTGTAGTTCTGCCTTAGTCTTAGTCAGTTGTCGTTGGAGATCCTGTTTCCTACTTCGCTCCATCTCTAAGGCTTGCTGTAGCTCCTTGTACTAGATGGGAAAAAAAATCAAACCAGAATGCATAGATCCAAACTGTTGTACAACATGATTAATGAAATCAACGTCTTATGATACGCTGACAAAAACAAAGATTGGAGATTTTTTATCATGCCTAATTTTCTATTGTCCAAACTCACTTCAACCCTTTCTCACTGGAGCGCCTGAAACCGACGGAGGACTCTATGCTTTTTTTCAGAGAGTAAATACAATGTATTACAATGTAGTACAGGTGCGTATGCGTTAAAGGAGGATGTTGGTCCGCCTTCATATTTACCTCTGAGGTTCATATGGTAATCTAAGACACAAAACAAGACATAAATTCTTATGCTGTTTCAATTAGTAGGCTGTTTACTGACATCTCTCTCGTATTTTTGGTTTCAAAGCAGTTGTATTTCCAAAGTGGCAAGTATGATAAAGTTTAGGCATGAGATCAAATTTGTCGAATTTTGTGGAAATTTTACTGCTTGAAGGGAATATCTGTAAAAGTCGGCCAAATTCAATTATTACTAGATATTTATAAAGATATTGGTTTGCTGTGGCCTCGTGGTTAAGGGCACTGGATTCGTGGTCTGCGGGTAAAGCTGCGGGTTATGGGTTCGAGTCCAGCCGGGGTCATGGTGCATGTGCCCTTGGGCAAGGCACTTTGTCACTCATTGCTTCTCTCCACCCAGGAGTAAATGGTTACCTGCGAGGGCAGAGATGGTTATTGTGATTGGATAAGCTTGCATGCGCCTAACAGGCGGCATCGAGCTGTATACTCCCCAGGGAGCTGAAATGGTAATTGGAATTGGCCCAATGATCAGGAGTAATAATAATACTGTAAGCGCTGTGATTTAGTTTACTAATAAGAGCGTTCTTCAATGCCAATTATTAGGCCCTATTATATTACATATTTCTGATTTTTTTATTTTTTTTTTATTTTACATTAATCAATGTGAAAGTAGCTATACCAACATGTGCATACGCACCACACACTTTACTGCCGCCTACCCTGTCAGTAGGACCAGGGATGTATTACCTCAAGATAAGCTCCTAGACTGCCAACTATAACAACGATGCCATGGCAAGTGAAGTTACTGGTGGAACCTTTACAACAGACACACTGTCATACAGATTTTCCACTTCTTCCCCTCACACCATGTTGCATGTTTGTACACTATCTCCCAAGATAAACATTATTTCAGAAATGTACAAGCAAGATTCTGTCTGAACACGTGATGAAAACATTCATTAATGCGATTGATATTTCTGCATGACAGCTAACTTATTAATTCTAGTGTTTGCTGTTTGAGGCAAATATAATAACAACACTTTACTGCTAAGCGTGTTTCTATATAGCATGGTTTACCTGCATAGGAATACTTGACATGGTGCTGTCCTTGGTTGATTTGCCAAACAATCTCTTCTTCTTCTTTTTGGGCGGAGCTTCAACCTTTGCTTGGAGGAAGTCAATCAACTTGGTCTGCTGGGCTAGAGTACCTTCTAGTTTCACCTTCTCATGGGTATGCTGCACCTGTATATATTAGATCAAAGAGCAGTTATTAATACAGCAAGTTAAACATGATATTTCATTCGGCAAGCTCGGTGGTCTAGTAGTAAGATGATTTAGAACTTTTTCATTTCAACATTTCACATGTAAACGTCACATCCTTATTACCTCCGCCAAGGAGGTTATGGTTGGTTGGTTTGTCTGTTAAGAAAATAACTCAACAAGTTGTAGACAGATTTGCATGAAATTTTTTTAGGGATGTTCCCTGGTACAAGTACAAATCGATTAGATTTTGGAGGTGATCCAGATCTGGGTCTGGATCCAGGATGGTTTTTAAGGATTCTATACCATTTTTGCGAGTATTTCTTTTGGGTGTGCTTACAATATGGCGGGGAATTGTTAAGGCCCCAAAAAAATAGTTCTGCTTCCGGTTACCCTACCTACCCTATTTTGACAGCCCTGACCCTCATTTTTTTTGGGGGGGGGGAAGAAAAAGAAAAAACCATCAATTAGGCCTGCTACCTTCTACCCTTGACTACACGCGGATACCTACATATGATCAACACAAAAAAAATTTGCTCCAAAAAATACAAAAACTTACCTACTCTATTTTCAAATACCATGTAATCGGATGCAGAAGTATTTTGGTTTTTCTTGCCTTAAGCCTTGGCTGAGGTTTGCGCTCTCTGAGTGCTTTCTAGAACGGTTATGTATTTCTTGAACTGAAACATACAACTCTAAAAATCATCCAAAAATCATCTTTAGAGGCAAAACATTTCAACTAAATTTTACACATAATTACGGTTATAAAAAAATATATTTGAAACAAGGAGTTTTTTTTTCTCTTTCTTTTTGGTTGTATCTCCATTTCAAGCTCTGCCTAGAAGTGTCTGGTTTTGTCAAAACACATCAAATGATTGAAATATTGCAGTAGAATCGTGTTTGAATCGCGTCAACGCAGCTTGTGAAATATTGTCCAATTACATGATATACAAATGGACGTGGAACGCGCAAAATCTGAGACAAACCAAACTTAGTGTACAAAACCTCCATAGAGTTGTCTAAGGGGCGTGGCTAACTCGCAAACGGCGATAGGTTAATTGTACAATACCTGCATGGTTTCCATCTGATTCTCCAGGTCTTGCCCCTCAGCTTTCAACTGTTCACCTCTCTCTATAGCTTGCTCTAGACTCTGAGTCAACTTGAATGTGGTCGTCTTATTCTTCTGCAACTGTCCTGTAAGCTCAGATACCTGGGGCAAACAAGTCATAGCATTTATTGGTTAGCTACAGCCATACAGGTTTTAAAGAATTCCAGTGCTTCACGTGAACATAATATATTTTCTTGTAATGTAAGTTACCAGCCATGGGGAAATTCTACGTTTTTTTTCTGAGGGAGGAACGTTGCCTTTTCAAACTATCCAGCTGAAGTACAACTTATATAAAAATGTTTGTACAAATTGCAAAAGTCATTTCTTTTTAATCAGATCCCTTTAAGTAAAACCTTTTTTGAGCTTTCTAATAGCTCCCCTTACTTTGTTGTTTTAGATACCTGTCTGCAAAAGCCCTTTTTTCACGACAGCTATGATTTTCACGACCACTGTTATTAAAGAATAAAGGATAGACTTACAGCAGGGTTCAACCTTCAACCTTTTTTTCACTAGCCAGCCAAATTCCTCGCTTGTCAAATCTGTTTGCAGTTTTTTTTATATTTAAAGGCCCATACGTGGGGAAATTGAAACCAAGAAATTGGTTGATCTGAAAAAGTAGCATGTTTTATCATAATCCATACAGTAGTCAAAAATACAAACCATTGGTATCCATTTTAAATCTAAAGAAAGGTAAATTGTATAAACGTTTTTTTCTATCCTATTCTTCATTAGACTTCAGGTTTTCATGTTATCCTGATGTAGTTACCTCTTTCTCAAGTTGTTTGTTGTCATCCTTTTCCTGACTGCATGCTTTCTCAACTTCCTTGAGATTAACCTCAAGTACAGCATGTTGCTTTTCAAGTTCATTCATCTACATACAAAGAGGAAGCAGTTCAATTTATCAAATGACTAATCTGATTGATATTTTCTGAGAACACAAAAACAGGTCAAATGGGGAAAAAAATTCATTAAAAAAATTTGTTCTGTATTAAATTCCACCATAATCTTTACGTGTGAAATCTATGTTTGTGCCGATTTTAAGTATGTGACTTTGCGTTTCATTTTGTAAACGTTTAGCAAATGTTTTAAGAACCGTTTAAATGTTTATACGTTGAGCCATTCACAAAGGCTGACTGACGCATGCTCGCCTGTGTTGTTATATGTTCAATTCTCATTAATTTGCAGCACACAAATTTGAAGTGATGTCACAAATCGTTCATGCTACGTACAATTTGGCCCTAATACTTACACTTTGAGCCATCTTGGCAGCTTTCTGCTTGTGTTCCTCTACGTGTGCTTGCCACATCTCAATCTGTGCCTTGTGAGTTCTCTCTTTTTCTTGCAAGGTATTGTTAGCCTCCTTCACCTTCTGCTCAGACCACTCCCTGCAATAACACAAGAAGAAGACTCAGTTTGTTGGGACACAGCTTGTCATTAATTCAGCATTGGGTTTTTCTGCCCTACACTGACGTAATATCACAAGAACCATGTAACCAGTGCCTTTGTAGCATGAATTTAGGTTTTATGAAATACGGACTCATTGGTGGTATTGCGCATGCTCATGCATAGATAACTAGGAGAGGGACCAGTCACATGAGAGGGTTTACCCAATAAAAGGGAAAAAGAGTCCGATTTTCACACAAGTCCGATTTTCATATGACACCATCCCAGAGATTGCGTGATACAAACTGGGTGGGACTCGAACCCACAAGCACCTGTTCACTAGTGCTTCTTAGATTAAGCAGCTTTCAGGTATTGATCTACTTCACTGACAAAAAAACTGGCCAATTTTATTTTAAGAAATTCAAGATTTGAAAAAACCTAATAGAGGATGGACAATTAAAGATTTACTGTCTTCTTACATGAAAGATTTATGTGCTTTTGACAAAATTTGATTTTTCTTCCCCTTAACGAAAATAGAACTTGTTTTATGTTTCATTTCAATGAAAAAGTACTTTTTTTGCTATTTTCAGCATCTGCAACCCTTGCAAAAAAATTTTGAGTTGCTTTTGTGCATAAACAGATCCGCCCTTCTGGAGACTGGTTCACAGTACGTCCATTATTGATTCAGATGGGGCATGGGAACCAGTCTTAGAAGCAAAAACTGAGTTACTGTACTGCCGCAAGTAATTCAATATTTAAAGTAATAGACCTTATTCCCGGGGGAAGCCATTTCCGATCATGTTCCCTGAATGTTTTATAAATTGTGAACTGTTGAATGGGATGGTGCCAGACTATTTTATGATTGGAGTGCGATCCAAGCCTCACTTTTAATTATTTTTTTTTAAGTGTGGTTAAAACAGTAGGGTATTCATTTTTGTTATCACAAATTTATTCATCAGAGCAGACAGGTATTTCTACTTGCAAGTTCCAAAATTGAACAGTTTAGCTTTCAATCTAATATGGCCTACTCGTAAAAAAAATGTCGCCCATCAGACCATCTCCGGTTTCAGTAGCATGGAACGACTGAGAATATTTCTATTCCCCCTGGATGGGATGCTAGTCCATCGCAGGTTACTCCCCAGCTAATGCCGGTACCCATTTATACTCCCGGGTGGAGAGAAGCAAGTGGGGATGAAGTGGCTTGCCCAAGGACACAACATATGACCAGCAGCTGGATTCGAACCCCTGACCCTCTGATCATGAGTCACAAACCCTAACCACTAGGCCACACTCCCCCACTATGGCCAACTCATGAATATTCTATAACTGAAAGTGGGGCCAATGTTTTGGTTAGATGTCTCATTCAAAAGTGAATAACTTTTGTATTGCTAGAAGAATAGCAAGTCAAACAACAAATCTATTTTCGGGATAAACCTTGAAAGTAACACAGACAGCAGAACTTTCAGAAGAGATATCGGTTAAAGTCCAGTCAACAGTAATATTATGATATTATCTGATAATACTTCACAAGTAAAGTACAAGCAATTATTTGTTATCAATGCTAATGTAGTATTTCTACCTAGCCTGTTTCTCGGTCTCCAATGCTTGTCCAGCTTTCTGTAGCTCCATCATCTTCTGGCTCAGTTCCTCATTGAGACTGTCTCGCTCTTGTCTGAGTGTCGTCTCCTTTTCTTCCATCTTAGCGCTCAATGCTTCCATGTCTACAATCTGTTCCTCCAGCATCACACAAGACGACTTCAGCATGGAGATGGTCTGGTGATGGTCATCAAGGACAAAATTGAAGGAAAACATGTCAAAAGAATAAGGAAAAAACTGCCTAACATGATTTACCAGGAACCATACCCATCCTGGCAAACTCCAACACCATATGGGAAACTGCACACACACATTTCTGACTTTGATTCTGGAGGTGTGCCAACCCAATGTAAAAGACTGTCAGCTTAGGGGTACTGTACCTATCCTGACAGACAAAACATGCCGTTGGGGTTTGATGGGTTGAGTTCTGTTAGGGTTTTAATAAATCAACCCTAGCTCCCTAGCGTCATTTAATAGGAACTGGACCAAGTCCATCAAATCCATCAATCACTGGGCTTCCAATACAAAACTGTACATAATGGCATAATGGAATCCACCACTGATGCACTGGTCATGGACTTGCTACACATGGCTTTAATCACAATAGCAGTACAAGAAGCTAGGTAAAATCACTCAGCCCAAGTCCATCATACTCCATCAATATTTAGTCTCGCCAGGCATTCTGGACCAAGTCCCCCAAAATCCACCAAAATAGGGTTATGGATTTTGATGGAGTTGGGGTGGCTAGGGTGCATGGGTTCTAACCTGTTTAGGACTCTGAACATAGAATTGTGATATGCCCTTTACCTCATAAAAGTGAAATACAAGTTGCATGTTGATGACATTATTCCTTACCAGTTCCTGATTGGCACATGTCCTTCTCTTCTCCCTCAGTTCCTCATCTATCTGCTCGTTGGCCATCTCCAGTCTCTCTTTCTCCTCTCTCAGTCCTTCGGTCTCTGTCTCCATCTCACTGTTCTGTAGCATGAGTTCCTGGCAACGTTCTGATGTCTCTGTTAGCTGCTCCTCAAGCTCTGTGATCACTGAACAGCTTGTCTTCAGCGTCTCAAACTTGTCTTCAATCTCTTGCTTCTCCGTCTGATTTGGAAAGTGAACAATAAACTACGCTGAGGTAAACAAATTCATGATGAACTTTATCTACACTAGTCACCGGTCAATGACGGGTAAATGAAGTTTATGAGAAATATGAGACCCAATATGTAGCACCTTTATAAAAGGCATACAGCCACTGCCAGAAACACCGGGGCATACCCCTTCTCTTAGCAATAAGTGTTACTGGGTTCTTTAACCCTAACCCTGCCAGACGCAACACAGTGCATCAGGTGGAAAAGTCTGGTGCACTTTGATGCATTTAGCTACCAACACCAGTGCATAAACAGCCGCTTCTCAGACAATGAGAGCTAGTCCCATTGACTATGCCACAGTTGTATCCTGCTGCATTCGGTGACCGCAGACTCTGAGGCAGGTTGGCCTTGAGAGTGTTGCCTGATGGATCTTGCTGCACTGGGCAGGCTTGTCACTTAGACAAGTGTTGCATGTTGCTGCGTTTGGCAGGGTTTCTAGCCAAAATACCCTGGATACCGTAACCATTGCACCACAGCCCCCCGGTCATGGGTTTAAGTCCCCCCAGAACTTAAATTGCAATGAATAACCTCATTTTTTCTCTGTTTTCCTGCTGTTTGCCAATATTCTACAACTCTATCTGGGCTTGTTAGTACCTGTATCTGATGTAGCTGTTGTTCTGCCTTTTGCTTGTATGCATCCAGTTTTCCCTGCAGCTTGCTAGCTTTGTCTTGTAGGACGGCCTTAGAATCCTCTAGTTGTTGTATGTTCTGGTTAGCATCCCTGGTGATGGCGTGAGCATCTCTCAGCTGCTGACGTAACTCCTGCATCTCTTGCTCCTGATATCTTGCATTCTGAGGAAGAAATATCACCATAAAAACCTAAGTCTACATGTACCAGCATGATCAAGTTGTACTTGTGCATGTAACTCACTAATCCTTTTTATGAGGCTTATCTGGCTGATATGTGACCTGTTCTGTCAAAAGCAGATGCTTCTGGGCAGAGGTTGAAATTGAGATAGGGCCAAAAACGCTGTGGTGGTGATATTTTTCGATTTCCTAATTTTTGCATATTTGTAATCCTAAACACGTCTAAAATATAATATAAAAGTTTGAAACCCTAATTTGAACTCTAAGTATAGTATTTTTGATGATTCGTTAAGGTATATATCAGTTAAAGATATGTCACTTGAAACAAGTCTTAAAATAGACCCCAAACTTAAACTGCCATTTTCTCCGTTTTCTATTTTTTGACACGATGAACTTCAAAATAGCTTAACTTTGCCCAGGAATGACCGGTTTTAAAAATTCAACCACTTAAATTAAAAGGAAAAAGTACATATTTTAATAAAAAAGCAAAAATCTCATTTTGACCTTATGCCCAGAAAAGTCTGATTTTGACAGAACAGGTCACATATTGGCTTGTTTCAGATTTCATAAGCCAGAGTTTACCTACCTGGTCAAGTTGTCCTTGTAACTCACTAATCCTTTTCTTGAGGCTTGCCTGGCTGATATTCGCTTGTTTCAGCTCACATTCCACTTTGCCGAGTTGTGTCTCAAGGTAGTATTTCTCCTGTTTGAGATCAGCGACTCTCTCCTCCCCAGCACGTCTACAAGAATACAAGGCAAAGTGTAGTTTAAAAATGAAAACCCCCAGCATTCACATGTTCACATATTCACTTTTGAATGAGACTTCAAACAAACAAAATACACCCACGATCAGTCATGGAATATTTACCTTAACAGATTTTGAAGTATTTGCGGCCCAACAATACTTCAGGCATTTGTTTTTGTGCCATTTGGTTGAAAAAGCAACCCAATGTTATAGCATATTTTCAGAGGGTTGACAACAGCAATGTCCAAAACATCCAAAATGAACATCTCAACTGAACCACAAACGGAAACTGACTAGGTGAATTATAACAATTTTTGAAAGGTTGAACGAAAAAATTGATTGGAGCAGGGTTTGAATGTGCGACCTCCAGATTGCCGTTCCGGTGCTCTACCAACTCAGCTTTCCAGCCCTATGTTGGCTGTTCCCCAATTTGTCAATATCTTTGATCAAGGGGCGCTAGTTAGAAGCCATAAGCTCATATATGTATGCCATGCAGCCGGGATCACGCCCAAAGTTACGATACAGACATAGGAAATAGCAAACGGACATCCCTCAGCGAGGTTACGGCTTTTTATTACAAATTCAAGCACCGGAACGGTAATCCGGAGGTTGCAGGTTCAAACCTCGCTCTAGTCAATTTCTTGATTTCAAATGAAAATTGTCAGGAGAGAAAAACTGAATAAGCTTACTTGAGTTCCTTCCTTTCCTGTTGCAGTTTGTCGTTCTTTGTTTCCATCATTTCTTCAATCTGTCTCTCCAGCACATCGACTTTGCTTTGTAGCATTGTAATAGTCTGTTGGATAACAACATAATAGTCAGTGTTTGTTCCATTTTAGTGATAGATTCAAGTGAGGAACTTACAGTACGTTTAACCAGTGACTTTGGGTCAGCACATGTAGGTATGTCAGTACGGACGGAATGGACATTCATTGATCATTGCAAGTTAGCTCCCAAAAAATGCTTTGCACTGTCATGTGCTACAGTGATGTGGTCAGGTGTATCACAAGTCTGGAAGAATCACAAGTCCTTTTACAAGCCCAGTCACAAATAACAGGGTATGACTAACAATGTAATTCTTTGTCATAACTCATTTGAAGAGCTTGTGACTTGACATGAAGGATTTTTGATGAGCTTGTGATGGACTAGACTAGACTTGTGTTTCCTTCACCAAAACAATTTGTGATAGAGACTAACGTCCTCCAGTGCCCTTAGGTATGAGCACTTTGAAGACTGGCAATCAGTGTATATATTTGCATATTTTTGGCTGGTACTCACTGCTTCTTGTTCCTGTATCTTAACCTGGTGTTCCTGTGAGGCACCGGCTACTCGTCTCTCCACTACATGATGTTGCTCCCTCTTAGCTATGGCTAGTTGCTGCTGCAGATCCTGTCATATGAGAAGTCGATAACGTCATGTCAGATTATCCCCCGGTAGTCTACACAAACCATTACTTTATGTGAGGCCTAATAATTACAGTGAAAAATGGGCAGAAGGCTGGTTTAGGGTCGGTCGCGCCATAATGAATGTGAAAAGCTGGTAGGGCTGTGCATCAGAACTGGGTACCCGAGTACCCAATCGCTGATGTCAGGAACCGGTTCCAGACTATGGAATCAAGTACCCGTAATTAATTTCACATATTACTTAGTAACTTCTCAGACAATGAAAAAGAAAGGTTTTGAATGTCATTTAAATAGGGAATTTTCAAAATGAAAACCAGGCTTCATGGAAAAACAAAACAGATTCTCGTTTATGACGCTTGCGAAAATGCAATTTACACGGTAAAGCTAAAGACCTTACTGTACACACTTGTGTTTTGTACACACTTCTGTTTTTTACTGTATTGACGCAATGATGTGGTATTGTTATTGTGCAGATGTTTATGCACAATCTGGACAGCAACTTCCAAGATTTGAATTTGGGGTTTGGATTTCTTTTACATGCTTTTTTATATCGGTTACCCGATTCCCGAACTACCCGTATATGCACAGTTCAAAACGCTGGGGCTTCAGCAACAACTATAAAGAGCGTGTAAGATGATCGCGCATCAATATTTCAGTCATGTGACCATTGTACGACCTTTACCGTACAGATTTGCCTTTTTAAAACAAAATCGTAACATGACTATCAACATAACATATTGTGGATGCAATATGAGAGCTATAATCTTTACAAGATCTTTTAATTGAGATATAATCAGACAAAAATATTGACGCCTTTTACTCAACTTTTGGTAAAATTGTCAACAATTTTTCTTCAGAAATTTTAATTGACATCTATTGTATACCACATGTGTTGAAATGTTTTGACACTATCCTTATAGTTGAATGACAATTTAATAATATCTCAAATGAAAAATCTCAAACTAGACATGTTAGCCAATATTTCTTTGACTGGATTTGATTCATCTAACTCGTCAGGAACCAGCTGCATTAGAAGAACAATATTCATCTTTAGACCAAGACTACACTGTATCAACACAGTTACCTTGACCCTCTGCTCCATCTCTGCTTCCTTCTTGTGTAGACTTCGCTCAAGCCGTTTCCTTTCCCCATACGCTGCCTCATACTTTTCTTCCAACTCCTGCAAATACAACAATGTTTACATATTACAGTAAAAAAGTATCACTTTTTGCCAGCCACAGAATGTTAAGCCAAAAAACGCATTAACAAAAACTTAATTTCCATATAAGCCCCCGGCTTCCGAAGATACCTCCATAATTTCCAATGATTTATTGTTCTTTCTTTCTCATCTATCTACATGTATAATCTTAATAATATTATTTATTACTTCACTTTGTTACATTGTTTAATAAAAGTTGTGGGATTATGGAAATAAATGTTGATTGAATTGGATTGAAAAAAGGTTCATTGAGGTTTGTAGACACAATATTTCATATATAAGATAAATTTTCCATATGTCTTCTTGGAAGAAACTGCCTTGGAGTATAGGAAATTAATTGCGTTAGTCTGGGCTTCTTATAATCAAAACTAGGCCTACTGTTAACTTACTGGAATCTGAATCTGAATCTGAACTTGAATCTTATTGTTTAAACCCAACATGCAAGCGGATAATTAGTTGTAGAAGAATAACATGCAACGCTAATGTCCAAATGTACAAGATTTTGTTGGTGTGTGTTCAGCTGTTCCTTTACAACATAATCAGTTGTATACTTACAATAATCTGTTTGGTCAGATCTTGATGTAGTCCATGCTTTGCCTGTACTTCCTCTATCAGTCTAGTTTCACGTTGCTCTACAGTATGAAGACGATGCTCTAAGGAAGTCTGACAATCCTGCAACCAATATATGTAGGAAATAGGAACATGTGTCATCAATCACAATAGTATTTCTCGATTTATACTTAAATTTGTTCAATAATCATGATAATCATTTTATTACTTCTCAACCAGTTAACGCCTGAGGACGTGTAAACACGATCTGGCAATGTGTATTCGCAAGGGCAGGAGACAAGTTAAATCGTCAAGCTTTCCCTAGTCTCCGGCTGTGGACGTTTTTGTACACACCGTGTGTTGAACTTGAACTTGGCCTCGCAGTGTTGCAAAATATGACTTAACGATGAGTAGTATCGTACAAATATTGTACAAATGACTCTCAAGAGTCGGTATTTTGGGTGTTTGACGTGATTTTAAAATTTGGCTGATATATTTTGGGTTTTTCAAAAATGGTGTTTTTCGGCCCCAAGTACTGTCGTGAAGTGGTTAAAATACTCCCAAATGTTATAAAAAAATTAATGTCATGGTATAACAAAACAATTGTACGTTGTGATATAGCGCATGGGTGTTGTACATCCTCGGGGGCAAAAAGCACCCACAGCTTTGCCTAGGGTGCCTTTTGCACCCATCTGGCAGACAAAACACCACTTCACATAAAATAATGGATAAACTTTTCTGACTGACTTTTTTGTCTCAATACACAACAGTTATATTTCAACAAATATCACATACAAGCAGATAGGGCCTACACACTGTGCAAGATAACACGTTCCAAAGTTTACCCAAAAAATTGGAATGTTTACACTGCGCGGCTACAAACTACGAGGTTGAAGGATAAACCAATGTGTTCAGAAACCAGAGAGATTTTTTTCCAGAATATGTATCATGTGATACATCTGCATTCTGACCAATCGACATATGGGTGGTTATGGCGTTATGGAGCTTGGCCACGACGTCGCTCAGTAAACCTTTCATTAATTTGCATCAAGTTACATAATTCCAAATGATTTTCTACCCATGTTTCTATCCATTCTTGTCACATTTTCTACCCATTCTTGTCTCATTCTATTGTTCAGTGATCTGTGGGGTATGGAGTTATTGTTTGACGGGATGGGGTGGGAATGCTTTGAAAAAGGATAAAGGTATGATTGATCAGCTAGTGAGGAAAATTGAGAGGATGACGGGGTTGTGCTTGCAGTCGGTGGACTCTCTGTACCGGGAGGAGTGACTGGTATGTTTGGTCGTATTTTGGACGACGAAAGCCAGCCACTGTGCGCTGAGCTTGCAGGTCATATTATTCCTAGAAGTGGAAGAATGAGACTGCCAGCTGCTCGCACCAATCGCCATCTTCACTCTTTTGTCCCAATGGGAATTAAATTCTCCAAAGCCATTTTTAAAAGATGAATTTTGTTTTTGATGACTAGACACTGGGTGACAGGTACAGGCTTCTCCTTCACGTGCAATGTTTTTATCTGGTTTCTGTAAATTTTAACTAATGTAGGACTATTTTGTATTCAGTGTACTTCCCTTTTTATAAGCTTTGCGAGCATTGTAATTTCTTCATCTGGAGAACCCTAACAGTCCTGAATCCTCCAATTTCAATATAATTTTGCACACCTCCTAGGGAGTTAGGGTTAATAAAGTTTTCTTATGTCTTATAGCATGTTTATATCACACGATACATCCCTTTCCGCTTTCTTATAATACCATGCTCCTGTGTAAATCAGCCACTAGTGATAGCTTACGTCCCAAGGCAAAACATATCACATATTATGTATGTCTACAATAACCTACCAGCGCCTCTTGCATCTTATTCCTCATGTCTTGGCAGCATTCTCTCTGCATCCTACTCCGCCTACGATCATCTTGAAGACGATTCTTCTCTTGTCGTAGATTGACCATGAGTTCTGTGGCTTCCTTACTGGACTCTACTGCCTTAGATAGCTTCTTGCGTAACTCGGTTGTTTCATTGCTACTGGCAGTGGAAATCTGCCATCACAAGGACAAAACCAAAAAATTATAATGTAAACTATTACATGCGCGGTCCCAAAATCCCGGGGTGATGCTCCACTTACGTAAACAATGCTAACGATTGCCAATGCTTGAAATGTTTGCACAAGTAGGACGGGCTGATTCCCACCAATAATGGCAAACGTTAGCAACACAATACAACATTTAATCAAAACCATGTATAACCAATATTGAAAGAAATAAGTTTGAGTCTTTACCTCATCCAGCTTGGCCTGCAACTCTTTGACTTGTTGTCTTGATGCCTCCTTGCTCTATTAAATATCAAAACAACATAAATCATTCACTTATTAATGATCCAAAATCACCTCTCTCTTTTTTGGTTAATTACATAAAGTACCTATGAAAGGTACTATAATAGATATACATACATCCGTGTAACATTGATATGAACTACATTTTAACTTGGGCAAACTTTTTTTCAGTGACTGAACTGCAGCACCACTGATCACAATTTTACACAATAAATCACCATCAGACAAATGGTCAAAAGCATTTAACCGTACATTGTATCTTTGTAGAGTGGCAACAGGTTAAATATTAAGATGGATACTAAGAAACCTCTTTGGGAGACCATTTTACCAAATTGTTGTAACAGGTGTAAAACTCTGTGGTACCTTGGTGCAATGGGCAAGCAACACCAATGCAAAGAATGCTAATTTTGAGACAAAAGGACCTAGTCCTATTGAACAATGCCACTGTTGGATCCTGTTGCATCTGGCAGTTTCAGATTCTGAGACAGCTTGGCCTTGGGATAGTTGACATGTTGGAGCTCGTTAGGCCTGTTGCGTTTAGCAGGCTTTCTAGCCAAAATACCCTGAAGAGTTAGGCATAATGGCCATTTTTAATAGCTGCCTTACCTTGGCCAGTTTAGCTTGGAGCTCAATGACCTTAGCTTTTGCTTCCTCACATGCCTTAGTAGTCATCTTGAGATCACCTTCCATTTTGCTAGCTCTCTGTGTGGCCATATAGCGATCCAATTCCAGCTGAGACATGGCTTGTTGATGTTCCTCCAACTCAGCTCTGAGATAAAAACAGTCCGACAGTAATTTACTGCATGATTCATGCATTCTAGGAAGTAACATCGTCCACCTTTTACAAAACTTGTTAGCCGTAGCTAAACTAGATTCTGGGTAACTGGTAGGCACAGCTGGCTTATCAATCACCTACAGTCAAGGCAAAGCTAAATTAAGTTACATGAACATAAACAGTCACAGCCAGTCCTGCTTTATAGGCAGGGAGCACTAAGCTGTTACAGTCACAAGATTGATTTTGACTGCTGGGATGGCTTTGTTGAATTTGCCAACCACAGACGGATAGTTGCATTATTTACAAGTAGGCTTACAGATCATCATGCATTTCACATAATGGAAATATTATATCTAAATATTATTCATAAATACCTTAAACAGTTTACCCATTCCTATTGGTCGAGAGGCCGTCACATGGCCGGTCTTAAACGATAAAAACGTGGCTTGCTGTCTTAAACACTTTTTCAGTGACACATAAAATTTGGACTCCTAAAAATCCAGTGCCTTTTACCGTTTAATTGGTCAAACGTTCACAATCCTCACGTAGGCTTGCACAATACTACCAGTGAGTCAGTATTTTGTAGTCCTAAATTCACAACGCAACCCCCAAGGTGCATTCTGCGCGACATCGCGCAGTACGCGCGAGCCAATCTCCATAAAAGGAGTTGTTTACATCTTACTCGCCAGCTGGACACTCCATTATACTCGAAGAGGGGTGATTAAAAACATGAAGTGAAATTGTTGAACAAAATCGGGTTTTTTGACCGAAAAGTTTAGATTTTTTTACCAAAAAGGTATTTATGAATGGGAATAAATATGTGCTTGGTCGGTATTAATTGGAGTCTAAGTGCTGATAATTACCCAGACTCCAAGCGGTCTTAAACAGAGTGATTAAAACCTCCCGAGCACACATTTATTCTCTCATTAAGAGCCATAATACAGGCATGCAACTTGGGAGAAACAAAAAACGAGGAAATTCCAATCTTTACAAGACTTTGTACAGTGTTTTTTAAATTTTTAATGGCATAAGTGTGAAATAAAAAACAAGGAAACCAGCTGATCCGAGGAAAAGTTGCATGCCTGATAATGATATGAATATAACAAAAGGCCCTAGCATGTGTTTTAGCTTGACACAAGATGGCGAAATAAAGCTTACACTGACGCCTCTAATTCCTGTTTTGTCTTCTTTTCAACTACTTGAATGCATACATGTATGGCACTGACCTGAATTCTTCATCTTTCATCTGTGTTGTTTTCTTGTTAGCTTCTCTGATGTGACCCAGTAGCTGCACAGCTTTGCTGTCCGATGCTTTGATCTGACTTCTCTCCATCTCCAACATCCTCTTCATATTCTGATGAAGTTGCATTAAACATGCATGTATTACTCCTCCCATAAAAGACAATGATACTCCATTGTACCCAAACGCACATGTTTATGTTGCATTTATCTTCTGCAATGTTGGGTTCTAATGTGCAATCTGCATTTCAGGCCATAAAAAAACATGCTGCTCCTAAACAAACAAAACAGCCCAAGCGATTATCACTGGGCACCATTTGCCAAAAGGTGTGTTACTTTGGCTGTAGAAAATGTCGAACAAAGAGTGACAGTATTGTTCATTGATTTTTACATACCAGTACATGTATTGTGCATATTATCAGAGATGCTACTACATGTATGAGCTTAACCCCCCTATGGTTTGATCAGTCACAGTCAAAAAATTCTTCCACTTCCCCTGTCATGCACTGGCATACAGACTAGTAAAAACAGTCAGATCACATTCCAGTAAACACTGTGACTATTCAACTTCCTTCAACAGACTAAAGGGGTAACTGGTAGGTACAGCTGGCATATCAATCACCTCCAGTCAAAACATGGCTGTATCAGTTTAACAACAACATTCTTAACTGTTAAAACTGTCACCTGATTGACTTTGACTGCTGTGATGGCATAACTGACTTTGTGAGGCAGGGAGGGTTTTAATATCAGGGATGCTACTGGGAGATTTAGTAAAAGAATGTCCTTTTCACCCTGTACCACTATGGGATCCCTGGACAGTAAATGACGCCTTGCGAGACATCCTGCGGGGGCAGATTCAGTTTGCATGCAATAGTTCACACACAAATGGTGCCAAGTACACATGACAAATATTATTCTGGATGTACACAAACCGATGGCATCTCGCATGAGCATCAGACGCCATTTGCAATGTATTCATTCTCTTTGGGATTGTCTTTGTGCTACATGCACTTGGCCATGGTGTCCATCGATGTGTGCTATTTATGCGCTGCATTAACATCCAGGAAAATCAGTGTGTGCATAAAACTTGCAGAAAGATTGTATTACCTACATGTACGTAAACACTTAAAGTAACACAATATACACACAGCTTCTTCCTCATGTTTTCATTTGATCTGATGATGTAATGTAAACTTACAGCAATCTCTGCCACAGACAGGGCCAGATCTTTCTCCAGGGCCATCTTCTCTGCTTGTGCTGCTTTCAATGACACCGTCTTGTCTCTGACAACTCCCTGAAGCTCTGATACCTAAAGGCGTGACAAGTCAGATACATGTTTGGTTGAATTGACTGATCCATTAAGGCCCGCTAACTTGCAAGTGGACAACAATACGTGCACCCCTCCAATGGCCATGATTCGCCATGCAAGATACATGTACAGAGTGCACACAAAATGACAATCAAATGATGTTCACATTCTGAAAAATCAGTGACAGGCTATTAAAACAACAATACGGATCCATGCATGTCCAGGTTGTGGCAAGCAGTTAAACATGAACATGCAGGGTTTGGGGATAGCAGGGGAAAGTACGTATCAATTTAAAAAAAAAAGGCTCATTCATATCAACATCCACCAAATTCTCAAGAAAAAATTCATATCAAATGAATTAGGTATGGATTTTGTAAATTTTAAGAGCGTTTCATCTTGTTTTCAGATGCATGTACTAAGTAAGGTCATGGTGTAAAATGATTTTTAATAAGTTTTTAATATAGCATGCATATATTCAAATGCTTAAAGATGCATTCCTTGCTTTATTTTCGAGTTTCACCTCGAAAATATAGAATTGTTTTTTTTTCTTCAAATTACTCTTTTCTTAGCAATATAAAGTGGTATTATTTTTGAATGAGATATCGAACAATAAAATAGACCCTTGTTAGTTATTGAAGTATTTCCTCACAAAATTCATATTACTGGTTGACAGACAATAATTCGGCTATCGCAGGGCAGACTCATTTGCGCACAAAATGAAAGCCTTTCTTCAGGGAGTTGCAGATCCCCAAACTCTGAACAATGCAGTTTTTTTTCGTGAAAAACAAACCATTCAAACTGAAAATCTGTTACAAGAAAAAAACAAATGTCTATTTTTTGAAAAGCACGGGGTATGAACTTTAAATTTGTATAACTCAAATTTATATGAAAAATGTTATAGGAGTTCAACCGTTAAAAGGGGATCATCCTGTTAAGAAAGGAAAGTGTCAGAGTGCCTCAACAACATACTTTAATGGACCCTTGATCATACGTGGCCTTTCTAAATGAAACATTAGCAATGGTCTGTGAGACTGGACACAAATGAATGATCTGACGGACCTGTTTAGTCAAGGCAGCCTGGGATCCCTCTGTCTTGTGATACTTGCTATGAATATCTTGTAGTTCTTGTGTCTTTGCTGCTAGACGACGTTCCAGATTATTCTTGGTCATTGGCGATGCGCATTCCTGGTTGGCAGTATTTCTACAATGACAGCACCAAGAAAAGAACTGTTCAACACTTCACACTTCTAAGTTTAGTGTGAATGACTACATGTACTTCACAGGAATACAATGTGTGCTGTTTCTATACCCGGGCATGATAACATCCACTTTCTACTGTTGCTTTTTTGCACTGAGGAAACATCATCTGCAAAACAAATTGACTGAGCCTAATATGTTAGGCGTTGAAATGCTGGTAAAAATGTCCTCACAAACTTCACAATTTAGTTCCCGGCTGTGAATTATGATGGCCACAGATGTATCGCTGGTTACAAATAGCTGCACTCATCATGTGTTGTGATGTTTTCACAAATGTTTGACAGGAGGCAATCGCACACTGCTATTAGTGCACAGGCGTTAAAGTTACATCACAAAGTAACCATTAGTTGACTCATGGTCATCGCCCTAAATTGTTCTATGGTCAACTAGCCTGGCAAAGACAGTGAAACTACATGGTTAACCGTACTTCTTGCTTCAATTTGCTTATGGAATGAGGTACTAATATTACATTCAACTTCAGGCGAGGATCATTAGTCGACTAGTGGTTGATATAGGACAGAACTTATTCCTGCCGGCCATTCCATGTCAAATCACCCAAACAAATTGAACATTTAAACCCCACCCCCTTCAATTTTGTGCATATTTAGTGTATGGGGTAATTTAGGCTGAAAAAGCTGAAGTTTTATGTTTCAGCGCCATCGGACAAACGATTTTCGCGATATCGTCCAAATTTTTTGGCAATTTTGGTCAAAATGGGCGTGGCCACCAATTTTCAAATGAACATATCTCCATAACCTGTTCAACAAATTTGTTAATCTTGGTTTCTTTGGAAAGGTAACATCAAGATAAGTCAAAATTTACCATTATTTTTCCTGTCGGAGTAATTGAATTTATGATGACCTTTACTTTGACCTTGTGGATCATGTGACCTTGTGACGAACTTGGTTGAAAATTATACCCCAACATGTTTTCTACAAAATTTCCAAAAATTGGATATAATAGTTTTTTTTTTTTTAGCTCATCTCGAAGTTGGCATATGTGTTGCGTAATGTGATATCCCTATGCAGTGTACTAGTGGATTTAAAGCGTTTTTTTTTTGTTACCCTAAATGTGTACATGTATAGAAATATCACATTTTGCAACACTGTTGCTGTGCATGATGATGCTCAAGGCTATTGGTAACCAGCGATGCAACTGTGCCGCCAGCTCTGGTTCTAAATAGTTGACAAGAGACCAGTCCGACCATCCTGCTTTCGAATGAAGCTAGTCAAGCTAGGGTTAACTACATTCCTCGCCTGACTTTGCTCAAGATTGTAATGCTTTCTAACCTGAGGTGCTCCACAGCAGTGATGCTAGCCAGTTCCTTGGTGTATGTGAAGCCAATGAATGGTAAATCCCGTCCTGAAAAGCCAGGCTTGTTGAAGTTGAAATGAACACGCAGAGGCTCAGGATCAAAGTCATCAAAGTTGGATGTGTCATCGACACTGGTAACAGTGGGTACAAAGGGTGGCACACCTACAATAGGTAGCACAGATAGAACAAGAACAGGTCTATTCCTCTACTTGATCCCAATCCAAATTAACACTACATGCATGACTTGAGAGCTCCAATGAAGATATTAATTAGCTCAAAGTTTTTCTGCAAAATCTGTCAAACATAAGTCATTCCCCTACCTCAAAAACATATAGCGACATATGTTATGTTCTTTATATTGTTTAAATAAGCTGTATGCCAGTTTTCGATAAGTGCAGGCACCAGAAATCCTGATCAGATACCAGTTTTAAAGAGGTTGTGGAATGCTCGAAGACATTTCCGCCATTTTTATATATATATGTAGCCTAGATATATTTTATATATATATGTAGCCTAAGGTGTGATGAAATAAAAACGACTATTGTGTCTGTCATGAAATGAGTACAAAAGGTACTTTTGAGAGCTGTTTTTCAGGTCCTGTTTCGACCCGAACGTGCAATTTGTGTAAAAGTCATTGTTGGGGGCAGCAAACAACACATAGTAAATCGTGACGTAATAAATAGGACTCCCGATGCAGCGTAGTATAAACGAGTCCCGTTTATTACGTCACAATTTTTCTCATTTTACGAAGAACCCGACGACTGTTGATTTCAATTATGCGCTCGCCGACCAACAAATTACTCCATGAATTTCAGTTTTATAAACATATAAACGCACATTACAAAAGAATGGGACTTTGTCATTATGATATATATGGGTTTACTCTACAATAAAAAAAAATATATAAAATCAAAACGACTTTCAGCATTCCACAACCTCTTTAAGGGTAGAATGGACCATTTGTCATTTGTGAATTTTTTTTCTTTTCAAGCAACAAAAGTGCTCAAAATCTAACGATGGATGCTTAACAACTAACGCGATGAAGTTTTAGCTCTGTGAATGCTGTATATTTGGAGAAAAACAATATTCTGGATCTCGATTTCCGTTCAAAGTTGCCCAGTCATATTTTGAATTGTGCCCTCTCGTGACACGATCCCGAAATCATCATTTTGGACGTGATTCTCACTTAGCCGATAGTAGCTACATGATGTTACACAGTGACACTAAACCGACGAATAATGGCCACCGCGCAAGCCCATGTACGTCGTGTCAATGTTTGCATGCATTTACGGATTCGCCCAATAACAAACGAACTACATGTACAAACAGAAATTTCATAAATGTGCCACTTGGCACATGTTTGGAAATTACCTTCTTTTATTGTATTCTTCAAAATGACAACACATCTGAAGAAATAGTTTCACAGGAAGTTTAGTGCCATTAATATCTTTAAACCAAGTAAGCTTTTTAATTATAATTCGGTTGGTTACTTTTTGGATAGCTGCAAAAGGTCCACTTTATCTTTAAGGATGGTTCACATAAAACTCGATCAGCAATTTCAAAATTTGAGTATTCAATCAAGTCCAACTTAGAATAATCAAATACTATTTTATTCGAAAATGCATAGCACTAATAATTTCATAACTTTGCACTGACTCTTCAAGAATACAAGTCAGTTTGTCAGATTGATTTCAAGTACTTACTTTGTCTGAGTGTTGCCCATTCAATGCTACTGAAGAATGGATGACAGCCCAGGCCTTCATAGCCAAGCCTATTCAACTTGTCACTCAGTAGATTCTGCATCAGATTCTTAGCGTGATGGCTGACTTCAGGTACCGAGGGAAACTTCAACTTGTTCTGCAATGATCATGAGAAGTTTACAAATAAAGGCTTGCGTGTACCAAATGCTTACAAACGCTCATTTATTAAAAGCAAAGAAAGCAATAATTTTTAATGCACAAACAGGCATGTCAAAACTGCTGATTTAGAATCGAATTAGCCTTTCTGAAAAAGACTTACCTTAAAGTCCATGATGTTGCTGTAGGTGACAACTATTGAATCTTCAGTGAATGGTGTTTTTCCAAACAGCATTTCATAGGCTACAATGCCCAAGGACCACCAATCACATTCCAGGCCGTACGTCCCTTCCTTACTGTTCATACTCATCAACACCTCAGGGGCAACATAGTCAGGCGTACCTACTGGCATCTTGGCACAGACCTATACAAATAAACAATAATGACATATTATATGACAGTGAATGTTGTGTATGAACTATATTAGATCCACCCAAAAATAAAGTAGGATTACTTTTTTTAACACCGAGTCATTCCTTTTAAATGTTGGTTTTAATTGACAAATTGATTCACTAGGCCCCGCCCTATGATCTTTTGACCGATACACTAGACCCTGCCCGATGATCTTTTGACCGATTCACTAAGCCCCGCCCTATGATATTTTGACTGAATAACTAAGTCCCCCCCAGGAACTTTTGACCGATTCACTAAGGCCCGCCCTATGATATGTTGACCGATTCACTAAGCCCCGCCCTATGATCTTTTGACCGATACACTAAACCCTGCCCGATGATCTTTTGACCGATTCACTAAGCCCCGCCCTATGATATTTTGACTGAATAACTAAGTCCCCCCCCCCTAGGATCTTTTGACCGATTCACTAAGGCCCGCCCTTTGATATGTTGACCGATTCACTAAGCACCGTCCTATTATATGTTGACTGAATAACTTAAGTCCCGCCCCAGGATCTTTTGACCGATTCACTAAGGCCCGCCCTATGATATGTTGACCGATTCACTAAGCCCCGCCCTATGATCTTTTGACCGATACACTAAACCCTGCCCGATGATCTTTTGACCGATTCACTAAGCCCCACCCTATGATATTTTGACTGAATAACTAAGTCCCCCCCCTAGGATCTTTTGACCGATTCACTAAGGCCCGCCCTTTGATATGTTGACCGATTCACTAAGCACCGTCCTATTATATGTTGACTGAATAACTTAAGTACCGCCCCAGGATCTTTTGACCGATTCACTAAGGCCCGCCCTATGATATGTTGACCGATTCACTAAGCCCAGCCCTATGATCTTTTTACTGATTCACTAAGCCCAGCCCTAGGATATTTTGACTGAATAACTACGTCCCGCCCTATGATCTTTTGACCAATTTACTAAGGCCCGCCCATTGATCTTTTGAACGATTCACTAAGCACCGCCCTATATGTTGACCGATTCACTATGCATCGTCTTATTATATGTTGACTGAATAACTAAGTCCCTCCCTAGGATCTTTTGACCGATTCACTAAGGCCCGCCCTATGATATGTTGACTGATTCACTAAGCCCCGCCCTATGATATTCACTAAGCCCCGCCTTTTGGCCTTCTGTAAGAAAGTCTTCATTTTCACAAGGTTGTTTTTGATTAAGTGAACCTGAAATTGTACTTGCATTAAAGCAACAGTTTGAACGATTGATCAAATAACTGGACAATCACTGTTGGCTTACATGTACATGTCGGTTATTTATCCCTTCATTACCTTGTTATCAGATGACAGCTTTGCTGCAGACCCAAAATCAGCAAGTTTGATGTGGCCAGTTCTGTCCACAAGGATGTTATCTGGTTTAATATCCCTGTTTGCATGAAATAAAGAAAAACTTAAAATCAACAAATGGAGCACATTGATCGTGATTGTGCAATTTCATAGGTTGAGACCTGTTCACATGACGTACTGTAAAAGTTCACATTTGATGATCCGATGGACTCTGCGGAGTATATCACCAAAAGTTACCTGGGTACATCACATTTCATTGTTCTCTAAGACTTTGAACATTTTGTCCAACACTACTAAAATAGACCCTCGGCATACAGTAATTGCATGCGTGCACATGTCAATGCACACACAAACGCACACAAGCGCGTTTACACCGTCGATTGTGGACATCCTATTGACCCTCTTTTGTTTGTACTCTAACTTTTTAGGAAGACTCCCATAGGTTTTGTACACGACCCCAATCGCGGACGTATGCTGGGAATCGTGGAAAATATTGTTCTCTTTTGTTCTCTGGAATTTTTCGTCCACAGTTTGAATAGATGAACACGCCCGAGTCTACAAGTAAACACCTTTCATCAAAGATTGAAGCATTGGACTCTTTACTTATCGGGGTGTCATCAGAGCTGACAGTTGAAATAGTATAATGTATTCATTGACAGATTACCAGAATTTCCTAACATTTTTCACTCAACCAAATAGTAAGTAGGAAAACTGACAGACTAACCATGAACCTCTGCTTAGGTCTGAGGTATTATTCTTTTTTACATACATGTACAAGTAAGTGGAAATAGTAGTATGATTGGATACCTTACCTGTGAACATATCCCATAGTATGCAAACTATGGATAGCAGCCACCATTTCAGCCAGGTAAAACTGAGCCATACTCTCCTCGAACACATCATCAAACCGACTGAGCAGAGACAGCATGTCCCCTCCAGGATGAAACTCCATGATGAGGTACAGGTTGGTGGTATCCTGGAAGGCATACTGTAGGTGTGTCAACCATTCATTGCTGGCACGGGCCATGATGTCACGCTCTTCTTCAAAGAAGGCAACCTGTAAATACAATCCACGAAAACAGAGAATACCTTGGGTCTCGTCAATGGATTCTGTTGACATTATCACATTATCCCTAACCCTGCCAGACGCAACACAGTTCATCAAGTGGAAAATCTAGGTACAATTCTGGTTATCAATACCAGTGCATAAAGGGCCAGTTCTGAGACAATGAGAGCTAATCCCTTAACAATGTGACAGTTGTATCCTGCTGCATTCGGTGACCACAGACTCTGAGGCAGTTTGGTCTTAAGACTTAATTTTGACCTGATGGACCTTGCTGTACTGGGCAGGCTTGTCACTTAGACAAGTGTTGCATGTTGCTGTGTTTGGCAGGGTTTCTAGCCAAAATACCTGGAGGGTTAGGGTTATTTCACATTATGTGTATGTGACGTTCAGGTCCCAGTGAATGGGTACTCCTTGATTGTAATTGTGATTGATTAAAATAAAGTAGGGTGAGGCTAGATGGATCGATATTTCAAAAAATCGAAAGCAGAAAGATTATGAATATAAATGTACTACTCACATTTTCCTTAGCAAGTGTGTCATCTTTGCGGAGTATCTTCATTGCATACACATCTCCCGATGTTTTCTCTCTGACGACTTGTACTTCACCAAAATGACCCCGACCAATCACCTTCTTGACCTCAAAGTCATTGATGCTGATCCTTAGGTTTTTTACCTCATTAATAGTAGACTTATCTGCAACATCAGAAAGAACAGCAAAATCAACCTATGTTTAATTAATGAAGCATGTGTTACATGGCAAATACATTAACCCTCACCTTCCCAAATCCTCCAAAATCCTCTTTGCAAAATGGAGGATTTTGCAGGAATGAGGCAGTGGTCACCCCTCCAAGGACCACATGCAAGAAATAATGGAGGATTTTGCAGGATTAAGGCTGTGGTCTCCCCTCCAAGGACCACATTCAAGAAATAATGGAGGATTTTGCAGGATTGAGACTGTATACTACTTTCAAATGGAGGCAGTTGAAGGATTTTGCAGGATTGAGGTTACATTCTAGCAAAAATGCCTAGGGTGTTTCGCCTCCGTACTAGTTACGTCACTCAGAGGTCAACTCTAAATGTCGATATTTAGCTGGCATCTTCTAGCTGATCAACACTTCCTGCGTATTGCCTGCGCTGGCTTTCTTTTACATATACAGGGTAGTAAACTCTAGTCTGCCGCAAGAATCAAAGACTACTAGCTGCTAATTAACGCCTACTAAATGAAAGCTGGGCAGCCAAAATGACTAATTATATACAATGTATTTATAAGCCAATCAGAGAAAGCCTCTGTGAAAATAACGTTTACTAAAAGAAAATGGCGCCGACCAATATCCACAGCCGAAGACTGTCTATGTAGTGACTTATCCTTAAGGGTTCCTCAGGACTACCCTGCTAAATCCAACAAAGTCCAACGGTTACTTCTTGCTCAATCCAACAGAATCTAACTGTGCCTAATTATCAGTTGTCTGCTGGATCCAACAGAGGCCAACTTGGCGTTACTTATCAGTACCCAACAGAATTTGACTCTGAATATGTACATTTACTGCTCAATCCAACAGGCTCCAACGGGTAAATGATATAGTTGGATCCTGTTGGATTCAGCAGGGTTAGGGTTAAAGAATCACTCTTATACTCACACTTGTCCACAAACGAAGCAATGTGCTTGTCTTTCATTAACTGCTCACTGTGGCATTCTTCATATAGTACAAGAAGTGCATCCAGTAGCCCCTCCCGAGCAATGTGTGTTCTCCATCCTGCTGAGCCTGTCTTGCCCATGAACAGCTGATTTAAACCGCTGGTCCGGGCACTTATCCCCCTAGTGCCCATGGCAGTTGGTCTGGTACCTGGCCTGCTCATTTTTCTGAAAAAAATATTAAAACAGAATGTCACATTTTAAATGCAGGAGCAATTCCATGCAAAAGTGGACATGGCTAAAAAATTGAATATTTTATATGAAATCTTCAAAACTTCAAGCACTACAACCTCAAATGTGGTATCAAGACAAGACCTTTCATTTGAGTGATGTGGCAATGGGATGGGATATGGCTAAAGGAAATATATATACAACATTTGCTTTTGCTGTAATTTTCAGACATGGATGGCCTTGGGGTTAAGTATATTTTTACACTGACTTGTTTTCAGTTTTGTGCATAGGCGCTTGCCCCTTCCCCCCCCCCCCCCCCCCCCCCCCCCGGGGGGAAAAAAACAAAGGAAGAGGTGCGAAGCCATATTGCTGCCAATTTGATGGGGGGGGGGGTGTTAGGGCAAATGCGCTCCTGCTCAAGCTCGAAAAATGATAAATTGTGAATATTATGAAAAAGTTAAGGAATTTTGGTGACAAATAATTTGCTTTGCTAATAATTTGCTAATTTTTTGGATTAGTCTCCAATAATTTTTTTCTGACAATGTGCTTTTGAAAAGAAAAATTTAAGCTCCTTGATACACACAGATTCTTCCAATAAATTCTTTAGAAGAGGAATTTTGGGCAGATTTCCGACTCGCACTTCGACATGTTTGGACGGTTTGTAGAAAATTTTATTATTTTAACATGTCTCAAACATTTTTTGCAGAGTATTACATTTTCTTTTTCAGATTTGTGGCTCTGGAGGATTTTTTTTAAAAGGGAAATAAAGTCCGAAATTATAAAATGGTCTGAATCCCATCTTGTGAATACGAAGTAACAACGATAATTTTGGCATGGAGCCAGACTAAAACTTGTCACCGGAAAATGTTTAAGTACAAAAAAACAGTAACTGCGCATGTTCAGTGCATATCCGGCAAACTAACGTTTACTAAAGGTTTGCCGTCTCAGGCAAAATATACACTGCCTTGTATAAACTCCTCCATCGAATGCTTGTTGAATCAAAATAAGTTATAAAGTCTTTAATTTTTGAAAATTTGCCAACGAATGACCATATGCGTTTGCCTAGTTCCAGATAGCGCATGCACTTATGACCCAACTACATGCGCGTTAATTGATTTTGTGTGATTTTTCTGTGCTGGGTCAAAGATTTTCGGTCCGTGCGTGAGTTCGAGCGGTTGCGCTGCAGACAAAAGTTTCAAAATCATTTACGTTTTTTTCTCTTTTTAAAATTTGCTGGAATTCTCTTGAACGAACTATTTTTGGAAAATGAAATAATACTTTATCAGAAAATATGCTTGATTCGGTTGGTTCTGGCTGAAAAAAAAGAAATTTCTCACGTGTTTTTTTTTTTTCGCATGAAGATGAAGCAGTTTTGATCGATTCGGAACTGATTGAACCGATCCGGAACTAGGAAAAGTGACATTGGTACTTGACGTCATAAAATCAAAATAAAACAAATGTAACAAGAGCTTAAATTTTGGAAATTATTTTGTGGTCTCTCCATCACTCAAGGTAAACTTTTTAATCAATGTCACTTGAATTCGTGGAGTAGGCCTAGTTGAGCTGAAAGCAGCCTGAATGATGCTTGCTATCCGGAACTTGCATGACTAGGAAAACGAAACATGACATTATTGACAAATAAAAATACCTGCCTGGAATAGCGTTAATAGGCATAAGTGATGCTCTTAATGGTATGGGTATACGAAATTTAAAACAGCAATGATTACCAAGTTTTATACAAATATGGAAAACAAGTAACAGTTTGCCTACCTGTTTTGCAAATCATGAACCTGATCATGGGTTTAATGATTTGCAGTTGAACAACGCGCGCATCGATCAAATAATCAACAAGAACGGCTCGTTCTGAAAACGACCAATCAGAATTTACAGAAATAGTATGGTGCCCCAACGACTGAACATCGACCGCATGGTTCTTGCATGATACGTCTTGGTTGATTTTCAGCGAAAGACGACAGCCAGGGTTACCGTTTTAGCCGATTTTCGGCTAACTTTGACAGATTTTTTTTGTTGAAGAACGAGTTAGACAAGAAAATTTGACAGAATGAATTTTTGGGGCAGATTTCTGGCTGAATTCTGCCTTCGCATTTTGCCTGAAATTTACGCAATTTCATAACATCTTTATGTAATGTTACTATAGATTGTTTATAATGTAATTTGAACCTTAATTAAGGCAAAACTACAAATCTGCATGTGATTTTAAGTGTTAATAGTGTATTTCGAGTAATTCTGGGGAAATTGGCAGATTTTTGAAGTGCATTTAGCAGAATTTGTTCATGTCCTTACGGTCATCCTGACAATGGCTGTTTACATACAAAAGACACGTGACGACAGGAAGCTGATGGCAGGACGACCTTGGACTTGGAGTGTGAAAACTGGAACAACATCGACTTTACTCAATATTCCATTCCACGATCTTCTTTATAGACATTCAAACCTGTACATTGTAAGTTCAACCTCGTAACTGCAGACTTCAGGATTAAAAAAAAAAAAACATTTCAACAAAATGATAGGCGTGAACTGTGGATGCGCGAAATCTGGCCATGATTGCACGCATAAAGGTCATCTCGTACCTTGGGCAACTCGTACCTTGGACAACTCGTACCTTCAACTCGACGTCATTATACCGGGTCGTACCTTCAGTTAAGATGACTTGTAGTTGTACCATCACGCGTAAGTGATGGTACGATCGCCATGAATTATGCGCTCAAATTAGAGTAAAAAATATTGCTCAAAAATCACCTTTACAATCAAAAGCAGACTTTTCTCAATTCTAATGTCATGACACCTGTTTTAAAATTTCGAACAGTTTCTTGGTAGTAGAAATCACGATTTCCTGAGCGGTTGTGCCTTGCGATTCAGCCATGTCAGCGCGCCATGCGTGCTCACGGTACATCGCGCTGGGGTCTGGGTGAAAGTCGGATCCTGTCGGACATAGTCAGACCTAGCCGGATCCTCTATTAAAGTCGTGTAAAAAGTACAGAAAAGACTCACGATGCTCATACGGTGGAGCTATTTAAATATTAATTTTGGATGTCAAGACCTTGTACTGTGGTTTAAGCCGCAGAATAATGGTTGTCACGTCACTTGCGAGGGTCCGTTTTCTTAAATTTATTACAGACATGTGCATGTGGGCGCTTTTCGTTCATAAAAAAACAGCTAATGATATGCAGGGTCATTAGCAGCGACCGTGTCACGGCAAGAGGTAGACCCAAGTCAGATCCTATCTTTAAAATCATCATCTGTCATTTGAAAAACTAGTCCTGTCTGCAAAAAATTAACCCTACAGATTACGAATTTGTCCATGTTGAAATTACGGGATCTTAAAGATCAAAATATACTATTTTGGGTTAATTCAAGATGCCTATGTTCGCTAAAAATGAAGGTTGCGTATTTCGTCAAAAGTCCTAAGTTGGATCCTATCTGTAAAATCAACATCTTTTATCTTAAAAACTTGTCCTGTTTACAACTTATAAAATAAACCATACAGATTGAGATTTGGTGTTCATTTTGACAATACGGGACCTGAATATCGAGAAATAATGTGTTTTGGGCCGGATAGTACAAGAGGCACATATTGTGTTTGCTGAAATGTACACGTAATGAAGGTTCGTGCGTTTCGTTTGAAGTGCCAAGTCAGATCCTATCTTTAAAATCATCATCTGTCTTCTTAAAAACTTGTCCTGCTTACAAGTTATTAAATAAACCATACAAATTACAGATTTGGTGTTTATTTTGACAATACGGGACCTGAACATCAAGATATATGTTTTTGGAAGGATTATTCAGAAGGCGCATTGTGTTTGCTGAATGTACGTATAATGCAGGGCCGTATAATTCTTCAAAAGTGCAAAGTCGGATCCTATCTTTAAAATCATCAACTGTCATCTTAAAGACTTGTCCTGTTTACAAGATATAAAATAAACCCTTCAGATTACAGATTTGGTGTCTATTTTGACAATATGGGACCTGAACATCGAGAAATAATGTGTTTTGGCGCAGGCGCGGTTCTAGAACCAATATTTGGGGGGGGGGGGGGGGCTAGCAGGGTGGATCCAGAATTTTTTCAGGGAGGCGTGCTGAAATGTAGACCGATTATTTTCTCCAGACACTTAGGCCTCCGAAAATCAATAGGGGGGTGGGGGGGGCCTCATGCCATATTTTCAATGGGGAGTGCCAATAAAATCCTAAAATCATTCACACTATATTACCTACAAATGCACCCTTGTCACGACCATTTCTTTAGGGGGAGACCGTTCTCATGTACATCACAATCCTTCGTTTTGCTAATGCATATTTTTTTTTTGAGGAATTTATTTTGGGGGGGCTAGACAAAATTTGGGGGGGGGCTAAAGCCCCCCCTAGCCCCCCCCCCCCCCCCCCCCCCCCCCCCCCCCCCCCCCCCCCCCCGTAGATACGCGCCTGTTTGGGCAGGATTATGCACGAGGCACATTGTGCTCGCTGAAGTGTACACAAATAAAATATTTCCTTGAAAGAACCAAGTCGGATCCTATCTTTAAAATCATCTGTCATCTTAAAAATCGTCCTGTTTACAAGTTATAAAATAAACCCTACGGTTTAGGCGAAGTAAAAAAAAAAAATGTTTCTCGTCCCGCCTGCTTCCTTTTTGGAGGCCACCTGGATTTTTTCATTATTTTTTATTTTTGAAAAATGTAGTAAAAAAAACACCGAAAAAGTCCACAAATTCATCGGAAAATTAATACCAATACCAATACAACTCTAAATGACACTGTAAATATGTTCAGTTCTCTTATCCAACTTGTCTTTCATTTTTAAAAGTGTCTTTGGACAGTGGAACACCAACGGTTGCAGGAAATTTTAAAATGACGGCCAACTTGAAAAAAATTAAAATAAAAGGCCCCGCTTCCTCCCTTTTTTCAAAAACCCCGGACGAGAAACATGTTTTTTTTTTACTTTGCCTTACAGATTTGGTGTTTATTTTGACAATACGGAACCTGAACAGCGAGAAATATTGTGTTTGGGCGGTATAATTCACGAGGCACATTAAAAAGTTGAACTGATTACAAGTCATCAAATTAACCATACAGATTACAGATTTGCTGGCCATTTTGGAAATACGGGTACGTACAATTGAGAAATGGCTTTTTTAGTATAGGGGTTCACTTCAATTCACATGGCACATAATGTTCGGTATGAGGTGCACACGAAATCTGGTTCGCGTATTTTGTCAAAAGTGCCAAATCGGTTCCTATCTTTAAAATCATCGCCTGTCATTTTAAAAACTTGTCCTGTTTACAAGTTACTCAATAAACTAGACAGATTACAAATTTTGTGTGCATTTCGAAATACGGGAACTGAAAATCAAAAGTTTTTTTTCGGGTGGGGCTTTCACGAGGCATATTCGCTAATTTACATGGACATTGCAGGGCTGTATTTCATCCACTGTTCCAAGTTGGATCCTATACTAAAAATTCCCATCTGTCTTTAAAAACTTGTCCTGCTTACAAATTTTGAAAGTAAACAATACAGATTTGGTGTTCATTTTAACATTACGGGAACTTAAAAATCGAGAAATAATCCTATTTTTAAGATCGTCATCTGTCATTTATAAAACCTCATGTCTACAATTTTCAAAAAATATTATGACGAAGTTGTATTTGTATATTTTGTCTGAGCGCCTGAGACGCAACGCTCCTAATTCAAAATTTAAACATTTTAACTTTTTTTCTTCTGATTGTATTAAAAAACTGATATTGATCATGATAGAAATTATGAATTCAATTAAAAATACTTTCCAGGGTGACTCAAAACACTCATGCCAGACATAGAAATATCATCTTTTTCAGTCGAAAAAACAGCAGAAATGAATGAAATAATAACACACGACAGGATTTTTGTGCGTGGGCAGTGAAATGCTTTGTTTATTTCTGTATGTTTGATACCAAATGAAATTTCCCATCCACAACGCTTATCACCTGGCCGTTTGATTTCTTTCGCTGGTGGCGAGGCAAGAATTCACCATGTACGAGAAACCAAAACCTGAGCTACGTTATGAACAAATGTCCTCGCATGACCTTTTGCTTATCATGTGGCTCCCGTGTGCGGCGAGCTTGATGGATGTAAATCCCGTGGGGCTGGGGGTATGTACCTCCCCACCCCCCCTTTTTTTTGACCTGGGGCAGTGGGCTATTGGATCATTCCTCCACTTTTTCGTGGTGAGAGGCACAAAAAGTGGAGTTATTTTCCAACTTCTCTACAAACAAAATACATTTCATAGTACTGGACAAGGGAGGAAAGCACAAAAGCTTTAGATGCGCAGATTTGATGTTATATGCGCGTGAAGTATAAGATGTACATTCTGTATCTTTAGCAGGCCTTTGTTTTGTTTCCTTCCAAAATGGCCGCCCGACTTGGCAATTTTTGGCAAGCTGCGAAGCAGATGCGAGTCTATGTAATACCAATTTCCGTCCGGGCGTCCGTCCGGCGTACGTCTGTCAGGCCGTCCGGCCGTCCGCATTCAGATAAAAATATTGAAGTTTTTGGTTCTAGCTAACTTGGTAAAAAAAATGCAGTTTACATGTATCATCTCTGTTAGGCTGCATCCGAATCAACTGTCTAAAGCTAGGTCTAGGTCCGCGCCCATTGAAAATACGCGGGGACGCACTGACAATAGACGTAGCCGTAGCTCTGGAAGCCCACTTCGGACACGGCGTAACTTACAATTAGGTTCATTTCTTTGCAGTTAATTTTATGATTTTATTGCGGAATTTTGATTAAAGAAAATGTTGAAGTTTTTAATTGTTAAAGTATGTATACTGGCATAACACGTACATACATACATGTATACCTGTATAACATGTGCACTATGCATTTTGGAGGAGCATTCATATGTATGTGAAAGTGCTTCTGGTTTGATCTTTTAGTGTTATGGAGTTGGAGTAGGGATGGGTAGGGATAGGTAGGGGAGGGTGGGGTTGGGGTGGGGCATAGGGGTTTGGATTGGAATGGGTTACGGGAGGATGGGGTGGAGGATAAGGGGTTGGAATACTGGGTTTGGGTGGGGTAAGGATGTGTAGGGGTGGGTGGGGACAGGTAGGGGGAGACAGGTAGTGGGAGGATGGGATAGGTGGGTGTAGGGTTTGGGTTAGGTGGGTGTACCGGTAGAGTTTGGGTTAGGAGGGTTTGGGGGAGGGGCGGCATATAAGGATTGGAGTAGGGGTTGGGGTTGGGTGGGGATGTGTAGGGGTGGGTGGGTGGGTGTAAGGGGTTGGGCTGGGATATAGAGATTGGAGTAGGGGTTGGGGTGGGGATGTATGGGTGGGTGAGAATGGGGTTGGTGGTGGTAGGGGGGTGGGGTAAGGGAAGGTGGGGGAAGAGGAAGGAGATAGGGATTGGAGTTTGGGTGGGATTGAGATTTATAGGTAATGGGTGGGGATGGGTAGGGGGAGGATGGAGTTGGTATAGGGGGTTGGGGTGGATAGGGGGTTATGGTGGGTTGGGGCGGGGCGGGGATGGGGTAAGGTTTGGGGCATGTGGTGATGCTGCTGTGTCTACATGTACATGTATACCCATTCATGTTCCGCATTTGTGGATACTACACAAAATTTCTTCCATGGTAATACATGTATGGGGACAGAAAACGCTGTGGGGCTGCAAAAAGGCTCCACAACTGGGTCCTTAATACCCTAACAATGGAAAACTTCCATGTAAAAATGTGTACATGTACATGTATTTATTAGGATATTTGTTGACTTTTTATGTTGGCATTTAAAAACTGACCCCTACACCCTGGCACATCAACCAGAATCCTGATCCCAATCATGCCCATCCCCAACCCTACCTTCAGCCTCTTTTCCCGCCTTCGACAGCGAGCCATGGCGGCTTCGCCGTTCTAGTTTCATGATGGCCGCCAGTTTTTGGGGTTTTTTAGTGGTTGCCACTAGGACTCAGGAATGACATACCAGCTTTATATTGGCTAGATGCAACAGACAAAAGAGGCCAAAATTATATCAATGTTAAATATTTATCATTTTTTCATGTTTCAAAAACAAGTGAGGTGGCCTCCAAAAAGGAAGCGGGCGGAGATTATTTTTTGCAGGCCGAGGGGAAAAAAACGCATCCTGCCAAATTGGTAGAACCAATTTTTGAATGAAGTTTTGCCTGCAGCACTTGTAAAATTTAGGACAAGAAAGCCCAATCAATTAGCTTTTATTTTAGTACAAGAATCATGCAAATCACTCAATCCCCATGTACTTTTCAAGTTATGGAATTTTAAACACAAACACTGTTTTATCAATAAGCAATGAATAATTTCACAGACGTTAGGGAAGTGAACTTATGCTGATTATTACACCATTATCTTGCCTGTAAATTGCGTCTTTTCATGTTGAAAGCAAGTGAATAAAGTAAAACGTGACATTTAGTGTCGGAGTGATTTAAAAGTTTGGATTTGGTTTTGAATGTAAACTATGAATGCCTGTGACAGAACCTTATTATGTTGCTTCAAGATTTTTCACATCAGACCATGCTGCGAAACTGGTCAAAGCACAAGACTATAATAACAAATACAAATTCCCATACAATCATCAGTAAGTCACAGTCGGAAATTAGGGACTAAACCTTTTTACAGTGAAATTCATGCCATCCTAAAGATCAAGTTTTTACTTGAGCTTAGTTTCAGATAAAAACGCAACATCCAACATAGTGTCATGTATATTATGCAGAGGCGGAAATACTCTATCTGCACATTGCCATAGTGAATAGAAGACCATGCATGTCGTAATCCAAAATAGCACAAAAGTAAACAAAATCTGTTGCCTCAAAGATGATAAAAGAATTTGGTTTCTCTTTCAGTTTCATTATAATTATAATTGTACATTATAATATTGTACTTTTCAATTATCTTTGCGACTATGCATGCAACGCCATTTGAAGATAATGGTTTTCCCTCATAGTAGGGATCATTTTGTGCGGGTTTACCAGGTGAGTTATCGGATCCTATCTTTAAAATCATCATCTGTCATCTTAAAAACTTGTCCTGGTTACAAGTTATTAAATAAACCCTACAGATTACAGATTTGGTGTCTATTTTGACAATACGGGACCTGAACATCAAGAAATATGTTTTTGGAGGGATTATTCAGAAGGCGCATTGTGTTGGCTGAAAATATGTATAATGCAGGGCCGTATAATTTGTCAAAACTGCAAAGTCAGATCCTATCTTTAAAATCATCTGTCATCTTAAAAATCGTCCTGTTTACAAGCTACATGTATAAAATAAACCGTACATATTACAGATTTGGTGTTTATTTTGACAATACGGGACCTGAACAGCGAGAAATATTGTGTTTGGGCGGTATTATTCATGAGGCACATAAATTGTGTTCGCTGAAGTGTACACGAATAATGCAGGTTCGCGTATTTCGTTTAAAGTGCCAAGTCGGATCCTATCATTAAAATCATCATCTGTCATCCTATCATTAAAATATACCATATAGATTACAGATTTGGTGTCCATTTTGACAATACGGGAACTGAACAGCAAGAAATAATGTGTTTGGGCGGGATAATGCACGAGACACACTGTAGTGTACACTTTAATGCAGGGCCGTATTAAGGTGCAGTATTAAGTCGGATTTCATCTTTAAAATCAGTATCCTTAATTTTTAAAAGTTGAACTGATTACAAGTCATCAAATTAACCATACAGATTACAGATTTGCTGGCCATTTTGGAAATACGGGTGCATACAATTGAGAAATGGCTTCTTTAGTATAGGGGTTCACTTCAATTCACATGGCACATAATGTTCGGTATGAGGTGCACACGAAATCTGGTTCGCGTATTTTGTCAAAAGTGCCAAATTGGTTCCTGTCTTTAAAATCATCGCCTGTCATTTTAAAAACCTGTCCTGTTTAAAAGTTACTCAATAAACTAGACAGATTACAAATTTTGTGTGCATTTCGAAATACAGAACTGAAAATCAAAAGTTTTTTTTCGGGTGGGGCTTTCACGAGGCATATTCGCTAATTTACATGGACATTGCAGGGCCGTATTTCGTCCAATGTTCCAAGTCGGATCCTATCCTAAAAATTCCCATCTGTCTTTAAAACTTGTCCTGCTTACAAATTTTGAAAGTAAACAATACAGATTACAGATTTGGTGTTCATTTTAACATTACGGGAACTTAAAAATCGAGAAATAATGTTGTTTTTTTTAGGGGGGGGGGATAATTCGCAAGGCACATTGTGTTCGCTGAAGATACTTATACACGTATAACGCAGGGCCGAATATTTCATCGAAAGTGCCAAGTTGGATCCGATCTTTACAGTCATGATCAGTTATTTTTAGACTCTACTTATCCTGCTGTTCACAAGTTACACAATAAATCCACTATTCGAGACTTAGTGTCACTTTGGAAAACACAGGAACTAGTTAAAGGAAATAATGGTTTTTTTTGTGGTGGTTGGTGGTTTACTAAGCTTTGTGCTCCATGAAACATACGTAAAATGCATGGTCCTACTGGTATTTCGTCAATGGTGGCACCTCGGATCTTGTATTAAAAATCGTGACGGTCATGAACACTATTCTTGTCATTTTTACAGTTCACAAAATAAAAGCTACAAATTACATTCTAAGTAGAATCGTATTTTTAAGATAGTCATCTCTCATTTATAAAACCTCATGTCTACATAATGAAAGGTTTGCAGAAACACCATGTGCCAATAATTTCTCAACTAAGAGAATGGTTCGCAAAAGAACCAGAGGTATAAACTCGACGTTCCGGTCAGTATGCTCTGACCGTCTTCAGGAGAGTGTCTAAACTCTAAGAAAGTGAATACTTAAGTAGCAAAAGGCGAAGTCAATGAAGTGTGAAGTTGCATCCTGTGAGGATGCCAAGTAGACAGGATCCTAGAACAAGCTTGGTGCCCACTGAAGTGGAACAGTAGGGTTGCAGTGTCAGTATAGGGAGGACCTAGGGTATAGGAGACCCATCAGTCTAAGGTGGTGGCTGAGGACCTAGGGTATAGGAGACCCATCAGTCTGGAGGAGTGGGAGCCAGATGTCGTTGAGGTGAAACTCGATGTCTTGCGGAACTGTGTTGTGCGTGCGGATCTCGATGGTTTCCTCTATGCGTCTTGGATGCCAGGACTGGAACGGTGCGATGAGTTCAGCCGCATCCCAATCAACTTTGTGGTCGTTGATGTGGGAATGTTTGACAATGGCCGATTTGTGAAAATCCCCTCGCCGTCCAAGTCGCCGTCCATGTGCTCTGTGTTCCTTGAGCCTAGTGGGAAGGTTCCGACTGGTTTTGCCGATGTAGACTTTGCCGCATTCACATGGAATGTGGTAGACTCCCGCCTTGGAAGAGGAGTCCTGCTTGTCCTTGTGAGTATGGAAGCTGCCTTGGAGCTTGTTGCCAGATGAGTGGTACACCTTGACGCCGGCTTGTCGGAGGATGCATTGCAGATGATGAGAAGCTGGACCTATGTAAGGAAGAGTGACTGAGGGAGATACAGTGGAAGGACCTTGGGTATAGGAGACCCGTTGGTCAGGTTTGCTGATTGTGATGCGGTTGGGTTTGTAGCCGTTCCGTTGTAGTGACGCCTGGATGTGCTTGAGTTCACGCTTGAGGTTGTCTTGACTGATGACTTGATGCTGGGGTGATGAAACGATCATTGGTGGAGATAGCGGTCGGTGTGGGTTGGTTTCCTGTAGACGCTATGTCCCAGGGTGCCATCCGGATTCCTGGAGATCTTGACGTCCAGGAAAGGTATGGTGCCGTGCTGTTCTTGTTCCATGGTGAAGCTGATGCTGGTGTGTTGCTGGTTGAGGTACTGGAGGAAGTCTTGGAGTGTGTCCGGGCCATGGGGCCACACTACGAAGGTGTCATCAACGTAGCGTAGCCACAGGCTCGGCCGAAGATCCGCTGTGAGGAGGGAGGAAGACTCGAACTCCTCCATGAAGATGTCGGCTAGGACCGGGGATAAAGGAGATCCCATGGAGGTCCCAGCCGTTTGCTCGTAGAACTTGCCTTGCCACTGAAAACAACTGGAAGAGATACATGTTAGTAACAGATCATGAATTTGGTCGGGGGACAGGTCTGTGCGTTCAGCAAGAGTGGTATCATGTTCAAGTCTTTCCTTAGCTAGTTTGCAGGCCTCGCCTGTGGGGACATTGGTGAAGAGTGAGACGACATCAAAACTGACAAGCAAGTCAGTGGGTTGGACGGTGAGGTTTCTGGTGATGCTGACAAACTGGGAAGAGTTGCACACATGGTGTGGTGAGTGACCCACCAAGGGTCTGAGGATTTTGGCTAGGTGTTGGGCTGTGTTGTAGGTGGGGGAACCTCGAGAGGCAACTATGGGGCGCAGAGGGATCTCAGGAACCATTCTCTTAGTTGAGGAATTATTCGCACATGGTGTTTCCGCAAACCTTTCATTATTTAGTATCTCCACCATGCAAAGCCTCAAATCTTACTCATGTCTACAATTTTCAAAAAATATTATGACCAAGTTGTATTTGTATATTTTGTCTGAGCGCCTGAGATGCAACACTCCTAATTCAAAATTTAAACATTTTAACTTAAGTCGTTTTTTTTTCTGATTGTTGTTTTAAAAAAACTGATATTGATCATGATAGAAATTATGAATTCAATTAAAGATACTTTCCAGGATGACTCCAGACACTCATGCCAGACATAGAAATATCTTTTTCAGTCGAAAATACAGCAGAAATGAATGAAATTATAACACACGACAGGATTTTTGTGCGTGGACAGTGAAATGCTTTGTTTATTTCTGTATGTTTGATGCCAAACGAAATTTCCCATCCACAACGCTTATTACCTGGCTGTTTGATTTCTTTCGCTTGTGGCGAGGCAAGAATTCACCGTGTACGAGGAACCGACACCTGAGCTATGTTATGAACAAATGTCCTCGAATGAGCTTTTGCTCATGTGGCCCCCGTGTGCGGTGAGCTTGAGGGATGTAAATCCCGTGGGGCTGGGGGTATATACCCCCCCCCCCCCTTTCTTGACGGGGGGGGGGGGCCTATGGGATCATTCCCCCACTTTTTCGTGGTGAGAAGCACAAAAAATTGAGTTATTTTCCAACTTCTCTACAAACAAAACTTATTTCATAGAACTGGACAAGGGAGGAAAGCACAAAAGCTTAGATGTGCCGATTTGATGTTGTGCGCGTGAAGTATAACATGTACATTCTGTATGTTTAGCAGGCCCTTTTTTTGTTTCCTTCCAAAATGGCCGCCCCACTGGGCAATTTTTTCATGATGGCCGCCAGTTTTGTTTATTTTCAATGGTTGCCACTAGGACTCAGGAATGACATACCAGCTAAATTGGCTAGATGCAACAGACAAAGAGGCCAAAATTATATCAATGTTAAATATTTATCATTTTTTCATGTTTCAAAAACAAGTGAGGTGGCCTCCAAAAAGGAAGCGGGCGGGGATGCTAAACATGGTGTTGTTTTTTTTATTTGCAGGCCAAGGGGAAAAATGCATCCTGCCGAATTGGTAGAACCAATTTTTGAATGAAGTTTTGCCTGCAGCACTTGTAAAATTTTGGACAAGAAAGCCCAATCAATTAGCTTTTATTTTAGTACAAGAATCATGCAAATCACTCAATCCCCATGTACTTTTCAAGTTATGGAATTTTAACACTGTTTTATCAATAAGCAATGAATAATTTCACAGACGTTAGGGAAATGAACTTATGCTGATTATTACACCATTATCTTGCCTGTAAATTGCGTCTTTTCGTGTTGAAAGCAAGTGAATAAAGTAAAACGTGACATTTAGTGTCTGAGTGATTTAAAAGTTTGGATTTGGTTTTGAATGTAAACTATGAATGCCTGTGACAGAACCTTATTATGTTGCTTCAAGATTTTTCACATCAGACCATGCTGCGAAACTTGTCAAAGCACAAGACTATAATAACAAATACAAATTCCCATACAATCATAAGTAAGTCACAGTCGGAAATTAGGGACTAGACCTTTTTTACAGTGAAATTCATTCCATCCTAAAGATCAAGTTTTTACTTGAGTTTAGTTTCAGATGAAAACACAACATCCGACATAGTGTCATGTGTATTATGCAGAGGCGGAAATTACTCTATCTGCACATTGCCATAGTGAATAGAAGACCATGCATGTCGTAATCCAAAATAGCACAAAAGTAAACAAAATCTGTTGCCTCAAAGATGATAAAAGAATTTGGTTTCTCTTTTAGTTTCATTATAATTATAATTGTACATTATAATATTGTACTTTTCAATTATCTTTGCGACTATGCATGCGACGCTATTTGAAGATAATAGTTTTCCCTCATAGTAGGGATCATTTTGTTTGGGTTTACCAGGTGAGTTATCATGATAAAAAAATATTGTACCCTGAAATATCCTAACCCTCCAAAAAACACATAATTTTTTGATTTTAAGATCCCGTATTTTCAAAGTGGACAGCAAATCTGTAATATGTAGGGTTTATTTTCTAACTTGCAAACAGGACAATTTTTTCGAATGACAGATGATGATTTTAAAAGATGGATCGAACTTGGCACTTTTGACGAATTATACGGCCCTGCTTTATACGTATGCAGCGAACACGATGTGCCTCCTGAATATTATCCCACTCAACTGACACATTATTTCTCGATGTTCAGGTCCTGTATTGTCAAAATGGATATCAAATCTGTAATCTGTAGGTTTTTGTTCTTTTGATAACTTGTAAACAGGACAATTTTACAAGATGACAAATGATGATTTTAAAGATAGGATCCGACTTGGGACTTTTGACAAAATTCTTACGGCCCTGCATTATTTGTGTACACTTCAGCGAACACAATGTGCCTCGTGCATAATCCCACCCAAATACATTATTTCTTGATGTTCAGGTCCTGTATTGTCAAAATAAACACCAAATCTGTAATCTGTAGGGTTCATGTTATAACTTGTAAACAGGACAAGTTTTAAAATGACAGATGATGATTTTAAAGACAGGATCCGACTTGGCACTTTCTACAAAATACGGCCCTGCATTATACGTATATTCAGCGAACACAATGTGCCTTCTGAATATTTTTTATCCCTCCAAAAACATATTATTTCTCGATGTTCGGTTCCCGTTTTGTCAAAATGGACACCAAATCTGTAATCTATATAGTTTATTTTATAACTTGTAAACAGGACAATTTTATAAGATGACAGATGATGATTTTAAAGATAGGATCCAACTTGGGATCCAACTTGGGGGGGGGGGGGGCATTATCGTCTTTTCAGTGAGCTACAGCATCACTATATGATTTGCCTACTTTCTATACATGTATTTGGACACAATCTTGCAAGTCTAGTGTCATAGGATGATGACCCATTGAGTTCATCATACCCATCGGATTTCAGCTTGAAAAATATCCCCTAGTCTGCTAGTTATTATGCCAAGCCAGAAAGATGTCCAAACTAAGATAGAACTTTGAAGGAAAGTGAAATTTCCTGATCAGCAACTATAAACTACATGTACATGTACATGTGTAATCATGCAATCCCACTCCTGCATGCTTGTTTGTGCAATTTCTTTGCTGCATGGTCGGTAGATAACATAAATTTTGCCCTCAAATTATTAACAAAGAATCTCAGTGAAAAGCCATTTTGAATTTCTAGTTGAATAGAGTTTTGTGCACTCTGGGACTGGCTTTACAAGGATTTTCCTCATCTTGTTGATTTTAAGAAAAAATATCTAAATCTGTAATCAACAAGAAAGGCAGTTGTGAACCAAGCGACCAATTTTCAATGAAATTCACGTGTAGGCCTATGACTTCACTCTTGATACATGACCAATTCTCCTCACCCTTTACCCCCACCCCCCCCCCCCCTCCCCCAATAATACGTGATGTCACTTTGTTGGTAGCATCAGCTTTTTCAAAGAAAATTTTAAGGGTTTTCACTTTTCAGGTCATTTATCAATTTCCCACACATTTTTTCAGTTATCTGTAAACATTTAGCCTCTGGTATACAATACAATACAATATTTTATTTCATCACAATTAAAAGACTTTAAAAGTGAAATTCTTCTTCCCAATGTGCATATAAAAACAATATACATATATTTAGACACTTAAAAATTTACATAAGTCGAAAACTTCAGTTAATGAAAAGTTAATAAGTATAAAACCACCAGCAAAAATCCCTACTTTAAAAAAAGAAGCTTGAAAACAAAAAGCTATATTGTTATAAAAAGTATTCAAATCTGCATGCTGACATGCTAGGTTATTTATTTAAAAAGGTCTAATCTGAATTGTAAAAACATTGCAAAGAGACAGTATTTATCTGATAAAATTAGAATTATAGAGGTGAATGGCACTAGGTAAAAAAGAAAATCTGAACCGGTTTGTGTGTGTGGGGAGCGTCCGTAATCTTCCTGATGGGAGTGACTGTATAGATGAATGCAGAGGATGAGTTGGGTCCTGAGTTATAGTCTGCAGTTTCGTGAGATAATTTGTTTCAACAATTTCGTTCACGTTTCACTTCCAGACCAATTATTATGGAGCTACATGTACGTGTAGTAGCCTAGAGTAAGCAGTTTGCAGTAGTTTTATTCCTGTGTAGATTGTTCACGACAACATCTCTTTTCCATCTGCAGCTCGGCAAGCAGAAAGCCTCCCAGACACTGTGCCATGTGACTGATTTTGACTACATCTTCCCTGCAACTTCAAGATGAAAGAAAATGGACTTTTTGGTTCGTCTACCTCCAAAGTTCAAGTTTTGATTATGTTCACGTAACTACGGTAAGTAGTACACTTGATTTGGTAAGGATCAATGAAGTTTTTTAATTTAAATGCATGTGAAGAGTGTAATTCTGGTTGACACGAGAATAAACGGCCCTAAAAAGAAAGTCCACACTCGTTGAATAATTTTGAATGTGATGGACTTGTGAGGACGTTATTTATATACACCTGGGAGAATTATATCAGCTAGATTTTGATACCCTGTTTGTTACCAAAGACTGTAAATTGTCCAAGATTGGTGGTTTATGAAAAATGATGCAGTTTGAAAAGTTGCAAATTTAAAGAGTTCGCGAGTGGAGTGGAAATTGCTGCGTGACAGTGTGACACTGCCCGAAATGAACGGCAGGAAAATTGATCACACAGTGTTTGCATGCATTTGAAATTGATTAACCACTGCTTTATAAGGGCGCTGTGCAGTCGATATTGGGACAAATATGGGGATTTGTGTTTGGTTACGCTGAGCAATTTCTCTTGCAACTTTTCAAACTGCACCGTTGTCGATCTACATGTACCACATTATATTATCTTCAAGTAAACTTGAATCCTCGATCCTGATTGGTCGATCCATGGCAACAACAGTGTGATATGAGGCTGTATTGCACTGTCCATATTGCACCCTGCGTATTGCGCCATTCCAAGATGCGAGCGACATTCCAGCTGCATGCACTAAACTGCTAGAAGGTTCGTTTAAAGCGATGGTCCAACTTTACTGCGCGTCAAGTTTGCTTGAAGATAAATTTGTTTTCACGCTTGCGCTCGTGGAACATGGAAAATGTAGTGCGTCTTTGTCCCATATGCCACTCACAGACGCACTACATTATTGCGTGTTCCACTCACGCTCGCGGGATAACTTATAGAAGCTACACTATTGGCAGTACATTGTAAGTGTCATAAGACCCATTTTTGAATGTAGTTTAAACTATTAAATTCCTAAAGCACTATCATTTTGTTTTGTTGCAGACACGTTTTCTTCAAAGAGGAGCATCTCTCAGAACTACAGATCAGTATGGCACAAGAAAGCAACTTTCAGTCTGGAAACTCCAAAGCATCAGGAGAGGGTGCGTATTGGTGGGAGGAAGATTTCTACGCTGGAAAGCTGGTTGACCTTCCTGATTGGTCCAAAGATGCAGGTATGCCCTCTGCTTCGGTACACATTCAGCACAAATTGGATATTACTGATGAACCTTCAGAACTTACCAACACAGATGTTCTAACCCAAGGATTTGTTTTATCCAAGGTGCCATCATTGGTGAACCTTTCCATGAATAAGATCATGTCTGTCAGTGAGATGCCAGAGGCAATTCAGGTCCCTCCAGGACTTGTCCCTTTGTTGAGGAGACATCAGGAGAGAGTTAAGCTGGAAAAGATCCAGCTCACATGGCTCTTGAATGAACTCATGAACAGAGAAAAGACAGTTAACTTTCACTTGCATTCGTGTTCCAAAGATTCCCCCCCAAATCAGGACGTGTTTTTCTATCGGGGTTGCCGCCCTGCATGGGAAACAGACCTGATAGCTCGCCAGCATTTGTACTGTGGGTACACATTTGGTTATTATGATGAACATTCCTGTACGTATCTGCCTGTTGCAGTGGAAGGCAGAGAATGTAGTGACTGGTGTATTGCTACTTTGGCACATGCCATTCAACTGATGCTACCTCAGCAACTGTTCCTCCAGAAGTCAGATCCACATATTACTAACCAAATACCTGTGAAGAAGGCTCTTGAAGAAGCTTTGGAGGCATCCGTCATGAGAGTTAGCCATGCTCTTTCCAAAGTCTGCCCCAAGCTCATTAAATATTGCTTTGAGCCCGCACTTGCGTATGTATGGTGGAGCAGAGGTGACTTGTCAAAAGCCCAAGAAGTATTTTTAAAACTTTCCAAGCAAATGCAAAATGACATAGAGAGTGATCTCCAACAAACAAGTGATGAAGTTGTAAAAGTGAAAGAGTGGATTAGTCAGAGAGCCTTGTACTTGAATGAGATAGGACGTCTGCATTCATATGTTGGCCAACCAGAGTTAGCAGTGAAATATTACGGACAAGCTGCCGATCTGTACTCAATGTATGTTCCTCGTTATGCAGTGGATTGTTCAACGCAGAGTTTGGTGCTGATGGCCACTGCATATGACCAAGGGTTGATGGGTAGTAAACTTGCAATACGAGCAGCTGATTCTTGGAGTACTCTTACTGTCAAACCAGATATTAACCCCAACATACTACAAATGGCTGCGGAATCATTCTTGCACTGCCACACAGGATACCTGTCCACTCATAGAGATTGCACAGACAACCAAACTGCAGCATGGCTCCTGGAAGGAAAGGACCTCCTAAAGCGACTTGTCACCAGGGCACCGCAGGTAAACCTCCATCTGTCATTGGTTCAAGCAATGCTAGGAGAAGACATGGAAGCAGAGGATTCTTACATGAACTATGTTCAACAATATGCATCACACCATCCAAGACTTCAACAACAGATCCCAGGTGCTGTATCAGTGTTTGTTGGCTCCGAGATAAAGTCTCATCCCTGGTGGGTGTTCCGGGATTGGCAAAGAACCAGCAACACCAACAAATCAGGCAAACCGAGGATAAGTAACCCTCAACATCTGAGAGCTTTGCCTTTAGTGTGGAGAAGACGATTCAGATTCTGTAGCTGTAACACAAAAAGTATTGAAGGAGAAGATATGAATCGTGGCTTGTGGAGTACCCCTTACCAACAAGTAGCAGAATATCAGGACAATGATCTGTCTCTGTATCTCAATAAAGATGGTCTTCTAGGAGGTTGCTTGATGCAGAACCTTCCGCCCTTGAGACCAGTGTTACTTGACCCTTACACAGGAAGGATATGTGTGCCTGGGCAATACCATGAACAGGAGACTTTGTCATGGAGTAATTGTCGAATCATTCAGCGTTGGGATGTCTTATCATTCACTTTGACTTTTGACACAGTTATTCCAACTCCAGTTCATGTATACAGTTCAAGTACAGGTGTAGTTGTATCGCTCCTCACATGGAATCAAAACAAAGGAGATGGAAAAGAGACGATGGTTCATGAGAGATCCCTGGATCTGCAAACAACACAGGCAACCCATGCAGTACTCTCATATTCCAGTCCTGACAGTGGCACTCATACACTGAATTTGGTTGAGGCAGTTGTTGAAAGTAAAAAGATGATGATCTTAGAGCAGCTGATCGCAGAGGGTTACAGTAACGATCTACAAGTGATAGAAGATGCTTCTGATTTTCTTGATTTCTGTAGTAACACATCCAAGAACATGCAGTATAACTTTCTCAAAACAGCATTAGATGGTGATTCCAGGGAAAGGTGTACCCTCCTTGATATAAAAAGGCAGTTGGGAAAGACACCCGGAAAGTGTGTTGGTTCTAAACAACTGACTGAGAAACAACACAAGAAAGTGCTGCAGTCTATTAAGGACTTTGGACCTCTTGAGCTGGAAACACAAACTGTTGTCCTCTGGAGAGTAATGTTAATAAGCCAGTCAACAGCTGTTCTGGCTTTGCACACAGATGGACAAGATGGATCATCCTTACATGATGGCAAAGCTGACACTTTAGTCTTTGTAGACTGCACAAACCCAGAAACCTTCAGCAAACCAGTGATTCCATGCCCTAGTCATCCTAATGCCTTTTGGCGTCTGCCATCAAAGGATGATCATGTTGGTAAATCAGCCAAGATATTCGTTGCAATTGAAGTATCCACTTTCACTGCGGATCCAGATGAAGACAGGCTTGTTATCTTTGATGCCAAGGGGACAGTTTTGCAGAGCCATGTCTGGCAACACCAGCCAGCTGTAGTTGTAGCAAGCAGCTGCCCTATGCTTGGCAACGATTGTGAGTTCACGGATTTGGTGCTTCATAGCAACAAGACGAAATCAAGACTGAGGTTGATGAGTACAAATGGAACAATTCAGTTTCAAACAAAACCGCTTGGAAGTATTGAACATTTCCTTCTGGTGGAAAGCATGGTTTTTATTTCCCTGAGGGATCGCATTTTAGTTCTGGAATCAACCACACTGGAACCCATTGAGATCATACATGGAGAACCACAGTTTTCAGCTGAGCAACCTGGTCTTCCTTCTGGCAAAAATGGAGTTCTTTTGACTGGAGAAAGAAGTTTCATGAAGGTGTTGTCTATAAACAAGCTCTGTACATCACCATCTAACCAGGCTGATGAATGCATCCAAGTGATTCTTGGAGTCGCAAACCATGTGTTTGTGTTGCAGAGAACCACGCATACAACCACTTGTATGGCAGAGCCTTCTGTTATTACCCAATCATCTCCTGTAACAATTATTGCAAAGATCATGGTTCCTGGGGTCCCAACAGAAGCCTGTTACCTCAGCCAACTTGATGGATTTGTAGTCACAGTCTCTTTGTTCCAAGATAAAGAACTTCCATTCTACCGTGAGAACCTGTACTGGTTTGACATTAATGGCTGCGTCCAAGGCATTCACCCTTTCATAGGGCCAGGTCCACATTGTATGTTTGCCACTGAGCTGAAACAGACCCCTCCAGATGTGAAGGAACCACAAGTACTTGCAAGTGGAAAGAGCGGGAGGACATCGCTAACAAGTGAACGTGACAACATGCAAGAAAAGCAGTGGCACATCTTCTTTGCGGATGGTCTTGGTGCACTTTGTTGCATTAAACTTTAGATTATTGTCTAGGGAGGAGTCTAGGGGTACGTGAAGGCTTACAAAATAACATGGAGGAAAAAAACAGAAATTTGACCATAACAAAAAACATGGCTGCAGAGATGACAGAGCAAACAGGTTTCTGTTGCCCTCTTGCTTGGTGACATTGATGTGGTACATTCCATGGAGTGTTGCAGGGGGTTGGACAATTTTTGGGCAAAGTGCCCTTGTCCATGGCAGTTGTAGCAAATCAGTGCTTGGCTCTGGGATAGTTGGGTCAAGTTATGGCCGGTGGAATTGTGCATTGTCAGGTGGCTTGGGTTCTGGGGTATGATGCATAGTTGACTCCAATTGGCAGTCTCACAGGTGTGGGCATAATTAATGGAAGTTAGGATTTTTGGACGGACTTGGTCAGGGACTGGATTTTTCCCTTTCATCTGTTGTAGGACTCCTTCTCTTTATCCTCCTGTGCTGAAATACTGCTGTTTTGGCTACCTTTCATGTGTGTGCTTTCACATTTGGCTCATCGGATAACCCAGTTCTTCAGCTTCAGCAAAAAAACATCGTCTGGGTTCCTGTCGAGGAGGTCTTGGCTGAAATGTCTCTACCTCTCTTGGTGGAGGCCATCTATGAATTGCCCCTTCAAAAGCGTGTCTGGTTGCTTGTAGAGTTGCAGTTCCTTCTGTGTATGAACACAGCTGCTGGAGTTCCACTTCGTATTCCTTCATGGGTTTCCCCATCTGTTGTCGCCTATCAGTCAGATGCCACTGTAGCACCCAACTAGTGATTAGTAAGAGGCTTCTCCATAAGAGGCTTGCAGGCATGAGAGAACAGCCTGCACTCCAGCTTTCCTACCAAGGAGGGATCAGGCCGCCACCTTTAGGACATCTGGGAGATAATCTGTTGGAACATGGTAGCATTCGAAGGCATAGCAGAAATCTTCTATGGTGGTGGTTAGTCCCGAGCAGTCCTTGACCACCGAATGAGGGACATTCCTTTCTGGCGCCATCACGGCAGTCAAGAATGGGTCTCGGTCTTCACTGGAAGGGGGTGAACTCATGGTGACCCCATCCTCCCCGCAGAGGTAGTATGGTGCTGTCCACATGAGCTAGGGTGACCTCTTTGCCATTAAAGATAAGCCACTGGCAGCTGGGAAGAAATCTCAGGAAAAAAGTCTGGAACTACATGTAGATAACGGGGTGTACAGTTCTTAATTCACACTTGAAAACCTGCACAAACTTAATAGCCCGATCATTGCTATTCGGTGACTTAGGAACAGGACCTCTCAACTCTGTAAGGCAGTTAGGTTTACGATGCATGTACTTGTTGTAATCCTGCAACTTAGCAAGGGCAATTTTGCCTTACAATTTGTGTAATACTTAACACATACAGATGGTGACTTCTCACACAACAATATGCAAAACCACTGCACCTTTTAAACAGCATGCCACAATGTTGTTAGGCTAGTTTCTGAGTTTCTGAATTACCGGCAGTGCTTTTATGTGCTCTGCATTGGGTATGGCCATGGTCACAAACTGTATGCTATTTGGCAGCATTGCTTTTTGCATATGATTTCCTGTTCCGTAATTGATCTGTCAGTGCAGCCTTTTTCAAGTATATATGTGTTCTAATGATGTCATAATTTTTTATATCCGAGGTTGAAATTTTGGGTTGAAAATGTCATCTGCGATGTGTTGTATGAATTCCCTACATATCTTGCCTGATCTTTACGTGCCATAGTGATTGTCCATGATTGTCCATAGTGATTGTCCAATGATTTATGAGGTTGTGAAGCTACATGTACAATGTACACGTACACCTGGATTAACCTATAACCGCCCTGAATCCTTCAAAATCCTCTTTGCCAAAGTGGAGGAATTACATTGAGGTTACATGGCAAACGTGCGTTACTAATTTAGTAGGATGCATTTTGTCAAGGTGTTGGGCCAGACCTTGTGTTGTTAATGCTCAGCCATGCATAAATATAGGCCTGGATTATGCTTGAAATCCTCCGTACTGCTCCAGGATATCACTGGCCAAGCCTCAATATACGGTACATGTATTGACAGTCACTGCTGCAGGATTTTGCAGGATTCAGGCAGTGCTCACCCCTCCATGGCAGGATTGAGGCTATATGCTATTTTTCAATGAGGCTAATTGAAGGATTTTGCAGGATTGAGGCTACATCCTAGCAAAAAGGCCAATGGAGTTAAGGTTAAGGAATCAAAATACATGTATGTGAAAGGTTTGTCATCTTGTGCAATGTAGAAGCTTGTAATTAGGCCCTAAGTATTTCTTCATCCTTTCTACATGTCTTTCTTTTTCCCCTAACTTTCTCAGTGTTTTCTCGATTGGTTTCTCTTTGCTTTTTTTGTCATGAGCCACAACATCGCTAAAAACTGCTGAAACAGGGCAGATCCAGGAATTTTTGCAGGGGGGGGGGGTGTTTCATCAGTAAATCAATGCTGAGATGTACACGTAGACAGGTTTTAGTGTAAAAGAAACTAATTTTTGACAGCTGGGGGGGGGGGGGTTGACCCCAAAAACAACCACCCTGGATCCGAGCCTGTGCTACCTCTATTCCTACATGTAGCCCTAAACAGTACAGTACAGGTTTTTGTTGTGACGTATAGCTTTAAAAGCCATGGATTACCATTTCTTAAAGATTTATGACGGTAATGTTATCATGTATAATAAATAACTCATTCTATTTTCAGTCGTGTTACTATGAATTGTGATTATACGTAGTTGACATAAGCATGTTGATTACCTTATTTGGTACTGAGAGTGTTTCTTAAGTAGTTTAGAAAACACTGATTTTAAAATATGATTGATAATGTTTTTACCATTTCAAATGGACTTACAGACCTAATTAATAATATTGTAATTTTAATTATTATATTCAAGAAATTTTAGGTTAAGTTAATAACTTAATGAAGTTATGGCAATAATATTTAACCGATTCACAAATGTACTACATGTAGGAACCTTCATCACTTTTGCAAATTTCAACACCGTGTTAACGCAAAAAAAATTAGTTCTGCTTCTAATTACATGACATTTAAAATCAGGGTGGGTGGGGGATTTTTTCCTCAATTTTTTTTTTTGTACAATCATATGGAGGCGTCTGCATGTAATCAAGGGTAAAAGGTAAAAAATGATGGTTTTGGCTGTTTTTTTCCCCTCATTTTTCCAATGAAAAAATTAGTGTAGGGGCTGTCAGAATAGGGTACATTGTAGGTAGGGAAACTGGAAGCAGAACTCTTTTTTTGGCCTAATCAACCACTGTTTAATCATAAACATTTCTTTTTACAAAGGAAAAGCATATAATAATCATTCTATTTTCAGTCTTGTTACTTTGAATTGTAATATATACATAGTTGACAAAATCATGTTTCTGGCATGTTATTTACTTTATTTGGCACTAAGAGTGTTCTTAAGCATGTTAAGTAGTTAAAAAAATACTGATTTTGAAATACGATTGATAATGTTTTTACCATTTCAAATGGACTTACAGGCCTAATTAATAATATTGTAAATTTAATTACATGTATTATATTCAAGAAATTTTAGGTAAAGTTAGTAACTTAATGAGGACACTATGAGTCACATTAATGTTTAACCTGTACCCCCCTAGAGTGATTTACTAGGAACTTTCTTCACTCCTGCAAATTTCAACACCGTTTTAAAACTGTACTACAAATTGTTGTTTGTTATATGATTAAATGATTATTTGTGTTATGCCTAACCCCATGTAGGCTAGATAGCATATTCTGTGCAGTACTCACACTAGTATTAACAAATTCCAACAAACACTGGTCTTAGAGTTGGACTGAGTGAGGATTGTAAGGGTTTTAATAGACACCACTTGGAAAATAAAATAATAATACATTATAATAAAAATATCCTAAAAGTATCCTAATTGATTAAGCAGGATCCTGTCAAATCTTTGCACCAGGTATGCTGTCTTTTATGTAAATTTTATTGACGTTTAAGTATAAATTCTTTCTTTAGACTTATTGCATGTCGTTTGTTAAATATTGTTGTTCCTTAACCCTAACATACCTGAATCCATCAAAATCTATACTCCTGTTTTGGATTATTTCGGCAGATTCAGGATACCTCCATACTGAAAACGGGGATTTTGATGGATTCAGGATTGTAAGCCTAGCAGTACTGCAGGATTTTGATGGATTTAGGATACCTCTTTACTGAGCAATCGCCAACACCAAAATGTTTGTGCATGACAAAATAGGTGGATTTTAGCGGATTCAGAATACTTTTTAGTAAAAGTGCTCAAGGTGTTAGGGTTAAATATTGTTGTTTCTTAAATAGTGTTGTTCCAGCAATGTTTAAAACTGTTAAGGGGCCTGATCATCGATCATGGCCCAAGCGGCCAAGCCAAAGGCAAGGGCCATTATCATGCACCAGGTCCCTAACTAATTTTATATTTTGAAAAAACTATTCTTCCATTAAAAATACATAGTTTACATGGTGTCCACTACCTTTGATGATGCACTGTGTGCATCACTTTCTTGCTTATAGACCTCTCAAGTTTGGAACCCAAATGCTTGCAATAGTTTACATAATCAAACCTACTCATCAGAAATTGTGCTTTTCATTAAAGACTCTTGAAAAACCTGAAACAGTAAACATGAAATAATGTAAATAACAGAGAAATATTATAAAGCGGTTGTGTTGTTTTTAATGAATAGCAATGAATAGCAATAAATCAGTACAATTCAGTGAGGAAAAATATTAATTGTATTTAATTTAATCTGTTTCATCAACGCTTTTGTTTCTAAGCGTCAGCTTTTTCTAAATTTAAAGTTTTCAGAGAGGGGTGATAACACCAGTGTAGTGTAGGTCTCAGGGACCAGTCTCGATTTGTCTTTCCCGTCTCGGTACCCCACGGTCTCAGTCTTGGTCTCTGTCTCAGACATTCAAGGTAGTCTGGCGATCCAGGCCAGCAGTATGCAGCATATAGAATCACTAAATACCAGAGCCTCTAGTATTAGTGATTCTATATGCTGCATACTGCTGGTCTCGATCGGGAGACTAGCAAAATACCAAGTAGAGGCAACAAGAAGGATCAGCAGGGTATATTTCGTACTTCCTTCCTCTAAAATGTGAAATCAACTTACAAAAATTACCATGAACCTTAAACAAACTGCAGCAATGACATGTTGCTTGTCTTTATTACTCACGCAAAGTCATTTGTGATCCTTTAAGTTAAGTAGGTTCTTCTGAGTAAACGTTGGCATAAACCATATAGGCCTGCATAAAATGCACTTGTTAACCAGTTCACGTTGGATGACATGTTAACACAAAAAGGTTTTGCATTATTCAGTACGGAAGACATAAAAACGCAGCGAGCAAGGCCGGAATAATCAGGATGTGCTACCCACAGAGAGTCAAGGGTAAACGGTAGAAATTGATGGTTTGGGTCTTTTTTCCTCATTTTTCCATAAAAAAATTAGGGCTCTCAGAATAGGATAGGTAGGGAAACCGGAAAAAAAGACCTTTTTTTTTTGGCCTGATCAACCTATCGCTCAGCTCGATTAGTTGATAACGCAGATCCAATGATTATACCCGACCTAGTCAGCACCATTTTCTCATTGTCAGAGTTGGCCAACAAACCCTTGGAATGTTGTCCATAATGCTTGAAATTGAGATGTTAAACTGTTTCATCCACCAATCTAGTAACCAGCTACTAGTAGATGACCAAGAAACAGATTTGTTTGGCCATATTTGGATTGATATAAGGGGTAGGTCAGACTAACCTACACTAGAGGTACGGATACATGTTTCATCATGGACAATTCGTCATTCATCCAAAGTTGAACTTGGAGAACGAGTGGAAGAGCAGGTTGAGTGGCCCATTGGAAACAACACTCAGGTGAGTACCATTTTTACTTTGCAAATTTTGCCTTTTTTGTGCTTTTTGTTTACCAAAACAAAGTAGGTCACATTCTACAACCATTGGAGACCATTTTCAAAACTCAGTGGGTTGTATTATGTTGGGAGGAACACTGAGAGAGCAGTGGGAAGGGGAGAGATTCAATCTCCTCGCCCCACCCCTCTCTCCCCCCCCCCCCAGGTTTTCTGATGACACAATATGTCCTTTAGGGTTTCCTTCATTCTTTACTTCTCTATTAGTACAACTGTCCTTTACATCAGGGGTGATATTTTTTCTGGATCTTTCCAGCTTTGTGGATTATAACAAAAAATGATTATAAAAAAGTGTTAAAGAAACCATTACAATTGGCAGTTTTTAAGGAGTGCAAATTAGACTTACATGTTTTCAATATAGACCCTTTATTACTTTTGTGGATCTCCTCCTTCCCCCCCCCCCCCCCCCCCCAATCTCGTCGACTTTACATGTACATGGTCATGTTGGCAGGGTTGACATTATTTGGTGTGTGGTACAAAACTCTGGAGTGAATTCCTCTGGCCAATTTACAGGGTCAGAAAGTGTGTGTGGTTTTTGGTTTGGTTCGGGCGGTTTAGTTCTTGTTTTGGTTTTTTTGGTATTTATTTATTTAATTTTTTGTTATTTATTTCTTTATTTTAGTTGTTTTGTTATTTATTTATTTTTTATTATTATTTATTAAATTTTTTATTTATTTTTATTTTTTATTATTTGGGGGAAGGGGGCTTTAATGCCATGGTTATACTGTTCATGTACCTCTTTGACTGTGGGTAATTGATAAGCCAGCTGTGCCCACAACTTGCCTGCTTTGTCTGTTCATGGTCTGTTGACCGACTTTGACTTTTCATAGTGCTTGTCTGATTATGATCTGACTGCTGGTGACTAGCCTTTTTAAAGGGAAGTGGATGGAAAGGTCGACTGTCTGTGACTGCTTAAATAGCAGGAGTTTCAATGAAAGTACAGTGTGTGTCAACTCACCTTCGGAGGAACCTTTGTTCCCCAGATGTGACATCAGTTGTAATTGTCTGTTGGTCTGGATGACATACAATTTGTTTTGGGCTCTCTGTATGTTTTTGACTTTTTTTCCCTATTAGTTCTGTGATTGAGACAGTGTTGAAATGACATAGCAACAATAGCTCCCTCTGGTGACAGGAAATAGCATGGTCACGGTAAATAGTGAACAGCAAAATCCATTTGGGAAAGAATTTACATCCAACATAATAAAAAAAAGGGTCCCAATTTTTTTGCAAATTTGCCAGAAATATGATTCAGTATAAAATTCATAAATGGCCTCTTTCAAAGGAAGGAATGGTCTTTGTTTGAGACAGCAAGATTCAGATTTTGTTACGCTGATGTAGGTGGTACTGATCCATGGCAAGTGCGGTCAAGCCATGAGGTTGTTGAGGGCGCTATCAGCAAGATGAATTAAATTCAGTCTTGGGAATGTTGGCATTGATACCCAAGAAAGTCGGTGCATACCTCACAACACGCACACATCAGCCTGAATACAGTTCACGTGAGGTACATGCATGCAGTATGCTCAGATTTTCTGGTTCATCTTTTTCTTAGCACCCTCCAGAGTTGTAATGACACGAGTCAATGACTCGACTCGAATCCAACTCGAGTCACAATTTTTGGTGACTCGACTCGAATCGAGTCCCTATGGGTAAATGACTCAACTCGAGTCACTGTGAGCAAATGACTCGACTCAACTCGAGTACCTCATCAGAAGACTCGACTCATCTTGCTTTGAGGGAAGGCTTATAAGACTTGAGTCCCCCCCAAAAAGCAAAACTTTACGGTGCAAAATTTATGCTGACATCACTCTGCGAATACAAATTTAATTGCAATTTCTTATTAAGCTCTTGGATTCGAACGCCGGCTAGCTTTATGCCATCCTTATAAAACAATGAAAGAGATACATACACACTCTGAAATAATATCTTCAGAAGCATTTTTGTACAATCCAATTTTGTCAGGGATCAGCAAAAAAGATCTAGACCTGAAAGACCAAAGTTTCACTTCTTGGTAACTGTTAGTGCTACAAATGATTCTGTCTTCTATTTATTTGTTAGATAGCGTTCAAGATTGTGACTCAATTTGACTTGAGGTAAATAGTAGACTCGACTCAACTCGACGAGTCGACTACACTCGATGTCTCGACTTGACCCTCTTGGCCTAATGACTTGACTCGGCTCGAGGCACTTGTTTAAAATGACTTGACTTGACTCGAGACACAAAAATCAATGACTCGTTACAACTCGGGTACCCTCTTCCACTTTGGAAGTTATGAAGAACTGGTTGTATATTGCAAAAAAGAAATTTAGTCTTGAACCAAGACTAAGGTAGCAATTGAAATTTGCATTTTGTTTGGCTGTCACCTGGTGCGCAGTGGTACAAACGGTGATAAAGCAATTTTTTCACAACAAAAACTTGTTCAGAGATGAAAAAAAGTCAATGAGGTTAACCCATACTTAGGATAAGAATAGGGAACAGTTCCTGAATGGTTTTTGTTGACGTTGCTTGGCCTTTTATTACGATGGAAGCTAGTCAACCATGACAATAACGTGTAAAGAAATTTTAAAGTTTACCTGGTTGGTTGGATTTTAAGAATTGTTTGTGTCTACCTTCATAATAAAACAAGGAAAGCAATGGTTGCCAAATAATTTATTTCCAGGTATTTACTTGACATGTATAACAAATCTTGGAGTCACCTGCTACACCTTATAACAAACTAGTTTACTGGGTTTTTTTACCCCTTAAATGTTACAAATACACAATGTAACTTTTATCACAGACTCCAAAACTTCATGTATTTTATGGGTAGAGCAGTCATTTACAGGATGCAATGCATGCTTTTCTCTAGGAACACTAGATCAATGTGCTTCTTTTTTTATTAAGCACAAGCCATATGGAGTGGACTCTATGCTGTATATAAGCAAGTACAGACGACACTTTTCGACCACTTTCGAGATCTAAAGACGGGAGGCACTGCGTGGGTATACTGGTTCTTGCATGTATGACGTGAAGAACGCAAGACAACTTTGTTTTTAAAGTTCACGTAGCGTCTCCTTACATGTATGAGCAACAGGTATCCATTGGCAATGTGTTCGAATGTTCCTCTTAGTGGTCTATAGATACATGCAACTTTCCCTTTGTAACTGTTGGGGGGCACTTGTGCACAGAGCCATTACAACAGCTCTCTTCCAGAAAAAAAAAAAAACAATTATACCCAGATTTTTGCTTTTTTTTTTTTTTTTTCAATTGTGTCACATGTCTCCATATTGTTCAAGCAAATTCAAATTCTTGACTTTCCACCATTTTAGAGGGGCCCGCTCCCCCCCCCCCAAAAAAAAAAAACTTGGTTTAAGGTCTGAATTCAGGCAGCATGTATGAGAAGCATTGGTAAGTTAACCAAAAAAACGAAGCATTTTAATCTGGCAAATTATTCCCTGAAATCATATGTAAAGGATACTTTCTTTTATTAAAAGTACACCAACCTATGTTTTGTAGTTTTACTTCTGATACAGCATCTTCCTTTTGTGTGTGTAAATTTCCGACATTTGCATCAAACTATAATCTTTCCAAGTACATCAATCATAACAACTTTTTTTTAACTGATGTCCATTCCTTGTTTGACATGGTTTTTGAGAATACAATACTTCTAGGGGTTTTCCTGTACGGTTGTTGATAAGCGCAAGGCTATGATGACGTAGTGACAGTACAGCATTCATGCCTGACTGATCTAGGCAGCCGCGCAGTACCAGCCAACCCCAACCGTTGTATGCTGCCCGAGGTAGTGTTGAAGTTGGCAAGTTTCACCCTGGATCCGGACTTTTAATTCATATTACGACACAGGCAGACACAAGCATCAAAAGGTTCTCTTGATAAAGTACTGTCCCGGCAGCCTGCTGGCTCATCTTCTACAAATATGTGGACCTTGGCTGTACTAAGTCTACTGCTATTGGGTAAGTTATTTTTTTATTTAGGTGTTTTGGTTCAAGTCTGAACACCTACTTGTTTAGATATGTTGATAGAAACCTATTCAAGGCCCCCAGTAGGCCTAACAGGCTGCTTGGATAAGTGGTCACTTGTGGTTAGCTAGTCCAGGGCCACACATAAATTTGTTTATGAATAAGAATTCTGAAAGAAATTTCTTACCGTTAATTTGTTTCAACTGTTAGTAAAGGTCAAAACTTATTGTTAGGGCTATGGCCACAGAAGTGATTCTGATATCAAATGTCTATTCAATGGAAAACTGTGGTGGTCAAATGTCTGTTTTTCCCAAGGTGAAAATTAAGCAAATTTCTCAGTGTCACACTTCAGTGTTGGAAAATTGAAAAAGATCAATTCAGTAAGTTTGATATGTAACTACTGTGAAAGATTCCTACATTTCATTAGGAGAAATCCTTAGATGCTTTGCACAGTCATAATGCAAAGGTGGATCCAGCACCAAATTTTCTGGGGCCAGATGGGGGTTGTGCAAGTGGAAGGCTGGCCATTGCAAAATTAGGTTTTTGTGTTTTGGGGGGGTTTGAGGGGAAGCTGGGCCTCGATCATTTGATGTCAGTGGATACTCTTTCCCCCTTTTTCTTTCTATTGTTTAATGAGTGATTGAGGGAAAGGGGATGAGTGGCATCAATTTAAACAAAGTCATCTTCACTCCTCTTCTGAATTCAGTGGAAATATCATTGACAGTGGTTTGGGGAGGGGGAGGGTGTCGAGTTATATGGCCCACATATGTGACCTGTTCCGTCAAAGCAGACGCTTCTGGGCAGAGGTTGAAATTGAGATAGGGCTAAAAAAAACACTCTGGGGTGATTTTTGTGGATTTTCTAATTCTTGCATATTTGTAATCCTGAACATTTCTAAAATATAATATAAAAGTTTAAAACCCTAATTTGAACTCTAAGTATAGTATTTTTGATGATTTGTTAAGGCCAAAAAAAAAAGTCTCCGGTTTCTGGTATGGAGCTTGCCCCAAAAGTGGTGCGGCGACGCGGCTTTTTTTTTTTTTTAACCTGTTTTTTTTTTTTTTTTTGGCTTCAAATGTCGGCTGATGACTGCAAATGGTGCCCGACTAAACTTAGTGCAAATATATGGGAGTCCAGAGAGGCCACATAAAGCTTATTCTCGATCATAACCCCATCTAAAAACACATTAAAATTGTGCAGCAGCAGAATTCCAGTCAAACCAGTGAGTTTGGCGGTTTTGAGACATCATCTTTTATTGAAAAAAAAACTTTTTCATTTTGCCGACGCGCATGGCTACGGCGACGCACGCGCATACCAGAAACCGGAGACTTTTTTTTTGGCCTAAGGTATATCAGTTAAAGAAATGTCACTTGAAACAGGTCTTAAAATAGACCCCAAACTTTCACTGCCATTTTCTCTGTTTTCTACTTTTGGATACGATGAACTTCAAAATAGCATAACTTTGCCCAGGAATGTCCGGTTTCAAAAATTAAACCACCTACATGTATTAGAAGCAAAATATGCATATTTTAACAATAAGCAAAAATCTCATTTTTGACCTGAACGGGTCACATATGAATTCCCCAGTTTGTGTCCACTCCATGCATACTTGTTCTGTATTTGTTGATCCCATATTGTTGTAAGTTGGATTTTGTGGTTACCAAAAGCATGATGACAATCCTGTGGAATTCTAGCTCAAAATTCAATATTTTTAATTCCACATCAGGCCTCAACTAGATTTCTTCATTTCTAAAATGGATAAGAACGTTGTCTCTTTGTTTCAGCTAGTTGTCTTTATTACTGAACTGCACTTCAACAATGAACACAGTCTGAGAATGGACAAACTATAATGCAAAATGATTAAGATGGGTCCAAAATCCTCTATAAATGTCACATTACTTCATCGTCGGTGTACCGAGAAGGCAATTGGCGAGACCATTATGAGCATATAATTATTTTTTTTTAGAATCACACTGAGTGGAAACCATCACTGAACCCCCCCCCCCCCCGAAACACCCCTGCCTCCCAGGCCTGTTGTCTCTGGTCCTTTGTCACAGTGGCGGTTCTACGTGGGGGGCTCGGGGGGGGGGGAGGGGGGGGTGTAGCCCCCAATTCTATTGTCCAACCCCCCCCAAAAAAAAACAAATTCCACTAGTAAAATGTAAGAATGTGATGTACATGCGAACGGTGTCCCCTAAATAAATAGTCGTGAGAAGGGTGCATTTGTACACTTTTAGTTAATATAGTGTGCCTGATTGTACGATTTTATCATCGCTCCCCATTGGAAATATGGCACAAGCCCCCAGACCCCCCCCCCCCCCCCCCCCCCCCCCTATTGATTTTCGGAGGCCTAATTGTCCTGAGAAAATAACCGGTCTACATCTCAGCATGCCTCCCTAAACAAAATTCTGGATCCACCCCGCAAGCCCCCCAAAAGTATTGGCTCTACAACCGCGCCTGCTTTGTCATATCCTCACTTGCCATGTGATAGCCGTAACAATGAAACAAAGAAGTTTAATTGTAGCGGCAAAGAGGATGGGCCCAAACATGTTGCATTCAATTATTTTGCTTATTTTGTAGTAGTTTTGAACGAATTAAGTTTGAAAAGAAAGCAGCATCCCTACTCTCTTGCTAGTGTAAGAGTAAAAAGCCACTGTAAAAGAGTTGCCAGCCATATGGCTCTTGAAAAGAGTGGACGTTTTACTCTTTTAGAGTGGTTTTCAATATGACCCATACTGAAAAACCATCCCCAAAAAAGTGAAACTTCCACTCTTCTTAAGAGCCATATATGGAGTTTTTTCACTCTTTTACATAAAAGAGGAGCCACATTTTTATCCTTTATTGCATCAGTGTTGGTCACTAATGTAGAAAAAAATAGATGGGGACTGATAAACATTTACAGTTTTGTGAGAAATTACTGTTAAATTGTTTGTGACTACTCGACTTTGGTGTCTGAATACTACATTTTATAATGCATCCAACATGTTAGACTTCCAGCCATATTGTTTGATATTCATGAACAGTTTTGTAGACTTCTTGGTACAGTACTTGCATCACTGTCTATTATTCTGTAATTCCCAGACAAGCCTGGCCTCCAGCTGCTGTTGCATTGGTACCAAGCTGTGCCAGCTAGCACATCAATTGTTCGCCTTTTGAAAGCGTAACTTTGGTTTGAAGCATGAATTTGGTGGACAATGGAAATATTGTTAACAATTTGCCAGCTCTATGACTTCCTCCATGGTGGTACGAGTGCCTACGTGTAGATGGGGACATGCTTCCCTTCTTTTCGACTTATGCATGCACTGATTTGTTAGTGATCATGTGATCAGGATTGTAGACTTCTCAGTACAGTACTTGCGTCACTGTCTATTTTTCTGTACTCTGCAAATGAGCGTGGGCTCCTAGCTGCTGTTGCATTGGTACATAATGTAGCTGTGCCAGTACATCAGTTGTTCACATTTTGAAAGCATAACTTTGGTTTGAAACATAAATTTGGTGGACCATGGAAAGATTGTTAACAATTGGCTAGCTGTATGTACTTCCTCCATGGTGGTACATACGTGTACATACATGTTCCCTTCTTTTCAACTTTTGCACTGCTTTGTTGGCTGTCATGTGAATGCATAACCTTCACTTGAAGGTACATGTACATTGGAGCTAGATACATGTACAGGTGCATTTGTACAAACACAACCAAAAGCAAGTTTTTTACATTTCATTGGATATTTGGAGGATTTTGGTTGTGTACTTTAAGCAGCTCCAAGGCTTCAGACTATTTTGCTGTCATATGCATCAGATCAATTGGTTGTTACGATTTCAGGTTTTAATTTTTGAACATTAAGTCAGAACTAGAGAGGTTTTTGGTTCCTTTTTTTGGTAGCAAATAGCCAATCAAATTTCGGCAAATGTGAAGAACATAACAAAATGAGCCCTTGAAAAGCTGTTGTTTTCACACAACAATTTCATCCCCTGTAGGCAGTCTTTAAAGCATGGAGCTATTATAGCTCCATGCTTTAATCAGCACCCCAGCCTACTGACACACAGGGATAATCCTCTAACATGTCATAACAACAATAAACAACCACCAGTTATCCACACACATTATTATTGGGCATTCACTGAATTTAAGTGTGACACTTGATTGTGCCTGAAATCTTATCAGGCAGGATCCATTTCATCCCTTTATCAAACTCATTATAGGATTAATGGTGATCAGAGTCTTAATCAGTTAAAAGGGCACAACTTGGATGACCACTCTGATCACTGTTCACATTTTAGTCTCAAAATGCCTTCACTCCCCATAAGTGAAACAAAGTCCCATTGTATTTAGGCATCCAAGTCACACTTAACCTGATTGTAAACTGGTCGGCAGTACAGGGTGAGTAAAAAAAAAAAAAGCGGAACCCAAACCCCAAAAATTATATTTCAAATTACAAAAAAATATGTAGCACCAAAAAAAATAATAAATTAAAAGCCAATTTCATACATTACTTTTAGAGAAAAAAAATTACTGAAATTGCTCAATCTGTTCAAAGAATATCACCATTTAAACACAATGAACCTTAAACCTCTTTTGTCCAAAAATGCGATTTCAAGAGAATCGTTGTCACAAATGTCTTCAAACATCAACCAGCGATAAACCTCAGTTTAAAAGTTAAAAAGACTCAACATAGTCCTTTTGAAGGCCCGTCTTTTAAAAAAAAAGTCGGGGTGGGAGTGAAAATCGAGGCGGGAGGTGATGAAAACCTAAAAATCAATGTTGAATGGCCTAAAGGGCATTTTTGTTACAAAGTCTTTTACATGATATGCTGAACGAAAGGTGATAATGATACAATCAATGCGCAAAAAAACAGCCTACTATCTTGACAAAAATATCTGCAGTTTCTCACAAATGTTAAACTCTAATTACTATAGAGCCCACATAGGCCTAACCACATAGGTTTTCTGAATGCCGTGTTTTGTGAAATGTTTGAATTCCTTTGGTTTTCAGCAGGCCCATGCCAATCCCAGGTCATCCAGACGCCAGATGACGTTGAGGCCTACCTGATCTTCTCGAGCCAGTATAGAATTTTCCGATTCAATATTGATGTGACAGATTCAAGGGTTCTGCAACAGGACGCACGTTCCACTGTGGCACTCGACTTTGACTATCAGGCAGGCCTTTTCTACTGGAGTGACCAGGACCACAGAAGAATATACAGGTGGCGTTTTTTATTTTCCTATTTTATTCATATTTGTCAAGCGCTTACTTCTGTTACCAAATTTTCTACAAACAGGTATAGACATATTCAAAACTTTTACATCCCTTCACCATATGTAACAGTCTCAAAAGGGGAGTGGATTTGGCCTTTCCAGTAGGCACATGTGTATAATTGCAAGCCCATGCCAAGTAAGTCCGATACCTAGCTCTCTTGATACAGTCCCTAAATCAGCAATTTAGATATGATTCTCATTCAGCCGCAAGCAAACGTTGACCACTGATCTTTACTTGACATATCTCTCCCAACTGACAAACGAGGGCGGCATTTAATAGAGCCCATCACGTGGGTTTTTTTAAATGGTTGATAAAACACTGACTGCAGTCGACTGGTTTTAAACACTTTTTCTGGCACCGCAGCCATTATCCACGTCCAGGCCACTAGCCGGCTTTTAAATGTACTTGTTTAAAACCGGCGAAGCACATACCCTTATAAAAAAAAGGGTTCCCATACATGTACATGTGGAACTTTTAAAACCATCGTCAACGTATTTTTTTTCTTTGAGCAAAGTATTTATCATTAAATCGGTTGGACATCATTTTGTGGACAATAATACAACAACAAATGCGTGAAGGATATGAATACATGTAATGCTATTGCTAGTAAAAAAAACCCCACAAACTACGTTGGTATTTTGGGGTAAGTTGTACTCGGGTACTGTTTCAGCATTCTGTACTTCAGACATTATTCTTAGGGGGGCCTGCAGGACACTTGTTTCTGTTTGTTTTTCCTGAGAGTCAAATATGCCTGGCTGTGTACACCTCACCCTAAATTCAATTTCCTATTACTAAGCCTGGCAACGTGGCCCTTGCCTTTTTCTGAAAACTTATGAAACCTCATAATTCTATGTTCATAGGGCCTCCATAGACAATGGAGCTAACAAGGAAATTGTTGTGTCCACTGGAGACGACTCTGAAGTTGATGGAATAGCAGTGGATTGGATTAACAAGAAACTGTTCTGGACAGACTATGGTGAGTTCCTTCTGTGGTCCAGCACCTGTATTTTCACAGCAAGTAGTAAGCTACTGTACTGTAGGCAAGGATGGAGTCAAGTCCATCACAAGCCTATCACAAGGCCACTACACAGTAAATCACAAGTCAAGTCACAAGTAACAGTGGATGAACAATAACAAAGGGATGCCTTTGTCAAAGCTCATTGTGAGTTGAATCAGGACTGAAGGTCTTATGATGGACTTGCAGGGACTAAATCCCTGCTTGTAGGTGTAGTTTCATCCAGGTCTCTCCACTCCAAACAAGTGGTGACTCTAATTGAGTGAATCATAATTTTTCAGAACAAAAAACAACAGAGTGTCATTGCTTCCTGCCCCAAGTAAATAATGACGGGACTGTTAGTAATTTTTCATTTAAAGATATGAAGAGTCAAGCAAATTGTACCATTTTCAGATTTATATGTGCTTATTATGTTCTTAAAGGTAGTACATGTATGTCATTTGCAGCTATCAAACAAGTAACTTACAAAATTATTATTGAAAAGCATACTTGTTTTAAAGATAGTAATGGCTCTTAACTCCCTGTCTGGCATGCTGCCATTTTGAAGAAAACATTAAAAGAAGGTCATTTCCAAAGATGTGTCTCAAGCCGCATTTTTGGAAATTTTCTGTTAGTAGTTGTGAATGTGAAGCTGTGAATGGGTGCGCGCGCGCAAGGATTGACACGACACACACGCAAGCGCGTATACTCAATGAGAATGTGTCCCGGACGCTGATATCAGGCACAATTCAAAACATGACTTGGCAACTTTTGAACTGAAAATCGAGATCCTAGAATATTGTTTTCTCGGAATATACAGCATTCACTGAGCTAAAACATCACCAAGTTAGTTGTTAAGCACCCTTCTTCACATTTTGAGCACTCTTGTTGCTCCAAACGAAAAAAAAATGCACAAATGACAAATACCTTTAATTCTATGGGTATTAACAGCAGCAGATTATGACCAAATGCTAGCATTTAATAAGTAGGTAAAGTTGTTCTTAATCTACATTGTATTTGTTGACAGCCCAGGGAACCATCAACCGCCTTGACCTAAATGGATTCACAAACAAGGCGGTTGTCATAGCAGATGGTATAACCAACCCCAGAGGAATTGTTCTTGATCCCCTTAATGACATGATGTACTTCACGGATGTGGCCTTTGGGTCGCCCAGTATCCAGAGAGCTCGTATGAGTAATGGGACGCAGCAACAAACCATTGTGTCGACGAATATCCAAAGACCAAACGCAATCACCATGGATTATGATGCAAATGTAAGATATAGGGAAGGGGGATAAAATACAGGGTGAGTCAAAAAGAAAGTGACTGACTTAGAAAAAAAACATTGAAAAAATGTGGCTTACTCCATAACATCAACACAGACATAAAGTACATATTATTGACCAGTAACTGTGAAAAGTTCCCGTAATTTGCATACTCAGTTCCCAAGTTACATCTATTTTAATATGAAGATCACAAAATTCAGCTGTCCGTCAATGATCATTTACGGTTCTGCGAACTGATGCATACCGGTACCCATTAAATACAACGAAACATGGATGTTTTCCCACCTCGATGCATGGAGGAGAACTTGCAAAAGAAAACATACCAAATTCTCAATTAATATTTCAGAAAAAAATAGATGACTTGTTCCTCATATTCTACACACAAATTCTGACAGTAAAAATAATGTTTCAGTCTTGCATTAAATTATTGAAATCTCATTTGTATTTGAATGCTTGTGTGTAATCTGTAATTCTCAGGCAGCTCAATAGCTTCCCAATGGCATTCGTTCATTTAGTAAAACGTGCGTAACTTCTGATAGCATGGATCAATTTCAGAAATTCTTTCTTTGAGATGAGTGGAAAACATGCTCTTTTTAAGATAAATTTAATTCATTGGTGTTTCAAATTTGATTGCTGTTTTAGAAAAAAAAATCATTAATTCGGGTCACTCTCTTTTTGACTCTCCCTGAAGCATAGGTTCAACTAGATTAAGATTTGAATAAAATATTGATTCCATTAAATTGCATTTAATTAAATCAAGAATCTTAAAATGGATTTTGTTGAGAATTGAGTTACATGTAGATTTCATCGACAAATCAAGGTAGATTCGATTAGATTGAAAGTTATGATTGGATAAGATGGACTTTGTTTGGTTTGGTCGGGTTGGTTGGAGTGTTGGGTTGGGTTGAGTTGGGTTGGGTTGGGTTGGGTAATTAGGTTAGTGAATCGGAGGTTTGCGGTAACACCATGTGATTGATATATCTCTTAATGAGTTGTGTGGTTCTGAGAAGAACCGGTTGGTTTAACTGGACGTTTCGAACAGTGTGCTCTGTTTGTCATCAGTCTCGATGACGAGCAGAGCATACTGTTTGAAACGTCGAGTTAACCCAACTGGTTCTTCTCAGAACCACACAACTCACTAACAACAGATATCATTTACATGGTGGTACCGCAAACCTCCAATTCATTGATCATGTCCACCATTCAAACCTGTCTTATTTAAATTGGGTTAGGTTTGGTTGGGGTGGGTTGTATGTTTTGATTTTTTTTTCTTTTTCTTTTTAGCGTCTCTTCTTTGCGGATGCTTGGACGGATCGCATAGAGTCTTGCAATCTAGATGGCACAGGTCGGACTGTTCTCCTGAACCAACACTTCTTGTTTCATCCATTTGATCTTACCCTGTACGACGATCGCATATATTGGACAGATCTTCTCCAACACCACATCATCAGTGCACACAAAGACCACGGGGGAGACCGGATTCGAATTTCAGGGCCATTTGTCTTTCCATATGTGATTCATGCAGTTCACCCATCCAGGCAACTGAGTGAAGGTAGGAGGAACTTTTCAGTAGTCATGTCCAGAGGGCACAAATATGGGTTGACTTAAAGCACCCTTATGATATGGGATATGACCTGAGCTATGGCCTAAATGCCGGTTTATAGTCAGTCGCGCGATGATAAACGTCCAACGCTGATGGTTTGCTGAACACTAAGCCCTTTTCGGGCAGATCATAGTCGTTGAGCGACGGTTGTAAAAATACACGCAAGGGTAAGAAGTGTACCGTGGGGGGGGGGGGGGGGGTAAGGGTGTAATTTCCCCCCAATATTTTGAAAAGACTGCCCTTTTCCATTCAAATGCCCTTTGTCACCAGCGCTTACCCCCCAATATTTGTCAAGAGTGCCCTTTTTTACCTGAACAAGTGCACCTTTTATCCGAAAAAGTGCCCTTTTTCCCCAAAAAAGTGCCCTGTAAAAACGCAATCGTGCCCTTTTTGCTTTCATCTGCCATTACAGGTGCCTTTTTTTTTAATGCGACTCATTAAAAGCACCATATATTGTGCATAATCGTCGGTTTTGAACAGCGCCCCCATCGGCAGAGGGTACCAGCAAAACAGCAAATAAAGGATTTTCTGGATTTTTGCCTCACCTATTGTTTGAATTTGGACGTTGCAGATCCTAACTACTGCGAGGCCAATAATGGCATAGGAGCTTGTGAGATGAACTGTACCGCCTATTCCACTGGATACGTATGCAGTTGCAATGATGGATATGCACTGAATGATGACCAGCATACTTGTAGTGGTAAGGAAATTTGTTTGAACCAACTGGTCTTCAGAATTAAGGGCATTCTGGGGGCTAATATCTCATTTTTATCCTTAGAAGGAATCCCTTTTTACATTATTGTTTTCAAAGAGAACTTTATCTTGAAGATTTAGACAATTTTTTTAGATGTAGGCATTCAACTTTTCCTCTGATAAGCTGATTTCCTCCTTTTTTATTTACCTTTTGTGCCATGAAAAACAGAAAATCACTGCAGAGTCTTGTGAAGCTTGGATTTTCTCTCTGTTTATAACAACTTCTGAATTACATGCATGTCTGTAAACAAAGTTTTGCTGTATCTTTACAATTAAACTATTCTCGTGACGTCACACTATTGTTCAAAGTGTAGATTATTTTTACAAATCTACAGTTTGCTGTACAACGAATGACATATACCTGATTTTGAAAATTGTACTGCGGAAGTGAGGTAAAATGGAAAAAAAATTGAAAAGCGATAATATTGCAAACTAGCACCATACTCTATCACTTGACGAGCTTGAGATTTGAAGGTAATTGTGTCAAGAAAAATCCCAAACTGTCGCTATCAGACATGACTTACTAAGTTGACTTGCTTTTGGCAGTGAGACATGAGCCCAACTATTCTGAAGCCTACCATTCGTTGTACTGTGGTTAATTTGTACGTATGAGTAATTTGATGAATCTACACTTATTCAAAAACGCGGAGAGTGGGTTGATGCATGGGACTCTTTTGAATAAACCTTTTGTTGTTTTGACCAAAAAAAAATAGTTTAAGTCAGAGAATAGACTCGGAACTGGAGATTCGTGCTAAGAATGGACTCGGCGTCGCCTTGTCCATTCTTAGCACAAATCTACATTTCCTCTACCATTCTCATAACACTCGACCATTCTCATATCTTGATTGTAATACCCTTTGGACTTCATTATGAATTCCTGGCACAGGAACTCTTAATAGGCATCATGTGCTCGTCAGAAAAAAATTCAGTAATTCAGTTGACTGCATTGATTAATTATGCATGTGTGTCATCTATACTTCTGTTGCAGATATTAATGAGTGCTCCATTGACAACGGTGGTTGTGATCACACCTGCAACAACATGGTGGGATCGTTTGAATGTCAGTGTATCACAGGATTTAGCCTACAGCCAGATGGAGTCACTTGTGCAGGTATTAAAAAAAAAGTTTATTTGGATAGAGTTAGAGAAGTTTTGCAAATAAACAAATACAATTGTTTTGCATGATAGGTCATCAGTTTGTGTTGTCTTGTGATGTCAAATGCAATTCATTATCTGCTTCGCGTGTACACGGCAAATATATTGCTATGTATCAGTGTGAAATGCATAGTAATTCTTCCATTTTCACCCTTTCCAGTGTTAGTATTAGTTATACATGCATGATTTGAAAAATGACGAGTAGCTGAACAATTTCCATTTGTCTCTGTTTGAGACAAAAATAGGGTTTGCATAATTTTTGAGGACCTTATTTTGAAAAGCTTTTAGAAATGGTTTATCGAAAATGTCTAAATTTTACTGACAGTTGTTGATTTGATTTGAACGATGAGATGGAAAAGTTTTGGATGGGGAAAAGTATAAAACTTAACAATTTATGATATCCAAAATTTAATCTTGGAAAAGCTTGTCTAAAATATTAGCAGAATTGTGTATATTTGTGGGTTTTTTTATTTCAGGGAATAAAACTTGTAAGTTCTTTACGTGTAAAAGTGTAGGCTAAAGAATTTATTTTATTTTATCTAATCATTCTTTTTTTTAAATTTCTTTCTGGTAAAAAAAACCGAGGATGCCTCAAAAGTACCCAGGCACTGTAGCTCGCAAGCCTGAAGAAACCTGTAGAGAGGAGACTATAAGAAGTAATTACAGTTTTAGAGGTGGGAGGAAAACCCATAGGGTATAAACCCACGGAATCATGTAGGAACTAAAAACTCAATCCATGTGATCCGGGCGGGATTCGAACCGGGGCCAAAGAGGTGGGGGGTGAGGAAAGTAACCACCGCACCAACCTGACACTATACAATTTATTACTCTACTATCCTTTTAGACAACAACGAATGCAATGTAAACATGGGTGGATGCGAGTATGCCTGCTTCAACACAGACTCAGGGTTCTACTGCTCATGTCCTACTGGCTACGAGCTACGGACGGACCAAAGAACCTGTCAAGACATCAATGAGTGTCAGTTGGTGTCCCCATGCCCAGCACATGCCACTTGCGTTAATCGGGATGGGTCCTACCTCTGTAGGTGCCCGAGTGGATTTGTCTATGATGCAGTAAGCAAGACCTGTGAAGATGTGAATGAATGTTTGGCGGGACATAGTGGGTGCACACAGCGATGCGACAATCAGCAAGGCTCATTCCGGTACGTTGAGGTTGAGATATTGTCTTTATAAGCACACATATATCCCCTGTGAGTGCCTTGTATGCACTCATGGCTATGAGCTCCATGCATATACATGTACTCCTTTAACGGCCAGAAAAGGAGAGTTGGGGGAGACCACTGGTTCCCGGTCCATCCACTGCATATTTTGAATGATCCAAAGTTATTTGGGTGAGGATAAGTCTGGGAGACCATCGCAAGTTAAACTCAAACGTATGCGCACGCCACGAAGACGCCGTGCCTAATAGCTTTGGCACATTTGGCACATTCAGGAAGTTGTGTGTACTTTGCACGAACCAGTACAGAACAGTACGCACACGCGGTATGTCCACTGGACACTCAAAAGTGGTAAAAACATGCCCTCTTTTGTTGGCGCACAGAGTCCATTGTTTGATATTATTACCCAGCGCTATGTCAGTCATTATTATATGCCATGTGCAATGTGATTGACAGTAATGATCATGTAAATGAAATACACGGTGTCCCCAAAAAAGTTAGGCAAAGACATATCCTTTAATTTCGCAAAAACTACTTAACATGAGTATTTCATCTTGATGGATTATATTAATTATATTCTTGTGTGTATTCTGTAAAAATGCCATGGAAATTCGTTCATGCAAACCAGAGATCTAACAGATTATAAAAGGCTATGGGTTTTTCACCAAGCGTGTATTCTCAATCAAATTTAATCAAACTCAATCAAATTTAATTCAACGCATCATTTTTAAGCTCTGATAGGAGCATCTACATGTCACTTCATGGTTGGTCGGTCAGTTGGTCGGTCGGTTGGTAGGTCTGTCCCCCCAAAATTGACCAAAACCGGGCCTCCTAAGTTTCCCATAAAATATAACTACTAATTCACCAAAAATTTACCAATTGCAATGCACTCTTGGCGAAAGTTTTCGGAACCCTTTGTCTTGATCGATGCGCATGTGCATCTATTTTGCATATGAAGTGAGACATTCCGGAACTAGGCCAGAGTTTATTGTGCACTCGCACTTGTTTCTGTTCAATCCTAAGCAAAAGTAAAAAATCCAAGATCGTACATTGCAATTAAAGGGAAATCTAAGAAACTCAAAAAGTTAAAAGTGAAAAAAGCATTGTACAGGAAAACAATCATAAAACATAACACTGTACGTATAAATTAAGAGTTACCAATTGATAAATACTCAATGCAGACTAAACTTGAATTTGAATGCCAGAAATAAAATACAGAAAAGCATAGATTTAACTACAAGGAAAAAAAAGAACAAGTACAAATTAAGACAGGGTTGAATAGAGGCATGTTTCCAAATCAGAACTTGTATGGAAAGCCTAAAGTTACACTGAAGACAAGAACAAGACATAGATAGGACCGAAAGTATAAATAACAGAAAATGGAGCTTAGTACGCTTTCTGCATATGCTTGTACAAAGTATCCACTGGCACCTTTTCACAACCCTTTCATGCAGCTTCAGATATAATCTTATTGAAGTTGAAATTCAGATGTACAGCTACTGGAAGGGTTGCTTTTTTATTCCATGATGCTATAGGTCATAAGTTTTTTTCACATTCCATAGAATCGTTAAGCTTTCAATCCAAAATCCTGCGCATGTAATTGCATGATAAATGTGTAGGCCTGCTATTGGTGACACGGAAAGCCGTTATTGAAAAGAAATAACGGGTGTAGTCTAGACTTGAATACAAGTTTGGCACCTACCAAATACAAAACTCTGCCGCATTGTGGGAATAAGGAAGTAAACGTAATAGCTTGGAGTCATTGATGTGGACATTATTGATGTGAACCAGTCGATAACATTCTTGCATGTGAATAACCAGCAAGAACAACGTACATTTAATTCTTCCACTTACATTATTTTTTTGTAAATAAAGACCCAACCTAACTTGGGTTACTTAATACAAAAAAAAAAAAGCTCAGTGCATTTCAGATTCTATAGAATGGAATGTCTCTTGTTTAAGTCTAAGGACTTGATTAAAGGGAAAATACAACATTTGCAAACATCAAAAAATAAAACTACCAAATCATTTTGAAATACCTTGCTGGACTGTTAGTGAATGACAGTGTAAAGCATCCTGTAAAATCATGGCACCTGGTATACTGTCATTTTCAAGAAAAGTGGTATTTTTGTATCAATTTCCAACGCTGGTCGGCTGACCAGCATTGGAAATTGATGGAAAAAACTGGCTTTTTTTCAAATACTGGCCCCAATTGACCATCGGACTTGTTTGCAATCGATTACACACCTATGAACGGGTACAAGCCAGCTAGACTGGTTCCCTGACCTTACAATTCCCCAATGTATGTAAACTGCTCTGTTTCTTCTTATATGGAGTCAGGGAACCAGACTACAGGAAAATGATTGTTTTTCTTGGTTTTTATAGCATTTTCGAACCCAAAACCTCAAAAAAGTCAGTGTAACTATATTTGCTATATATTTCCAACCCCCCAATTCCATCCATTTCTGAAAATTACAGCAAAAGCAAATGATGTATATTCCCCTTAAACAGCGAAACATTCAAATGGGAAAAGGTCATGAAGTTTATATACAAAAGGCACATAGGAACATAGGTGAAAACTTGAAAATGGACCTACAGATTTGATAAAGGGAATAAATATGTGCTTGGCCGGTTTTAAACACTCAACCGGTTGGAGTCTGGATGCTGACAATTACCCTAGCCGAAAATTATCAGCATCCTGCCTCCAACCGGTCTTAAATAGATTGTTTAATACTGGCCAAGCACATATTTATTTCCATTCATTAATGCTTTCGGTCCAAAAAATCAAAACTTTTCGGTCCAAAAGTCGAAACAAGTCAGAATTTTTTTAATTCCATGATTTTATTCAACAACCTTACTTTGTGTTTTTTTAAACGTCCCTGTAGCTATATTATGGTAGAGTCCAAGTCGTAAACAACTCCTTTTATGGAGATTGGCTCGCATGTAATGCGCAATGTCGTGCAGAACGCAGCTGTGCTTGTCTCATGTGAATTTAGGACTATGAAATACTGACTCACTGGTTGTATTTGTATGCCTACGTGTGCATGATGAACATTCAACCAATAAAATGGTAACTAAAAGGCACCGGATTTCAAAGGAGTCAAAATTTCCTGTGACACTGGAAAAGTGTTTAACACCAGCCATCCAGTCTTTATCAACTGTTTAAAACCAGCCAGGCTCTCATCCAATAGGAATGGGTAAACTGTCTGAGGTATTTACGAATGAGAAATAACTACATGTATCTCAAAGTACAGTTAGGGGTGTACAAAATACCCTGTGAAATTATTCAACCTGAAGTAGTAACTTTTCAGAAGAAAACATTAATTGAAGTCAGTTTTAAAAAGAGCACACTTTTTTTTTCATGTGCTTTAGTACGAGACTTGAAAAAGTGGCTTTTTCTGTTTTCTCAACGTACAGTAGCCACTGAGTTAAACCTTCCACATGTTAGTTGCTATGCACCCTACTTATGATTTCGAGCAACTTTGTCTTCAAAAGAAAAGTTACTTCAGTTTTTTCCAAGCCGTTTTTTTTTCATTGCATGTCATGCATGTAATAAACTTTTTATTCCAAAATTGTGGACATTTTGTGTTTGAAGTTTCTGATGTGTGCTGAATGCAGTTTCAAAGGCGCCAATCACTGGACCATGAATCCTAATGATTTACACAGCATTCAGAAACTCTAGTCAGTCATGTTTGACAGTAGCAAACAACTTCATTAAAAAGTCTGAATTTGAACATGCTTCCACAAGATTAGCCAAGCAAAAAAACAAAGGCAAGAAGCATTCAGATATGCTGGCTGGTGTGCAGACAATAGTTCAATGCCTAGTATGAGTGAGAAAAAAATCTGGAGGCCTGGTACTGCAAGGCACAGTAGTGCACAAAAGCTGTTTACTCAGCTGCAGAGTTTTACAATAATGAAGCCCATAATGGAGATCAAACTATTCAGGATTGGTACAGAATGGACAGTCAAAAGAATTTTGTTAACAGAATTGTAAAAATGCAAAATCATGCTGCCACAATTCTCAATACTCTCAAGCTACCGGTAACTTGACAGAACTCTTCTTATTTTAAATACAATGCATTTTGGATTTGTCAAGTCCCTAATTTATTTTAGATCCGAATGCAGCTTAGACATGCCCCCAGTGTTGTATTCGCGTACTTTTTTTCCGATTACGAGTACTGTCGAGTACTTAGGTTACCAAGTACGAGTACAAGTACAGGTCTTCGAGTACGAGTACTTGTACTTCCAAGTACGAGTACGAGTACTTGTATGCCGAGTACGAGTACAAGTACGAGTGCTTCTATTTCCGAATATGGCCATACGGCAAATGGTTCATATGCGTAATTGGCCCAGGCCCAGTCAGACCGATATACAGACCCACCAAAGTGCTCGTAGTACTCGAGTACGAGTACCGAGTACGAGTACTACAACACTGCATGTCCTGAACTGTTTTATTTTTAAATTTTATTGTTCTTGAGCAAAACATATCACATAGATGTGTTTACAGCAGTAATGGATGAGGATACAAGGGCTGTTTCATGTTTGTGTTTATAAGTTGATAAAAATGACTGTTAAAAAGACACACTCAAACATGAAATGTATGTGCACTCAGAAGAACACATAATCTTGTTTCATAGTTGTGGGACCACACACCTGTTGAGCGATAGTTATTATGGGGCCCAAAGACGCTATGGGGACAGCAGAAAGTTCTCATAACTCGGTCCTAATTTGCCAATTAACAATAGAAAACTTCCCCATGACTTGGTGCCGGCTTGGGCCTAATTTTTTGCCCAAAAAAGTCTGCCTGCTTACCTTACATACATTAATGTAGTTTTGAGATACCACTGTATTTTTACCAATTCATTCCTGGTCTGCTTTGCACTGTGTTCCTACTCATTCGATTTCATGAAGTCAGTCCCAGGTACATGTACATACATTTATGTCATTTAATCAATGAAGACAAATATAAATTACAATTTTTGTTCCCACTAATTTTTCTTCATAATAAGTAATTTATGGACAATTTATATAATTTATATCTCGCATCTTGTCTAATAACTTGTCAACACTGATGCACATGTAATTGTCAACACTGATGTGTATGTAGACAAATTAATTTTCGACAAGATTCATCCATTTTTTCTGGGATTTCATCAAAATCATGGTTAAGCAAGAATAGTCACAAGCATGTGAGACATATTATCCAAACCAAATTAAAACCCTGAAAAGAAATTAGAAATGGTACTGTCTGACTCATGCAAACTGTCTGGATTTGCAGGAAATGCATGAGTTGATCTTTTGATGCTGTGCCAGACTATAGCTCAGATTAACCATACTTGTTTGCTCTTTTTTAAACTATTGTGCAGTGTATTGAAATGTTACTAGGAATGTTAACAAAACATGGAGTGCCTTTTCGCATCTGGGTTTTAAAAAAAAAAATCCCTTTTTGCTTTCAACGTACCACCGGTTTGCCAATGAAGGGTCCATTGTACCAAAACCCCTTGAGCCCACTGGTCCCCCCCCCCTATTGTGTACTGTGCACTGTTGTAGGAATGAAATCATGGCAAACAAGTTCAGAAAATGTCGAAAACATTTTTTTATGTTAAAGTTCATGGACAGTCTAAGGCTACGTCAGCAGCGCCGTCGCCAGCCCCGAGCTAAGGGGCCAATTGCTCGCCAAGGCCCCCCCCCCCCTTTTGGCAACGGGCCGTACGTTAGGCTGGAGTTGAAATATTGATAGTCCTGATATCTTCTGTTCTGATATCTAAACAAAAAAAAATGTTGCCTTATCTAAAAATGTCAATCAAGTTCAAGGAAAAAGCTATTTTGCTGACATTTTAAGTTATTCAGGATGTTGCCAATATTCTTCTTACGTTATGTTTTTCCCTCCTTAAAAGCCTCAAAAGTCCTGTAGATCATTACGTACAGATAAAAATTGTTTACTTGAGTTCCAGAATTCTAGAAGTTGTTTCATGAGAATATTTATTTGCCCCCAAACAAAAATGGCACAAAATGGCTGATATATAGTGGTGAGTCTTGTCTTTTCATAGATGTTTTATCGGCTCATAGAGTTCTTTTTGATTGATAATGATTTCTTGTCAATTTATGTTTTGTTAAATCAGTGTTATAGTCAAGTCAATCTGAATTCCATCACAAAGCCATTTACAAAGTAAATCACAAGTCAATTCGCATGTCCAGTCACAAGTAACTGGGACATAATAATAACAAAGGCCTTTGTCAAAGTTCATTTAATAGACTTGTGATTGATCTGTGTTGAACTTGTGTGGACCTCTAATAAACCCAACTACAGCACTTTTGTCTACAACAGCTTTCTTTCTATTTAATCTTTGTGGAACTCATAGCCTATGGCTTATTTGCCTTCATCCTTTGATCTGCTGGCCTTCAGTAGAAATGTTATTTCTCTCCTTTTGATCTGTGACTAGTGGTGGGATTTAAATATGGATTTTTTAAAATTCGGTTTGAATTCCTATTTTTATTTCCATGCCCCCTAATTGCCCCCCTTTTGCCCCCCCCCCCTCCCAATTTTAGAGTCTAGGATCGCCACTGGTTGCAATAGACATTTTTTTCTTACTTCATTCTCCCACTAGAATTATAAAGTCTCTAATTTTTTTGGTGGCCGCCATGATTGAAAAACCTTCCAAACAAATTCTAAATAAAAGCAACTTATTGTATTTGTTTAGCTACAAGTTAAAACATAATTGTTCTACTGTATGTAGTAGTTACCAAAGAGTAGGAACTAAAAGTAAAACATTTGTTTTGTTTGTTTTATTAAAATTGCTGTTTTGTCTTCTTTTTGTTATTCAAATTTTAGTTGCAGTTGCCATACTGGATTTGTTCTCAGTGATGATGATGTTTCATGTTCAGACATTAATGAATGCGAGGAAGGTCTAAACAATTGCCAACAAATTTGCGTCAATATCAATGGTAAGGCATGTAATACAAACAATCAATTTACTCATTGCTTTAATATGCATTGAAACAAGCACATCCTCCCACATGAAACTGCTTTGATATATCTACTTTACTTCTCATTTGTGACTTTTATGCATTTCATGTGTTCATTGTATGTTTTAATAAGGGAATAATAGTGTGCTGGAACAGTTTGAAATGTGTGGTTTTCAACTGACTTGGTTCCTGGTCATTAATGGCCCAAGCTGAAGGCGAGAACAAGTCAAGAATTGGCAAATTTCCAATGATTTTGTTCAACCAGTTTACTTCATGTTATGCTTTGACTCCAGGTGATTGATAAGCAAACTGTGCCCACAACTTGCCTGCTTTGTCTGTTCATGGTCTGTTGACTGAGTTTGAATAGTCACAGTGTTTGCTTGACATATGATCTGACTGCTAACTGATAAGAAGTGGATGGAAATTTTGACTGTCTGTGACTTTTTAAATAGCAGGAGGGTTAAAGTACGTTCCTTATACGTGGGATACACGTCAGATGTACAAACACTCACCCTTGCTGAGCGATAGTTATTATGGGGACAAGACACTATGGGGACAGCAAAAAGGCCCATAACTCAGTCCTAATTACCATAACAATAGAAATGTTCCTATCATAACATGGTGTCGGCGAAGGTAGGAGTGAACAAAATGCAAAATGGGGAATTTATTAAGTGTTTGAATATAGACATATTACTGAAATAAGAGCTTGTTTACCAGAATTCCTTTACCTAACCCAACCCAACCCAGCCCTATGCAACCCAGCTCAACCCAATAAAATCAAAATCAAGCTAAGCCAGACAAAGCCAACCCAACCCAACCCCTTCCAATCCAACCCAACCTAACCCAAACCAACCCCACCCCATCCAATCCAACCCAATCCAACCCAACTCAGCCAAGCCCAACCCAACCCAGCCAACCCAAGGTAACCAAGCCCAACTAAATCCAACCCAACCAAACCTAGCCAAGCCAAGCCAGACAATGCTAACCCAACCCCACCCTTTGCAATCCAACCCAACCTAACCCAACCCAACCCCATCCAATTCAATCCAACCCAACTCAACCCAACCCTACCTAACCCAACTGAGCCAATCCAAAACCAACTAAACTTAACCCAACCCACCCTAACCCAACAAATCCAACCCAGCCAAAATGATCCATTATTATTATTGTTCGAGATAAAAAAGATCCCTTCTATCAGGTAAAAAGACAAATGTAGTTTGACATGACTTTCCTTTTGAATTTGAGGATCAGGAGTCAGAAGATGACTGAGTTTTCATTGTCTGTACTAGACTGCTATGAATCTATGCGGTCATTGTTTTTTACCTTCATTAAAAATCTGAGATGAAATAATTTGATTTCATTCTTAGGGTCCTACGTTTGCCTGTGCAATGACGGCTTCCGTTTAGTAGGTGACGGTCATTCCTGCACAGCTGTCGATTGCGGTCAACCTGCTGGCATAGATGGCTTTAATATTTCATGCCCTGATACAACCTATGGCAGTACATGCAGTCTGTCCTGTGTTCAAGGTAAGAATGGGGCAGTATCACAGGCTTTGGACTTTGAACTAGGGTTCATTTCCCCTTGATGCAGATGACGTAAAACATGTCTTGCAATGGTAGAACAATTTAGCTTGTTCGTCATTTGTCTTTCGAGGTTAGGGGTAATTTTAGGCTGGCACTGCCGGCTTTTTAGGCACGGACCAAGAACGAAATAGGGCTATCAATTCAAAGTGACATGAACACTCCGAAAGGCTTAAAAAACAACAACAAAGATTTGCCCTTACACAAAAATGTGAAAGGTCGAGAAGGAATGGGCAATCAACTTTTGATGGCCCTTTTCAATGAAAAATTATGTATTACATTTTAATTCAATGAATTTCAATTGTAATTTCCTACTTGTGAAAAGGCAGAGGAGAAATTAACACTTGATTTTTAGGTGGGAGTGTGGCCTAGTGGTTAGGGTTTGTGACTCATGATCAGAGGGTCAGAGTTCCAATCCAGCTGCTAGCCATATGTTATGTCATTGGGCAAGCCACTTCACCCTCACTTGCCTCTCTCCACCCAGGAGTATGTGTACCGGCATTAGCTGGGGAGTAACCTGCGATGGACTAGATTGCTGTTAGTGCGCAGGCATATGTTACGAATAATCTTAGTATAATAGATCAAATATTGTTACACTGATATGTATGAAGTTTTGTTTTCGAAAATGCTGGAAAAACCAAGAAAAACAAAAATGTTCAAGTAGTCTGCTTCCCTGACTCCACTAAAGATGAAATGGATCAAAAATGCCGGAAATTGTAAGGTAAGGGAACAAGTCTAGGTGGCCTGCACCCGTTCATGAACATGGAACCAACATCTAACAAAATTTGGACCAAAAAAAATTGGAAAATTTGGAGCAATAGTTGAAAAATAGGTAGGTTTTTCCAACAGTGGTCGGCCGACCACCATTGGAAATGTTTACAAAAGTACCGTTTTTCTTCAAAATGACTTCACACCAGGTACCATAATTTTACAGAATGCTTTAGACTGTCATTTACCAACATCCTAGTAAGGTATTTCGTTACGACTTGATAGTTTTATTTTTCGATGTTTGCAAATGTTGTAAGTGTCAATCTGTCTGAAATATGATCTCATGCTTAGTTTGATATTTTCATCCCAGGAAATCCACTTGGCACCCCCACTATCACATGTCAAATGAACGGCTTATGGTCCATCAGCTTAGCAGAATGTATCTCTACTGATGACACGGAAGGTGTGAATGACCCTCCACATGCCATCGTTCCATCATCATTCCGTATTCCCGAGGACACAGTGAGTGGGACTACTCTAGGCATGCTACACACAGTGGATTCTGATAACCATGAGTCCTATACCTACACACTGACATCGGACCCATCGGCAAAGTTCTATATTGATTCATCAGGAGATACATTGAAAACTCATGGTATGAGACTATTGGATGTTTGCAACAATACTTATTTGAAATTGTAATTTCAAGTAATTTATGGACATTAAGCATGAGTAGTAGACAGCACTGAATGACCACTTTAAATACAACAGCTCCATGTGCGTACAAGACCACTGGTTAGTACTTCCTGTACAACAACATACCAACAAACAATCACCTAAAAGTGCATGAGCCTGTAGCTTGATGTTGGCCTCAGGATTACAGCAGCCGAGAATCTGCCTTAGTCTCTCTGTCACTGTTTTTGCACATTAATGAGTTTTTTTGCACACTGAGTCCATACACTTGTAACATTCCGTTTGCCTACACCTTATGTAGCTGTGGTGCCTAAACATATATAGCTCTTGATGCCTTGTCTAGATGAAAGCAAAAAAGACGTAACAGAATGGCAAATTCCGACGGTTACACCTCTATGTTCCGACACCCCTATGTTCCGACTGCACATATTCCTATTCCTAACCCAACCCTAACCCTAACCCTAACCCTAACCCTAACCGGGAGTAACACAATCTAGGTTGTCGGAACATAGGGGTGTCGGAACATAGAGCAGTCACCAATTCCGACTGTATTCTTTGTTTTGCATTTTTAGCTTCAGTGTTTTGTAATTTGTTCTTTAAGCCGCATTTCTTCATCTCTTTGATGTTTTATGTTCTTATAGGTGGATTTAACTATGAGGCAGATCCAGCTTACACTATCCAGGTAGTCACTGTTGACACCGGTGACCCACCACTGTCGGGAACCTTTGACATTACAATTTCCATCCTGGATGTGAATGAACCACCATCGCAGCCCTCGCTTACATCTAATACAGTCAGTGAACATGCTGCCATTGGGGACAATGTAGGCATGGTCGTGGCATCGGACCCAGACGAAGGTCAAAATGTGACCTTTTCACTGGTGTCCAATGGCCAAGGCAAATTTGATCTGCAGGAGGATCAACTTCAAGTTGCTGGTACCTTGAACTTTGAGGATACGGAGTCCTACTCCGTTGTGGTTCAAGTGCAAGACAACGGCAGCCCCAGTTTGTCAAATGTTATGATGTTTACCATCATGGTTCAAGATGAAAATGACGCTCCAACAGCCATTCATTTATCATCGACAACGATCGCAGAGGCTAGTCCTAACAGCACCACAGCTACTGGGACTGTCATTGGTACACTGACGACAGATGATGAAGACGCTAGTGACAGCCACACATACAACCTTATCACACGTCCACTCAGCAGCTGTTTTTCAGTTTCAGATTCTGATCTGGTGGTTGCTGAAGCCTCCTGTTTTGATCACGAGACAAACCCTACTATCTCTCTAGCCATCAGTTCTAGGGATACAGGTGGTTTGACTGTCCAGCAGGTTGTTACCATCAGTGTGACAGACGCCAATGATCCTCCAGAAAGGATTACTCTGTCTTCGGCGACAATCCAGGAGCATGTTGCTGTCAATACCGTCGTTGGAACACTGACCGTAGAGGACCCAGACGAAGGTGACACACATCAGCTCAGTGTGACTACAGGCAGCTCATTGTTTACTGTGCAAGGTAATGATATCACTACCAATGGCTTACACAACCACCAAAAACGTTAAGCCAGACCATGCACTTGACAATTATATGGTTACAGTTCTGACAATTTACCTTTGTAAGAAGAGCACACCCAGTCTTGTTCTGTAGTTGTGGGGCCATACACTCGTCAATACAAGGTATTTGTAGGGACCGAAAATGCTGTGGGGACAGCAGAAAGTCCCCATAACTCGGTCCTAATAAACAATTTTAAAGAAACATGGAAACCTAGATGTACATGCCACTGCACATCCATGTTTATTTAGTGCTTGTAGTTATCATTTTATGTCATTTCTTTCTACCAAGGATTCCTCAAAAGTGCCCTAGGCACTGTAGCTCACAAGCCTGAAAGAACCTGTAGAGAGCAGACACTGAGAAGAAATTACAGTTTTAGAGGTGGGAGGAAAACCCCAGAAGAATATTATGGGGAAAACCACCGAATCAGGTAGGACTGAAAACCCAATCCACATGCAGTCCGGGCAGGAATCGAACCCGGGCTTTTGTTGTGGATAGCGAGGAAAGTTACCATTGTGCCAATCTATCTCCCTTTATTAGCAGTGGCATAGCCTAGAGGGGCAGGGGGGGGGGGGGTTATGTGCATGTAAAAAATAAAATCAAGGGGTAAAAGATCCACAGATCACACCAGCTTCTAATCCTTAAGATTTTGTGATGCCTTCCAAGTGTCTATTTGCATATGCAAATGAATGATGGGAGACTTCACTAATTACTCTTCCAGCTGTCAGAAAAGGTTGTTACAAGCTCACTGGTCCTAAAACCTATAAACGGGCTGCACTGGAAGGGCATTAAGTAGTTTCATACCAAGTATAAATTTGTACATGTAGATGATCCAGGATAGAATGCATGTTATGTTCTAATAGGTAAGGCATTGATAGTGATTGCTGATCTGAGCTTCACTGACTACCCTACTGGCATCGATGTCACCATACAAGCCGTTGATACTGGGAATTATGCTTACTTGGAGACGTTCACCATCATCGTTCAAAATGTGAATGAACCACCAAATGCTTTTATGTGGCAAGTGACTGCATTATGCGATCGAGGTAAATTTTTCAGTTAAACAATTTATTTTCTAACATTTTTATGATGGAAGAGAAAAAATGTATAGAAACATTTTGGCTTGAACAAAAAAGAAAGCGCATGCCTTTACCCAACCTCTTTTCCAAGGATGCGCAATCTCTTTAAATGTGTAAGAAGAGTAGACCCCTATCCCCATATTGTGGGGTAAGGGTTTTTTTAATTTAAATCTCCCACTAAAGGTGAGTCAAAAAGATTAAACTCAAATGTCAGGACTATTGTCTTAGTGAGGTTCTGCATGTAGCACTTTCAAAATCTGGGATATGAAAGGCCAATTCATAAGCTTTCTTTTAGCTCAAGAATAATTCAAATCACTCATGTACTTTTCAAGTTACTGAATTTTAAACACAACCTCCTTTTAAAGTTGTGTCCACAGATCACGGATAAGTGTTCTTTCAGCAAATAGAAAATGGGGATGTGTGTGAATTGTTTTCCTTTTGCTGAAAGAATGCACACCTTTTTTGTGATCTGTGGACAGAACTTCCAGACACCATGTTGTACGACCATCGCATAGTATTAAACATAATGTTCATACATGTACATGACGTGACGTGCAGGAGATAATGCGCGAGTGCATATAGGGCGTGCACCCTTCAAAATATGCGCGCATGCTCTGAATAGCCAGTCAGCTTTGTTTATTCCTCACGGCCAGGATTAGTAAAGGAACGCGCATGCGGCCATGGAGTCGAGGCTGGCTTTATCCCATTGGTTCATGTACCGCCCTAAACCATCCTGCCTGTTACTCCTTGTTCTGCTCCAAATGGCTTAAGTATTCCATGGTATTTCATGAAAGAAACACGATCTGACAGTGAAGTACACGTGCTTATAAGTTACAGTGTCACACCATTGGCTGAAAGTAACCTTATTTTGTGTAGTAAAACCCTGTGGTAATATAGCATGGTGTATACTGTTTCACCTGATGCAGGTAAACGTTTTGAATGAATGGCATGAATGAATTTTTTTTTAGGATTGATTATGCCCATTGCTGATGTTTCATTACAGATGATGAATCTATCTTCGGCCTTCCCATCCATGCTTGTGTGAACGAGAACACTGCAGCAAACACTATCATTGCCACTGCAATGGTTACTGATCCAGATCAAGACACTCTGACCCTTGAGATCATTGACAGCGGTGACATCTTAACTCTTGGTGAGTGAGAGGTAGATTGTATTCTAACTCATACCCTGCAGACACAGTACATTGATTGGTAGTCTATGGACAAATCTGACAGCAGCCGTTTTCTGTGGTGGGGCAAGGCTTGTGCTAGTCGCGCTCGGGGAGTACGCACGTACTCCGGGCTCTTTTAACTAATAGGAATACCAAAATGCGTGCACGTCTCATCTTTAAAATAAAAGAAACCTGCAGCATGCATGTGAGCGTGACGCCACCACAGTAAAAGCTTCTTATTCGAATCGCTGGATTCCACTATAGCCAGTTACTTAATTTGTCAAATGTAGTTGTTAATGAGCCATGTCTGTTATGTCTGCCATGGCCTTGTGGTCTGGAGCATTGAATTCATGGTCGGCGGGTAATTCTGCAGGTTGTGGGTTCGAGTCCAGCCTGAGTTTATGGTGCGTGTGCCCTTGGTAAATTGGGTACCTGTGAGGGCAAAGATGAATATTGTTGTTGATTTTAGCTGCTTTGAGCCAAAATGGCAGCATTGAGCTGTGCACTCCCCAGGGAACTGACATTGTCTTTGAATTGGCGAAGCTGCCTCACTCGCTATAATTATCATTGGCAAGATGATAAAGGGTGGCCACCCAAACTGTCGACCGCCTTCATTTGTCTTGTAGTTTATACCCAAAGAATCAAGTAAAATTTCCAAATATATGAAGCAACAATTTCATCTTGTTCATTTTGTTTTTATTCAGATCAGAATGGCATCCTGAAAGTTGGCACCCGAGGCCTAAACTTTGAGTCTCCCCTGATTGGTCAAGTTCACTCCGTTACCGTAGTAGCAGAAGATCCCGAGGGATTAACATCAACGTTCCAGTTCAATGTCAAGGTCCCATATCTTTTTTAACTTGCAGTGTTGTCCTCAATTCCATCACAAGTCAACTGACAAATTTGCGTTGCAAGTAAAAGCGGGGTTCGACTTTTGCGGTTATAGCTGCTAGCCAATATGCTAGTCAAAACAACGGCGGGCTAGTCAAACTATTCCTCAAGTAGCCCAGCTGGCGAGTCAAACAATTATTGCGATACGGCAAAGATAAAAGGACAGGAAGAAATAAATCATTAAATTCAGAAAGCAAATCTGTATCAATTTGTGTCTAATTTTATTGACTGTTTTGGGTTAAATTATTAGATCTGTTTATTAAAAACACTGACAAGATTGTCTCAGGATACAAATTTCACATGTATGCACATTGCTGTTTATGTGAGACAATCTATAAAAAAAAAACAGGCGGGGCTAGTGATAATGCCCACAGGCTAGTTAAGAGTGTGTTTCAGTAGCCCAGCTGGCTAGTGAAAAAAAAAAATTAAGGTCGAACCCCTGAACAGTGGACGAACAATTACTATTGTATAGCTTGTGACTTTAATAGGACAATTGGGAGTGGATGACTTATGATGGACTCCACTACAACACTAGTGACACGAAGTTGGGCTGTTCATTTTTGAATAATTTAGTATTCAATTATTCCAGCCTGAGCTTGATCAGTTATTTAAGTACTCAATTGTGAAATACACTGATCAAGTTTAACTTGCACAAAGGCCTTAACTGGCCAGTGGTCACTGATCGGGATTGCGTTTACCTGCATTTGTCAAAAATTGACAAAGAGCTTTTAAAATAATATACAGAAAAGGTGGCCGAATGGCTGATGCTTGATCATAATGGTTGGTGTTTGAAATTTGAGTTAATATTCCTCATAGAAGCTCTCAAATCATGCCCGAAAGTGGCTTTCAACAAAAGTGTGGCATTTGTCAAACAAAAACCACAAACCCTCTACATTGGTCATCATCTTTTCAAGACCGCTTACATATTTTGAATATTTAAATCAGTATTCCATTAATTATCACATCTTGGAGTATTCAGGATATTTATCACAGCCCTATATGCAGTCCTACTATCTCACAGATTCTAATTTATGTACAACCCTATTGCTGGACTAGCATGGTGATATTATTTTGATATATCAAGTTATCAACCACATAGATTTGTGACATCTGTAATTTTGTCGTGAGGAACTTTTGTATCTATATTCACATTTTCAAGAAAATGACAAAAAGAGCATTTAATCTGTGTGAATTGATGTGTTTATGATCCAAGCCAAGTGCTTCTAACATACATATACGTACTGAGAGATTGGAGGCAGGAAGCTACGGTATAAAAATAAAACTTAACACTGTTGGACATTTGTCAGAGAGCATGCAAGAAATATCCACAAATGTTGCTAAACCAATAAAGAAAATGCATATTCCCAAGCCCATGTGCTAGTTTGTGGTACATATAGATTTGAGCGTGGGATGTTATTTTTTTAAATATAGCTCACATGGTTATGAATATTATATTATTATGCAGATTATTGACGTGAATGATCCACCAATCAGATTGGAGATCTCAACGACCTACGTTGGGGCTGGCTCTGCCATAGGACAGACTGTAGCACAGCTGCAATGTATTGATGAAGACGCCACAGACACGTTTACATATAGATTGGTCAATAACGCAGATGGAAAGTTTATGATCAATGGAAACAATTTAGAGGTATGTACGATAGATCAATTGCTCCTTTTTCACAGGTCCCAGAGGGCCAGCCAATCTATGAATCCGGTGAAATAAATTAAAAGCCATTTTTTGAAGTGGTGCCACAATCGTGCGCACACCGCACGCATTCTTAAAGATGAGGCGTGCGTGCATTTCGGTTACACTATTGCTTGCATTTTCCATTGTCGCAAAATTCTCTGATGCAGTGGTGCTTACGATCTTTTGTTTCCAAATATTACTTGTATTTCCCGGTTCCCTTCTCTCTGATAAGGTCAGCCAAGATCTAAGCTCCATGGCTGGTAACCAGTTTGCCATTGAAGTCCAGTGTTCAGATGGGACTGCAGAACTTGCGAGACCGACAACGTTTGCCATCAATGTGTACAATGACGGCACCAGTGGAGAGAACGGTGCATCAATCACCATTTCCTTGAGTTCATCCTATATCACCGAAGAACAACCGGCCGACACGCTCGTTGGTTAGTTCCTAACTTTCATTAAAACTATGTGCTTGGTCGGTTTTAAACAAGTACGTTTAAGACTGGCCCAGGGGACTGGACGCTGGCGAGGGACATTAACGGCGACCTGCCCCTGAGCTGGTCAACATATAGGAGGAAATTGCCACTTTTTTGATATCCTTGACGGCACTTAATTCAAAAATCGCGCAACACATCACGTATTTGTTCACATGCAGGTGTGCGACATTGCCGCGCAACACAGTCATTGTGACAAATCATGCATAACCTTGTAAGCTGTTGAATAGGATGGTGACTATTTATGCTTTACTTTCAAGCTTCACTTTCATTTTTTTTTAAATGTGGCTTAAAATGTTAGGGTATTATTAATCACAAATTTTTAATTATTCATCAGAGCAAAATGCTTTCAATATGTAAATGGCTTTATTTTGTTACTTTTATTAGTGTTCGCAAGTTCCAAAAATGAAGATTTTAATGTAATGTGGGCGACTCGTTAATAAAGCCTATAGTGTCTCTGCATGAGCATCAGGTGTCATTGGCAATGCATTGGAATGTCTCCTCAACTCTCCCTTTGTAACTGTTGAGGGAATACTTGTGCACCAAGTCCACATCATGCATAGGCGTCGTAGACCGCTTTGAATGGGGGGTACTATCATGAAATTTGTAGTCGGACCGTCACGCAAAATTAATGAAATTTATAATTTCCGTCCAAAATGATCCCTTTAACTCCATTTCTAATTTCCTCTTTAAATATATGAATGGTTAATTAAGTTGATTACTTTGAATGGATTTAATTTTTCAGTGGGATAAGTTCAACTTCGAAATCGTCAAAATTTGGCCCTATCATATCGAATAGTTTTGGACATATTCTCATTGTAAAACTGCGTTTACACGCTCAGTACATGTGAGCATATCTTGTTCAGGTCCGTCCCCTAATCCCAGACTGGGGAGGGGGCCTTTAAATCCTAAAATTGAACTTTTAATATATGTACCGGTGCAATCTTTTGCCATTGGTTACAGAACTGGATGTTAGCTTCGCTGGGTTTTGAGCGGCAGTGTTTATTTTTTACTTTCTCCATTTCTACTTCTTCCTTCTTCGTTTCCCCTTCCTTCTCCATTCTTCATTTTCTATTTTGCCGACTGCACCATGATTTTTCCGACAAAACTGACACCCCCTCCCCAGCGACACCCGTGACATCATGGTAAAAGCTTGTGACATCATAGAAAAGTCAAAAAGGTCTAAAACAGTTATAACTTGACAGTTTGTGGTACTACTGGCCTAGCATTAAGGTGCTGATGAAAGTTTGTCCATCATTATAACACAATTCAGGTACGTTGAGTGCAGTCATCACACCACCCAGTGACTTTAATTTTACCATTGTGGGTGGCGCTTCCCAGCTGTTCGTTATCCAGCAAGGATCAGCTGGTAACCCGCCGGAGCTTAGAACCACCCAACCATTGGACTATGAAGAGACGTCTACGCATTACATCATCGTCCAAGCTGAGGCCGGTGAAAATACTGCTGTCAAGACATTTGAAATAACGGTAAAACTAGAAGTCAAAGTCTCACAACTAAATTCAATTCCGGCGTTTCACAATGCAGTGTGCCACCAAGAGTTCGCCACGGAGAGTTCATTTTCCCAGTGATGGGTATATTATAAACTCATGTTTGATATTTAAAGGTAAAGTAGATCATTAACAGCTATCCAAAAAATAACAGGCACACGTATTGTTGAAAGCATACTTGGTTTAAAGACGGGGATGGCACTAAACTCCCTGTGAAGTTATTCTTTCTAGCATTCTGTCATTTTGAAGAAAATGATTAAAGAAGGCCATTTTCAAAGATTTGTCAAATGACTCATTTTTGGAAATTTCCGTTATTAGCTGCTTTGTAATTTGGTGAATCCGTGAATGGGTGCACGCAAGCATTGACACGATGCACACGTGCGCGGTTGGTTTTTTTTTTTGGTCAGTTCAGTGCCTGACGTCGCATAGCTGCAATTGGCTGAATGACGTGTCCGGGATGCTGATTTCAGGCACAATTTTTAAAAAAGGACTTGGCACCTTTTGAATTGAAATTGAGATCCTGGAATATTGTTTTCTCGGAATATACAGCATTCACAGGACTAAAACTTGATCAGGTTATGTTAAAGCACCAGTCTTTAGATTTTGAGCACTTTTGTTGCTTCAAACAAAGAAAGTGCAAAAATGACAAATGATATACTCTACCATCAATAATCCTCTAATGTTTACATTCTAACTCTTTACATCAGGTTAATAATGTAAACGAGGCACCAGGTAGCTTGATGTTCCACTACAGCTCAGTCCATGAGAATCAGGAGGGCGCCCTCGTGGGGATTGTTTCGGCCATTGATCCAGAGGGAGATAGTATCACCTTCCGGATTATATTGGATGCAGCCAACGCTTTTGAAGTATGTCAATGTATTCCAATTCTTAGTTAATGTTTTAAAGAACTTTTGAAGCAAGTTTCCCATCTATTCGTGAAAAGAAAATTCCAAATACCTAATTGTGAGACATTCTGGCAAAAATAAGACAGAATAGGGCAGAGATCGAAATGAGGGTTTGCTGGTATTAAGAAAGATAATAAAATTCTCCTTGCAATACTGTTTATTGCATTCAAATCAGACTTTCCGTTGACAAGTTATAAAATATATTGCTGTTTAAAGTTCTCATATATTGACTTTAATAGTTTTGTAGTCGTGAAAATGAAAGATGCCAGCTGTTTTTCCTTAAAAACACTTTTAATCCACTACTTTTTACTATTTCTTTCAAACATGTGTGATATACATAACAAAGGTTACAAATATCAATAAATCGGGGAAAAAAATCACTCCATTTTAGTTTTTGAATTTGTGCCAACTTCCAATTCATTCTGTCAGGACGCCTCACTATTGATGGTTTTAATTTTTTTTTAGAAGGAATTGCCTATTTTTGCCATCTGGTTTTACAGATTAACGCATTAGTGACTGTTCTTTCCTAAACTGTCTAATATTCCCTGTACTGCCTAAAACAGACCAGCACTCCAAGCATATCTTGATTCACAGGGAATAAATAGAATGTAAAACAATGTAACTTTTTTTGAACAAAAGGGTAAAACTTGCAAAGTAACTTAAATAGTATGAGTAAAAAACCAAGTGTTTCCAGGCCAGATTCTACTTTATGACAAAATTGTATGTTTGGACTTAAATTCATATTCATAAATACCTAAGACAGTTTACCCATTCCTATAGGTCAAGAGCCTGTTACGTGGCTGGTCTTAAATGGATGATCTTAAACGGATGATAAAGATTGGTTGGTTGGTCTTAAATACTTTTCCAGTGTCCATACATTTTTGGACTTCTATGAAATACAGTGCCTTTTATCATTTTATTGGTTGAACATTCACAATCCTCACGTATGTAGGCATGCGCAATACTACCAGTGAGGCAGTATTTCATAGTCTTAAATTCACAACGCACCACCACAGCTGCATTTTGCACGACATCGCGCGCCCCAATCTCCATTAAAGGAGTTGTTTATGACTTACTCACGAGCTGGACACTCCATTATATAGCTAGAGGGGTGTATAAAAAAAACATGAAGTGAAATTGTTGAACAAAATCATTGAAAATTTTGAATTTTTCACTTGTTTTTACTTTTGGACCAAAACGTTTGGACATTTTGACCGAAAAGGTATTTATGAATGGGTAATTATCAGCATGCAGACTCCATCCGGTCTTAAACAGAGTGTTTAAAACCGCCAAACCACACATTTATTCCCTTAGTTTAGGTTGAGTGATTACTATACAGTGTTTTTAAAAAATCCAATTGACATTTATGGGGAAAAACAAGCATAAGGTTAGATAGTTCAGTTGGTAGAGCGCAGTACGGCAACCCAAGAATCGTTGGTTCAGATCCCACTTTTGCAAATTTCAAAATTCAAATGAAATATTTCTTCCTTTTTTTGCAATTTGTCTACTATAGCTACAAGCAGGAGCTACAACTAATTCCAACCGCGTTGTCACAAGTCGAGCTTTGGACTTTGAGACAGAGACCTCTCTGTCCCTCGTCATTGCTGCCCGAGATCCTGATAATCTTCAACTGGTATCAGAGACACCAACGTTTACCATCAATGTCCTGAATGTCAACGAAGCGCCTACTGATATTCTCCTGAGCCAAGCAGTAATCGATGAGAATAGTGCCCGGGGGACAGTCATTGGAGCACTGACAGTGATGGACCCAGATAGTGCGCACACATTACAGCAATTCAGCTGTGCATTGCAGGACAGTGCTGGGGGCCTGTTTCGATTAAATGGATTTGATGTAGAGGTAAACAAAATGATTGTTTATTTGTTTTTCTTTTTGGTCTAGAAGTCACCCATAAAAGTCTTGAAGAAGTCAATGTTTTGAAGTCCAAATGAACATAGCAGTAGAAATTTTACAATTTCCAATTTGCTCTCTCAAACACATTTGCTCTCAGACACATTGGAATTAAGAAAATGGAATTTTTGAAGGACGTTTGACATTCTTTTGCCAAGCGTTTTCATCCAATAGGGATTAAGGAATGACGACAGTAGTAGTTTTCCATTCCTTTTAAGATGATATTGCTTCCTCCATGCTTCCCTACACTGATCAGTAATTCATTCCTTCTATACACTGATCAGCGCGGCAATTTGGTGCCTTGTAACACACTGTCAATTTCACTAACCCATCTTAAGCAAGAGGCATCAAAAGTACCAACTTGGTAGCTGTTTCATGTTTGTTTTTACTGCTTGACGAACAATCGTTGAAAAGAAATGCACAAAACCAATTTCCCACACTCGCGCATAGAACACAAACTTTCTACCAAAAAAAATACTCTACTCAATAAATTTCACACCCAAGGTAATTCTACACAAGATACAATAGAGTCATTCTTGCGCCCCATTTCATCACTCTATATTTTTTTAAGTTGACTAAGTGTTGGCATAGGCTATAATTTTGTTAATAAGCTTTTCTATTAAAACTACCCATGTATCAGAAATCTTTTCAAATCATGTTTCTTCAGCAGTTTTCTTCCTCAAAACTGTTACTCTAAGCCGACACTCGTCTTTAACGGCAATAATTTCCATACGATATGTAAATTAATGTACGCATTAATTTGATAAGATGATCCTCAGACCGATTTTAAGTTAAGAGTTGAGCCGCGTTGCTAATGAAGTAAGGACGTGCTGAAAACATTTTAAGTTTGGTGAAATCAATTCTAGGACAAGTCACGAGTTACCCTTCCTAAGGTGTGTCTTAGCGTTTACTGAAATTGGCCCCAGTTAGTTTAACTTGACATTTCGAACAGTATGCTCTGTTTATCATCAGGAGACACTCAGTCAAGTCGATGATGAGTGATCTTGATATCCAGATAATAGAGAACGGGGTGATAACATTCAGCGTCTTTTATCACCACTTTTTGCTAAAAGTTCAGTTTTAATCCAACAGGTGTTTCAGAGCCAAGGACTTGATTATGAGACCTTCGCAGCTAGCAACACGATGCCGACCATCGTAGTGGAATGTAGTGATGTTGGATCGCTGGGTATAAGCAAACAGTTTGAGATCACAGTGAGAGATGTGGCAGAGCAGCCTACTGATATACAGTCAGCGACAGGGGTCTTTGAAATTGAAGAGAACAACAATGGAGGTATGTAGGCTGATAGTTGGTGTCTGCTCTTTGTTTGTCCTGAATAGAAGGAAAATGTAGTATCTTGTTTAACTTAGTTGATCCAACTTGCAATACACCACATATACAGGCATAGTTGCAGAATTTGGCTTGCCTGGTGTTTGGTACAGACTCTCTGAACAAGTGAGTTTTCAAGTGAGTTTAGAAACCGAGACTCGATCTGCCAAACATTAGAATACCGCCAATGGGATAATCTAAGGTTCACAATTCTGTAAATACCTTCTTTTAAAAAAATGTCTGGGTACAATTGAACTGGAACACATACGTGTAGCCAAACACGTTAGACAAAAACATATCTTAACCTCTGTAATTTTGCTCTCCAATTTTTCAATTCAAAGGTGACTCCATTGCCCTTCTCAACACCGTGGACCCTGACACTGATGATCAGACCATATTCCAGTATACAGTGTCAGACACGGACACATTTGCAATCATCGGCAGAATGTTAATCGCACACGTCCAGCTGAATTATGAGAGACGCCATAGCTACGACATAGATATCACCAGCACTGATGCTGATGGGCTGAGCTTCACTAAGGTAATAGCTATAGTGTGTATTTGTGTGTTTGTTTTTCATTTTTATTTATTTCTCAAAGAAATAATGATGCACTACCCTGCACCCCGGAAGGTTAGAAAAAATGAAGAAATTAAATGTAATATTTTGACGTTTGCATTTTACATGAAAAACAGCAATTTGTTTTCCAGCATGATCAAGCAAAACCCAGATTTTTCTGTTAGGTATTTTAAAAATACACTTGTATTCTGGATAGGCATTTACATATGTCTCTATGGTTTGTACCCAAATGGTACAGTATAATCTCATGTCAGCATGCACGCACAATCTTGTTCTGTCAATAGTTGTGGGGACCACGTACCTGTTGAGTGATAGCTATTATGGGGACCGAAGACACAAATGGGACAGCAGAAATTCCCGATAACTCGGTCCTTATTTCTTCCACATAACCCGGTGTTGACCCGCCCACTGTATTTTCCAGCAATCGTGGACCCCCTGTTGCTCTTCTTTTGTATGTACCGGGGTACTTTAACTTTTTGGAAAGACCTCCCATATGTTGGTACACGATCATCATATTGAGGACCTTCCAGAATTGTGGACCCTATTGTCCTCTATTGTTCTCTATTGTTCAACATCCCCTATTGAATGCAAAGCAAACTCATATACACCCATCCCAATATGCTATTACCAAGCATAGCTGTTTCTGGTGTCCCATTAAATAGGCATTTTTTTGGATTGCAATTTCTATGGCATTCCAGCTTCAAGACAACACCTGAGGAAAAGGGAGCATTTATCAGTTTCAACTTGTATTGTTTGCATTGGTATATAAATGGCAGTTTGGTCCAAAATAAAGCTATCAATTAACACAGGAATTGAACATTTGTGGTGATATTTTTTTTTACATTGTATTTTTTCCCCTCTGTAGAGTGTGACTGTGATGGTTTTGGATGATAATGAGCCACCCACTGGAATCGTAATGAGCTCAACAAGAACCCTCTCAGCTGGCTTGTCCTCTGGAACGGTAATAGCCACTCTAGATGCCGTTGATGAAGACATTGGACAGCAGCATGAATTCAGCATCCAAACACAGACCCCTGGGGGCGCTCTTCAAATCACCGGGGGTAACAAGCTTGCTGTTGATACTGGGACGCTACATGACCACTCAGTTGAGGTGACAATCCGTGTGCAGGATGTGGGTGTGTCTATACCTCTTCTTCATGTTCAGACGTTCACAATACCAGTACAGGGTGTGAACCTGCCACCTACGGGCATCCAGCTAACAGGGTCTTCGATCTTAGAAGGTTCAGCCATAGGCACCATCGTAGGAACCATCCAAGTCCAAGACCCTTCTAACTCAGACCAGAGGTTCTACTGCGTGTTGCTTGATGATGCAGGGGGACGATTCGATCTAGCCAGTGTTGGCAACGAGATACAACTTCAAGTAGCCTTCTCTGAGGGATTGGACTTCGAGACAGCCACAAAACATTCAATCAATGTCAGCTGCCGCGATTCACTCCCAGTGAACACCGTGGAGCAAACGTTTGTCATTGATGTCCTGGATGGACCTGAGAGACCCACCGGCATCGTGTTCACAAATGCAGCTGCCGGTGACACCACTACCAACGTCAACCCACCCGACCTTGGCAACCTACAGGGTCAGGTCATCACCTTGGCAACGGTAACTGTCAATGAAGATGCCCAGGATGGAAAGGTTATCGTAGCCTACGTCACGGTCGTTGCTGCTGATGGAACCCCAACATCAGGCCAATCACCGCCTGTCTTGTCATTGATTTCAGAAAATGAGTACAACCGATTAAACAGACTTGGTAAGAATTATCAATGCTTTTTTTTTTTTGAGAGTCAGATTTTAATTTTTATTTTCAATCAGACGTTACTGTAGAATTCCAATGTAAATGAATAGTCTTATAATGAATAGTCATTGAAAGATTCTTTATATTTCCATTTACAGGACGCAGAAAGAGAGATGTTCACGGGCTCCATGCTAGGTCCAAGCGAGCAACTAACCCTGACCCTAACACCGTCCCCTCCCAGTTTGTCATTCCCAACACTGGCCAGTATATACTAGTAGCGGGCATCCTTGATCATGAGGCACAGGAGGAATACATGCTGTATGTTAAGGCTAGCGACAGTGTCAACCCTAGTCTGGTGAGTGCCATTCACAAGTCATTCCTGAATAAATGCATCAGCATTGGCCACGGGTATTGGCCAAACTAATGTTGGCCAAGAGGATATTGCTCCACGTACCAAGCCAGGTTTAACTCTCCAGCCCTCTCAGTCTTTCTACCAGGGATTGTGTTCTTCTCTGACTGAGAATACCGTAGCGCGGCAGCCACTGCCACCATTATATGCGAGAATAACCTGGGTCCGTTTGGCCAAATATACCGCCACTTCCAGTTGGTAGCTCAATAGTCTCTATTTGGAGGGGGGGGGGGACGACAAGATCATGACTGTACCAGGACAATGAACTGAAACAAAGGGTGTCTGGTTTGTTGATCAACTGTACAGGGCCTTAAGGGGTGTGCATATGTGATTGTGGCTCATCTTATTATAAACTTTTATTTTATGGGTGCCTCTTATTGGAGGGTTTGCACAGCGGCCTCCTATGAAGGGCTTGTTGCCTTAGGAGTACTTCCTAACAAAACAACACCCAGCTCTTCTCTGTGCCCTGGCCATGCTACCCAGTAGTCTTGCTCCTAGCAGCTGCCGTTGGGCCTTATTGATCCATGTAGTCAGCCTTATGTGGCTCACTCCAATCCTGTTTCCTTGCTTGGAAACGGTGGTATATCCAGATCCTCAGTCAGCCTCCTAGGGCTGCCTCTCGATCCTGTTTCCCTGATGGGAAACTGATATACCCGGATCCTTAGTAAGCCTCCAAGGCCCGCCGTACCATGCATGTCTGGATACCTGGATCCTTAGTAAGCTTCCAAGGCCTGTCCTGCCATGCATGACTGGAGTTCCGCTTCTAGTAGTGCAAGGGCGCTCAGTCACCCAGCTCCGCATTAGGTCGCTCCACTAGGAGGTGCGTCCTACCAGAGAGAGCTAGAGAGAGCGTGCAATACACACAACTTTTACAGCCTAGCTGAGAACATAGCAGGGAATCCCATGTGGACGTAAAAGAATCCACAACTGTGCCCTCTTTTGACGCCTACAGCACATACGGATTTCGCTGCAATACTGTAATGCTGCATTCACAGTCTAAGGATGTTTTCATAATTAGAAGGCTTGCCTTTAGGGAGATGAAACAAACACAGACAAACCACTCATGGACATATAGCAGGACCAAACTAAACAAATGAGGAGGTCAATTTGGACAAGGGATTCTTGATTAGCTAATTATTTTCTTGTAACTCACATTTGTCTTTGATCAAAAGGAAAGCGACACTCGGTAAGAAGCACCAGTCACTTGGTTGTTAAGAGCTCAGCAGCCTGAAATTAACTTACCAAATTACACAACTAATTGCATGCGTGCCAGCGAATTCTCACACTGGTAACATTGAAAGACACAAGAGTCATGTAAGCACTGGGTGCATTCAAGTAGCTCACCCAGATCGACTCGGGTGAAGGCAGATGCGTTAACCACGAGATCCAGGCTAATCCGTGGGCCATCAAAATCCTCGCGTGACACCCGTAGCCATGGCTGTAGCCATTGACAAACCATCTACTGCTTTTCCATCAATATCGAAAGGTAACAAATTCAGGCTGGAATTAGCAGCCTCTAAAGTCGCAATGAGCTCATTAAGTGATTATGTTTGGATTTCAAATAAAGTTGATGTTGGGGCTCACTTGATCTTCTTCTGTCCGGCCGGCATATTTGTCTGTTTCTTGGCATGAACAATACATGCGTGTGACGTATTTCCACCAGTGCCTCCACTCCATGAGCAGGGTCTGTGATGGCTGACCCAGGTGAGCCCCCAGAATGGGGCTAACTCGAGTCGACCCCGGTGAGCTAATCGAACGCACCCACTAATCGCACCCATCACGTGATCCAGCTGCACTTGCTACATTATCAACATAGCAACAAGTAATCAAGTTCAGTTCTAGAGGTGGGAATTAAGAACACCTCTTAAATACTCTGTGGAAAGATCCCATGGAATCTGAAATGAATTGAAAATTCAATCCACGTAATCAGCAAGCAAATCACCAACATGGCTGTCGTGGCTGGCCTTTAATCAAACTCTGTAGGTTTGTAATATTGTTAAATACCCACCTCCACCAACTACTTTGAAAGTCAATCACAATTATTTTCTTTTGTTGGAACAGGTGGTGACTGCTCGCGTACGTGTGGTTGTCCTGGATGTAGATGAAGCCCCATTAGACATGAGCCTCAGCCCTATCACAGTCAGTGAGGGAGTCTCAATAGATGCGGAAGTTGGTAAGAAAAAGTTGCTGAAAAAAGTACATCTCTCCTAGTCATTCATTTTTGGAACCTAGAGAATTTCTAACAGGATAGATATTCCAACCGTGCATGTGCACATCAAGATTTGATGATTTTCATTTTGGGATGAACAATTCGCCAATGTGTGCAAAATCGTGGCATGTGTGCAAAATCATAGCATATGTAGCAGCAAAATTATAGAAATTGTCTTGTTCTGAAGTGTGCTCAAAATTTCAAAAACGTTTGGACAGTGAAATGTTTTCTATGTGTTTTGTTTGCATGTGCATGTACATGTACATAGTACATGTATTTTGCACATGTAGTTCACGTAGCCAAAATGTGCCGTGTACGTTGGTAGAGTAGAACTGGTAATGGATTGGAATAGAAGAGAGGGTAGGCCTATATGTGAACTATGTATACCCCAACAACCCCCCCCCCCCCCAAAAAAAAAAATCCCTGATCAACCGACTCTCCTGATACCTGATCAACCGCCTCTCCTGATATTTTTCATATGAAGGCAACACAAGTTTAGGGTTTTTGGCCTTATTGTAAGAATTGGTGTTCCTGATGGATCATTCAACCATATTAAGTTGTAGAAGTTAACGTTTCTGTATGATTCTACAGAGAGTGAACTTATACAGAGAAACATCCTAGACAAAATAGCACAACCAATTTTGAGCTGATGCATGCCTCGACTAGTTCTGACCACAGTACATATCACTAGTCAGATAGTCGTGTAATAAATAGTCTTGACGACCGACTAAATGCAACAAACTGCCACGGATAGTTCTTTGGAAAGACATGTGCCTTTCGTTAGCATTCTTGTTACATCTAAGACATTTCTCAACAAAATTTGAGCTCATAAAACTGTACATTCTGCATTTTCTTGCTAAATTTGGTAAAATTGTATTAGAAAAATCAAACTATTTTTTATGGTGTTTTATTTGCAGGTCAGTTATCTGTTCACGATCCTGATGGTACACAATCTGCATATGTGTATACCATGATGTTACATGGGACTCCGTTCTACATCCAGCAAGATAGGGTCCTAGTGCAGCGCCTCCTAGACTATGAAACCACTCCACTTATTACCATCAGAGTCAAAGTAGCTGAACTCCGCACTAGCTTGGAGCTAGTCAAGAACTTTCATATTCAGCTCACCAATGCACCTGAGCCTCCCACATCCCTGACAGTTAATGGGAACACCACAATTACTATCCCAGAGACCCTAATGGTGGGTCAGTCACTTGGGTCCTTCGTTGTCCAAGATCCGGACACAGCTGGTGGTTTTGCTTTCAGCTTCTTCAATCAGGAAGACTCCCATAACTTCTTCTCTATCGATGGAGACCGCTTGATGTTAGCACAGCGGCTAGACGCCTGGACAACCAATGTGCTGAGTCTCTTCGTCCAAGTCACTGATCCCACCCATCTTAGCTTCCGGCAAGTCATCACCATCAGAGTGACATCTGATGACCGGTGTAGCCGGCCTGGCTACTGCAGCCCCTACGCAACATGCTTCCGTGGATACTGCACATGTAAAGCAGGATTTACAGGTATGTGGGTAGTTCAGTTCGATGATTGACTTATTATGTTTTTCTTCAAAAATTGAGTAATACCTGAGTGTGACTTAACTCGCACTGGACTATAGACTCCGTGAATGAACAAGAGATGGCAATTTGTGATAACTTTTGAGAGCCCCAGTAGGAAGAACATACTGCATATACGTGCTCGTTTGCTCAAGTATTGCATGAAGAATGCACAACTTATTTTGTTCTTGATGTCTTTGTGCTAGCACTTGAAGTGCGGGCTGCAATGCATCTATTCCTCCCAGTAGTCTTATACTTCAATCTCTGTCTTCAAAACCAAGTTAGGGGGTACTTGTGATTGGAGACCATTGTAGGATGGGAAGCGTTATACTCACCTACTGTAAAATTACAGTGCGGAGGGCATAAGCTCTGTGCATGAGTTGAATGTCCATGTTCATTCTGGCTTGTAATAAATGATACAGCTTGTTGACCATCCTTAGGATCAGTTCCTGCTTCTTGCATAAGCAAATCAAATTTCATGATGTCAACAATTGCTATTTCATTGTGACTTCAGATGACCCTAACAAATTGCTTCGCACTAGAATGTGCATGCAGTATGCACCTGCCAAAAGGCTGTCAATTTGAAAAGTATTAATACACTATTAATCAGGTTAGTTTGAACGCTTTTTGTAATGAATTATAATCGACCAAAATCCTGTGCTAAGTGTGCGGCATGGTATTTCATGGTATTTCATGGTAATTCAATCCAAGATATTTGACATAATAGGTCAACAAGGCATACCGTGGGACCTTTCAGCCATTTTGCTCCCATGTCACAAAATAAGTTGAGGAAACCTTCATTTTCTCCCAGTATTTCAAAATAGAGATTCTGTCCGTGTCTTTTCACTTGATATTTATGTTCTATTTCTGCATCAGGTAATGGCGATACCTGTACTGACATTGATGAGTGCACACCCTACCCCTGCCATACCTCCCATTCTATCACCGGTATGTGTGTCAATGGATTTGGTGGCATACGAAACTTCACCTGTCACTGTTTACCTGGCTGGAGTGGGCGGGACTGTACAGTGGAGGTGGACAGCTGCCAAGAGAATCAATGTAATCCTCTAGGTAAATTAATTTCAAATATTCATGAGCAAATTTTCATATTCATGAGCAAAAGTGTGATGTCATTTCAGACAGAAACCTCAATGTTACAGCTATTTCAGTGCCAAAAGTTGCCAGAGTTTTGGGGATTTTATTGTCCTGGATTCGTTGTTGTGTCAGTGTCAGTACATAACAGTATAAAAGCCAATGAGCAAACTTTTCTCACAAATGTTTTCAATGAGCAAGTTTTTGGGTTCACAATTTGCAGAAATCCCTGAACTGAACAGTGTCTTAATTCCTGACATCACATCACAGGATAAAGGAAATCGGGATTCTTATGAGATTTTTATCAGATTCTTATCAGATTTTTATCAGATTCTTATAAGATTCTTATAAGATTCTTATAAGATTTATCTCAGATTTTTCACAAGATTCTTATAAGATTCTTATAAGGAGTGGTTCGTAGGGGAACCACTACTTGAATAGAGTCCTCATCCTGGCTAGCTATGGCGTCTTAATACTGTTGTACCTTGTAAGACTACCCTAGCAAATTTAGTCCACTTATATACTATTTTGACAGTCGCCAGCCAATCAAATTGTCTGTGCAGACTTTGTGACGTTTTCCTACACATTGAATACACGTGATTCTTCATCGTTCTTTAGGTCATATTTTTTAACTTGATAGGACATAGGAGAAGGTTACATGTAGCCTTTTAGTACAATTTTTTAGTCAACAAAAATATGGCAAACTGTGTGGTTGGAACATATTTGAGGGCAAATGTCAGTAATTTTTTTTTGGAGTAAACGATCACCAGTATATGATCACCAGAGAATTTCCTTGAATGGTAGGGATGTTTTTGTTGGATTGAGAACCTATGGGGGCCAGAGCCTGTGTCACATGGCCTACTCAGTGGCAGCCAAAGTCCATTATGTAGCGCAGGGTAAGGACGGTTGTCTGACCGTACCGAAGATGAGTTTGTGTCGATGGTCAGCTTTTGCAACAAGTGATTAGATTGAATAGAAATGCTGTCAATTCATATTTGAAAGTGTCAAAAATAAGCGTGAGAGGTCAAAATAGTTAATTATGTGGACTCGGTTTGCCAGGTCACCGTCTTACAATGTACTAGATGAGAGTCCTAACTAGAAATCAAACCTAAACCACTGCTGTGTTAAGTGAGTTACTTGAATGAATTTGCATTTGAGTTGTTGGACAAGAAATGCAAGTATGTTTGGGGCAGGAGTTGGACTAAAGTACAAATCCTTTTGCTTGGACATATTCAGCACACCTTTTTTTGTCCAAGTACTCACATTCCTGCATTCGAAGTGCTCACATTCCAAACCACACTATCTAGTTTCTCAGGCTAATGCACAACCTTATATTTGTTGTTGGAATCTGAATTCATGTACTCAACACTACTTCTCCATTTTTTTGCCAGGAACTGTCAAGTGTGTGAATACAGCAAACACTGCTGATTATACCTGTAAGTGTAAACGTGGATTTGAGGGCCCACTTTGTGATGGCAACACAGACGATTGTGCTGAACATCAGTGTCAGAACGGTGCAACGTGCATTGATGGTATAGGACTGTATACATGCAACTGTAGAGCACCTTTTGAAGGTATGTGACTTAGGTTTTATTCATTCAAATCCTCAGGAAAGTGTTGGAAAAAGTAATATTTTATTGTGGAAACAAAATCAAAGTTCACATTTTCAGATCTGGAAGAATGGAATAAATGACCAAATCATTTAATTATCAGCCCATTTTTGAAACAGTTCAACTTCTACAGTTTTGTGTGCTAAAGACTTTAGGGTTGTGCTGTATATAAGTGCTGTTAATAGTTATTATTATGATTCAATACATATCGCTTGTTGATATGGGGTAAGAGCTTTTAAGAGCTCAGTGAATAAACCTGAAAACATATTTTTCAAGTCTTATACATCCATCATCTAGTATAGTCAAGGAGATTACGGACTAGGAATTTTGGATCGTTTCTCTGCCAGTTAACCATTAATTAGATATCATGGTTAATTGGTTCTCTCACAGACATTACATTGCCTTTCTTAACACTGGAGTTGCCATATTTTGTTTATTTTGAGTTATTCATTGGTCAAGTGATTAGTAAATGAAAAATTAGTAAATTGATGTGAATAATAAAACAATCTACATTTTACAATTAGTATTTGGAGGTATTGACTGATTTGTATTAATTCATGAATTAATCAGATTTGTTGACTGTTTGAAATTCCAGGCTATTTCTGTGACTTGGACCCCACTGTCTGTAATGATGTCATCTGTGCCTACAATGGTACCTGCGTTCCCGTGCCCAATGGTGGTCACGATTGCCGCTGCACTGAACCCTATGAGCGTGACTGCTCTGGTTGTGCATTTGGCTACGGTGGTATAGACTGCAAACCATGTGATCCACCATTCACAGGTCAGAACTCAACTTGGTAGCCAATTACTCTTCACATGGTGCTTGTGGGATTGGGCAAGGCACTTTACTATGATTGCCTCTCTCCACCCAGGTGTAGTAAATGGGTACCTGGTAGGAAGAAATTCCTTCAATGCTTGAGCGCCATAATGGCAGCCGTGCTAAAGCCAGGGTAATAATAAGAGCGCCAGGAGCGTCACTTAGTGACGGACATGAGCGCTATACAAGAAGCCAATATTATTATTATTTTAAAAATTATTATTCACACACAGCGCAAAAACCAACGCGAACACAAATTTGTGATGTCAGTTTCAGTTTTTGTGCTGCGAATTCGTTGAGCACATTTCAACTTAGGCAAACTTTGCAGTGAACGTTTCATGCCGCAAAATGCACTTCGCATTTGCATGAAAATAAACTTGCCTTTAAAACACTTTCATCGTACAAGATATCAACTCCAATATCACAGAACAACGGACTTGAGACTGGATGACTTGTGATGGACTTAAATACAAAACTGTTCTGCAGTAGTTAGCTGATTTTTTTCCTTGCACGCTCTCAGACAATACTTGGTCTACACGCGCTTATCAAAAATGAAGTATTTGAAGAACAAAAGCCAACAACAAATGCTTTCATCAAGTCGAGATTGATTCTGATTTTCTTAGTATGAAGGATCATGATGGACAAATGCACAAACCTTTTTTGTTTTAAATTGTGATCTTTCTTTTTTCAAATTGCAGGTCCGAATTGTGAAATAGACAGCAGTGTTTGTGATCCCAACCCCTGCACTTATGGAGGTGTCTGCAAAGCAGGTGTTGGCCAGTACTCTTGTGTGTGTCCTGGTAAGTAATGAACTCATTCAAACCTCCACACAGACGATATTGAATCACATAGACAATATAACAAATATAACATGGTGTGAGGGTGAACAGTCCATATTAGCTCCCGAGGTATTGGAAGTTGACAAACTAGTTCCCAAGGCAAACTATCAACCTGAAATAAACCATGTTACACTTGCTTTTCACAGAAAACCTTGCAACTAAGGATTGCAAACCACTGATCAAGATATTAGGACTAGGAAGTGATGGTGGTTACAATAATGGGTCACCTACAGTGGGTGGTGGATTCCCAGTTTGGATCATCATTGTGATATCACTCCTGGTCCTCGTCATCATCGTTATCGGCATGGTCTGCCTGGGGTTGCGCCGATATCGCCGCCGAGTGCCCTACAAAGCATCAGATTCCTTCATTCCATGGAGATCTAGGTAAGATTTTCTCATTTGCAAGGGTGGTGCAGTGCGTAAAGCACTCGGTTCTCACCACTGTGCCCTGGGTTCTATTCCCGGCTCGGGCTATAATTATGTGAGTAGATTTCTTTGTTGATTTTCTCCTGTGCCACAAGGGTTTTTCTCCAGGTCGATAATAATAATAATGTGTGTTTATAAAATGCATTTATCCACCAGTATTGGGGCTCAAGACACTTCATAATTATTACCCTGCTCGTTGGGCTAATAAAACATTCCAAATACCATCTCAGCTCCCTGGAGAGTATACAGCTGGATGCTGCCATTTTGGCGCAAAGCACTATCAATCACAATAACCATCTCTGCCGTCACAGGTACCCATTTACTCATTGGTGGGGAGAAGCAATGAGTGACAAAGTGCCTTGCCCAAGGGCACATGCACCATAACCCCAGGCTGGACTCGAACCCACAACCTGCAGAATTACCCGCTGACCACAAATTCAATGCTCCGGACCATGAGGCCACGGCACTCTAGTTTTCCTCCCTCAGCAAAAATTGAATTTTGTGCTCCGTGGTAAACCATGGGTCGTATGGCCACTGCCTAAGGAATCTTTATATGCCTTCTGCTTGACCTTCATAGAATTTAAACAAATATGAGTTACTTTAAGAGTTTGTGTCTAATGTAAAAAAACAAATGTTTCACCCAATCAACCACAAATTGAAACTGGACAGACCAATGGAATACAACTTCTTTGAAAAATTGCAAATAGCAAGATTTTTTTTACAAATGGCATACAGATGGAAATCAGTGAGAGCAGTGCACATTGTGTATATTTTTTGCTCGATTCCCAATTGTGCTTAGAAGATTAGTTATGGCATTATTGCATTTGGCTGTTAAACACCAAAAATAATGTATTAACTGCTAGAATTAAGAAAACAGAATGTCTTCACGTTGACACTGCTGTGTTTAGAACAATGTTATTGCAATTTGCTCTTGTGCATCAGTTGCATACAGCCAAATTACGTTTCAGAATGGGGTTTGTGTCAGATTTTTCGCATCAGTATAATTAACGTTGACATCGCTGCCTTACTGGGTACCAGTGGCAGGGCAAATCCAGTTCTAGCAGCGTCTGGCTTTTGCCACCTGGTTATGATGTAAAGGTCAGCAGTGGATGTCATTGATGGAAAGAGAACAGTGGCAAGGCAATTCCAGTTCTAGCAACGTCTTACTTTGTTTTTTTTGTTTGAAATAGGTATCTCAGTGATGCTGAACCAGTGATTGTATCATCAGGTGGGGACCTCCGGTCACAGCAAGGCCCGTCAGGGGATTATCAGAATTATCCATCTCAGGATTACCCAGAGCGGGATTATCCACAGGAAGCAATCCCACAGCAGGGTAACCCACAGCAGAATTACCCACAGCTGGATTACCCAGAACGGGATTATCCAGTCGATGAAGAGCCCAAGACACAGCAGCAGAAAGCCTCATCAGTGCCTTCCCCAGGCCAACAGACTGCATCCGTAGCTATCCCAGAAGCCTCTGCCGCTGCTACTTCTACTGCCAAAGCTGAGGACCAGGAGAAGGAACCAGAGGACAATCCTCCACCTTACTCACCGCCTGACAACCTCTTCCTCGCAACTGCTCTGGGGCTTTTGCCTCCCGGTTACGATGTCAAAGGTCAGCAGGTGGATGTCATGGATGGAAAAGAGAAAAAAGAGAAAATGGAGACAGAAGGTGAGAAGGCGGTCGCCGAGTTCATGGGGACTCTAGCTATGCCTATCGGAGATCGAGGCACCTTACAGGCTAAAGGAAGCAACCTGGATGACTGGGAACAGGCTCAGTTGGGCTTGGTACAGGAGAAGACCCCTGATGAGAAGCCAGGAGATAAACGTGTTCGGAAGAAGTCAGCTGGGCGTCGGCCTTCTGTAAGCCGTAAGCTTTCTGTAGGGGCAGTGGCTTACCAAAACCCTGTCTTCATACCAGACAACAAGATTCTGAGCCAGCAGGCAGCCAAGGAGATACATCAGGATAATGGCGAACCCTCAGTCCCTGCCGTAGTAGACCCTGACCAAGCTGCATCCAGCAACAACAGCAAGAGGAAGACCTCGTCTACATCAGCAACACAGACCGGTATCCAAGATGACATCGTCAAAGACCAGAAACGAAATAACAGGCCATCAATCTCCAAATCCCCTCATGATTTCACCAAGCAGAATCCAGTTTTCCTGGATTCTGACACCGAGGACCTCGATGATGACATATTTGAGTAGGCGATATATCCATGGCAAGGTCACAAGTAATTCACAGGTCCAGTGAAAAGTAACAAATAATTCAAAATAACAAAGGAATGCTTTGTCACAATTTATTTGATTAACTTTGGACTTTTGATCGACTTGTGATAGACTTGTGAGGACTCAACTACATACTGATATTTTGTAGTACTGTTTCATTGGAGTACTGGTGTTTGATGTATAATAAGCCAGCTTCTGGTCTGAAATACAATTTACTGAAATCACATTTTTTTTAAATTGGTTTCGTGATTAATTCAAGCATTGTAGAAGGTACTGGAATTTAATGAATAACTTGCCAAATTGTAATGCCTACGTTCATACACAGAAAATACCTAATAATATAATATATTACACAGATATCTTTCTGAGACTCTTGCTGTTAAAGTCTGGAATATTTCTACGCAGAAAGTTACATTTTGTGTTTAACTTGTTTTTGTGTTTATTACGCAGTATAGTTTTACATTTTTTCTTACTTAGGAAATTAATTAAAATAACAATACCTTTTATTGATTTTATGTTGCTACATACTTGTTGCCTAATCATTCTCATAATATAGGAAATTATGCTAAAAAGACTACGGAACAAAGGTTTTGTTTTATCGAAAGGGATTTGGGGCATTCATGGGAAGAGTGTTGGATACTTAAATAATTTGATGTGGTAAATTTCAGAAATGAGGTTGTGGATATAATGTTAAACATTATTGATATAACTTGCTAATAGTGCATTTATAATCACAGTTTTAATGACATGACTGATTATGGATTATGTGCCAAAAAAACCCACTAGTCCGTTCCTTTAGTGCATTTTGAATGATAGTTAATAAGGAGATATATTCTCTGTGAGTGATCCTAGATCTGTGGCACTGTCCTGTGACTTTGTGAGTGTTCTACATAACCCCTGAGGACTGACACACAAAGGGAGAACAACAGATCCTTTCAGTCCTCGGGAGTTGGGTCTTTTGTTGGAAACACAAAGCATTGTCCTCGAGAGTATAGTAAAACACGACTGTGTGTCCTGACGGCTACATGGTGCAAACAGGTTCATAGCTTCTGACAAGTGCCATTTGAAAAGATATATATAGCTAAAATGGTTTAGCAGCGGAATGGTTTTCTGGATGGTTTGCAGGTTCAAATCCCAGTTACTGAGTCAAAAACCGTGATTACAATTTGGCTATCCTTCTCTTTCTGTTATTAAATATTTCTATTGTAAGTATTAAATCCTCAATGATAAAGGTAGGCAGGCTGGCAGAGCCATATCCTGAAATAGTTACTAGCGTTATGAAATGTTTTATTCAAGTAACTTTTCAAATATGTACCTGGAATATTTTGAATATTAACCAATATCAATTTTTACACAGAGTGGTGAATGATGACTGTATTAATCCCACTATAATAGTGTATATATGGATTTTGTTATTCTATTTTGATGTTAATGTATTTTATTGACATACAGTTTTCTTAATTTTCAACAGTTGTGGAGGAATATCATGATAAATGAGTCTGAAAGGTTTAATTTTGCTGTGAAATGAATTTTCAGGCTTTCTTGTTGTAAACAGGAATTCAAGAAATTGACAGTGTGATATATAGAATGAGAAGTATATTTGTGAAATATTTTATTCCAGATCTTTTCAACAATTTTTGGTCTTTATTCAAGATGTTAATTTTGATGTCTCAAATATATTTTGGGTATGTGTAAATATTCATGTTTACCCAGGGTTTATTATCAATATTTTGATTACTATATATGTTCATATATTGGGTTTTTTTTAAACGTTGTATTTGCATATTTTTGCATGGTTCTGATGCTTTATGGTCCCGGTATAGGAATGCAATAGAAAGTTGACTGATGCTTGTAAGAGAATGGGGCTTTTTTGCTTTTAATGGGAATAAAAAGGGAGTATATGAAACATGATTTAAAACTGTGTATTTTGTAATGCGTTTTTCCGGGTTTTTTTTTTTTTTTTTTTACTCTCTAAAGCCCCCCCCCCCACCCAAAAAAAATAGGCCTGTCCTAGAATTAACAAGACTTTGTCACGGGTGTAGAATTGGTTTAAATTTTTCTTTGTACCTCAATATATCAATTTCCTATAGCTCCATATAATATATAAAACAGTAAACAGTAAAGAGGAACAAAAATAGTCATGTAAATGTGCTATAGCGCCACCAACGGCCGAGCAACCGCCATTTCTTTAGGAAACTTGACTCCGGGCCATTTTCCTTCCAAACTGTGGTATCGGGATGCAACCCAGTAAATAGGCCAAAAATCTGTCCGCCGGGGTCCGATTAATTATTATTTTATATTAGAGAGTTCTGAGAGTCATGGAATTGGGGGATTGAAGACATATGGCACTGCACCTCTGGCCTGGACTTGGGGCTTCCAATTCTGAGCATTTTGGATGCAATTGGGTCCAAAAGTGGCGCTATTTAGCCATGTTGTGGAGGGATCTTTTTTCAAAATGGCTACTTATCAAGTTGGGAAATATTTGTTTTAGGGGTGGTCTTCTTTGGGTGAGAATTTCTCAAAAAGTCATTGGTCAACCCACCAAAAATTGAAAGGAAAATGAAAGACGACATGTTGATCATCATTTTTCTGTGCAGCCTGAACACCTGTGAGAGTTTGGAGTAGGCCTATTTTTAAAAATGATTTTGAAGTATGGGAATTTATCACTGGTATGCTATGGGAATTCATTTGCTTGGTTGCACCCATCGTCTGCAACTGGCATTAACATTTTATCAAATTCTGGCTCAATGATAAAACCACTGAGATGTGCTTGGCTGAGGCTCCATATTTTTCACTGAGTGGGCAATTGTGTCGTTAGAAACTAAAGAAATGTGCACAGAAAGCAGTCCCCAAAGAAAACGTTTGTCAGAGTTTTGCAACCCAACATAGAAAAAAAGATGGGGTTTTTTTTGTAGGAAACAAACAAAATGAAAATTCTTTGAGAAAACTGATTTTGTTCCGCTCGAGAACGGACAGTACCTCTTTTAGAATTTGACTAAAATTGAACAGAAATTTAAAAAATAATAATAATAATGAGGCACACTAAAGCTATTACGAAATAAACTTTTACAAACTGACACAACGAAAGGTTTCAGGAATCCGCTAGCCATTCCTCTTACCATAAACTGTAATAGCGCCACCAGCGGTTAAAGACTAACATTTTTTTTCCTGACAAGAGCAAGTTAAAATTGAACCCTAGAATTAATGTTATGATTGATTTCAAAACTTGTAAGTCTATATACCCGTCGAAGTTACAGCTTCATTTTTATTATGTTGGCATTAATAAAGTAATCGTATGGTATAACTAGCCACTTGATACTTTTTTCGTGATGTGGATAGGTAGTTATATCGGTCAAATAATTATCCAAAACCCAGCGCATCAACATTTGACATAATTACGGCATGCATTATGTCATCCTGACGAGTCATGGATTTTATCGGAATGTTTGTTGTTGAAAAACATCATTTTTCAGTCAAACGGCAGGACGAAATGTGGGTGGGTTTGAAATAACATAGGCCTAATTACAGACGAAATTGCTTGATATCAAGATTTGAAGTTGCTTGATCGGTCCTACCTATTCGACGGTTTCGACCAAACATCAGCGCATACCCGTCGCTGTCACTCGGTCTCATTTCTTTTTTGCCCTATTATAATATTTTTAAAAATGTTGTCGTCAAGTTTGCATGCCAGAAAGCTCAATTTTATTCATTTATTTATTATTACATACATATTTTGGTCTGTGTTTTTGGTCATTACGCCTGAAGTACATATGCCCTGATAGCGGGAATTGCCTTGTTGGTGATGACTGATATAAGCCGTACTGTACCCGTCAATCAAAACAGGAAATTCGCTACAATGTTGAACACGGGGCTGTCCTGCCGCTTGCGACATGAGGCGGAGCTTGACCAGCCTACTTCATGACTGACACACCAAGCCAAAGGTGATTGACATTACAGTGACAAGCATCGAATTCGGAGCATGTCTACTGCGCAAAAAATGGCCCCTGAACGTGGATTTCTTGCCAACCTGACTTCCACGTGATTGGCTATTCTTGCGCATGGCTCCAACAATATGCAAATGTTTTTCTTAATGAATGGCTATGATGCATAATAATTGCTGTCCAGAAATATTATACTCCAAGACGTATCCCCGGTGGAATGCGACGCGCGCCCTTGAACGGGTCAGCTATGTTTTCTTGTCCGTCTCTTCGGCTCGTGAAATGCTCGTTTAAGCACGGCGATTCCTGGTCCGTCCGCTTGGGTTGGCGTCGGTAGCCCGTCGTGAAATCAAGCTGGCCAATTACAAGCACCGTGGCACCCACAGTGAAAACCGGCCCCGCTGCTGTGAAACGCGCCGTGGGTATTACATAATTTGCGCTGAGCTCGCAGTAGGTAGACGTGACTGGGTACGGGCAGACCTACCAGTGGCGTAACAAACCCCGATGATATTAGCCGTGCATCTGATCTTGAACTCAGTACGATCTGGCCCGTGCTACACGGTCGGCATGCGATGGCCGCGGAGTTGCAGGCGCCAGACGTCTTCGTTTCTCAGCTTTAAAATAAAGCGGAACCTTGGCCTATATCACGTTCTCCGCAATTTGTTTGCCATTTGTTATCTGGCTATTTCCGTAAGTGGTGGTGTGCGTCACAAACCAAAAGGGGCCACTACAAGCTGTAAGAATGACCTTTGAAGTCGTTTGGAGAATCTGGCTTTATTATCCTATAAATCAGTTTGAAATCCCCACTAACGTTTTCCGGAAAAATATTAATTATATGTCATATAAGAATATTTCCCCTCTTCTTGTTGCCCTAATTCCGCCCCTCGTTTAACGCTGTTAAAAAAAAATATGACAATATGAGTTTTGAATATTAGAGAAGGGTTTGGTGCACAGCAGACCAGATTGGTAATCTTATTTTATTTAGATTGCTTTACCAGAAACTCAATTTGCGGGCTGGGTATTGAATTGGGTATTGCCATTTGCCTTTGTTGTTTTGTCTTCATGACAATCCATGCAAATGATGTCCTATCCCAATTTGTCTTCTTTTTAATGAGAATTCGTATCTGATGTGCAGCCACTATAATAAGAATTATGTAGTTGTGAAGTTAAAGATGGTGGTCCAATTTCATTCAAATTTTATCTTAAATTAGTACAGATCGATTTTTAAGTGATATGAAATTCAGCGTGGTTGACTTGTTTTGATGTGAGAATTAAATTTTGTGTTTCTTTTTTCTCTGGTATGATCTTTAAAATGGCAAAAACATTAAAAAAAATTGTGGGGGGGGGATTCTTATTTTGAAGCGCTTCAGTAATAGCAACCAAAATTACAGCTAAGGCCATTGTGGAGATGAGACACGCAGCATGTCATTCCATTTCAGCGCGTCACTTAGGCCCGATCTGTAGATTAAATTCGGGAATTTAGAACCGAAACCAAATCACCGATAATTGGGGTTCAGATGTAGTGTAGCGGTCTATAAATGATCGTATGTCTCCATTAACCTACCCTCCATTAGCTGAAACAATAGTAGGCCAGCTCATGCATTAACCTGCGTGATTGGCGCCTGGTTCTCCAGCGGCAGTCATGTAGAAAATTGGCGCGCTTTGCTCCATGCTTTGATTGGAGGTTGAAACACTCCTGCAGGATCGCTAAGTGAATGCTGCGTTCTCGACCAACAAGAGAATGATGTGGAAAACAAATACAGTCCTTGGCCCAAACTATATAAATAACTGTTTCCACGGTATCTATTAGCCTTGAATTTCTCTTACCATTGATTTTTCTCTTAAGTCGGACATTCAGATGGAGACCAAAATTTAAGAACCAAATTTAAGACGGGAAAAAGATGGCCAAAGTGGCATATGTCTGATGTTATTATTTTCCAGCGTAACTTTCTCTATGATTCAACCATGACAATTTTACGTCTGTCTGAGCTTACTGTTTCTAAAGTTACATGTGATTTTTGAACCAATGAATAGTGTTGCTTTTTGAACGGAGATGCTTGGTCGCATAGGCCTACAGTGCAAGATCATTAACGACTCTTAACAGACTAGGCACCATACTTGTGTTGAAGCCAGTTGCAATTCGACTGGGTCTACTTTTAGTGTGATATAATTTGATCATGAAAATGTAGTCTGGTTCCCAGACCAAAAGATTCTGACATTTCTGATAAATTTTAGTTCAGGTAGCCGCCACATTCAAAAATGTTTTATAACGCAGCAAAGCCCGCCCTCGTACGAGTGAATATCATAATTCAGATGCTGGGTATTACGCCTGACATTGATAAAAAAAATTTTTTAAATGTAAGCAATGAATTTATGAACTCAAATTGTTCAGAACGGATTAAAACTATTTTACGCCCGAGAAATTTCCCGAGCAGTTGAAATATCCGAGTGTATTCGGTAAGCTTCGGATATTTTCGGATATGGGCAGGACCCAGACCGTTTTTGTCATGTACATGTACGTACCGTGGCGGCTACCGGACCTAAGATTTGTCCGAATAGATATAATCTTTCGGCCTGGGAACCAGACTAATGAAAACGGTCTTATTTACAAACGGAATTTGGGTGAGTTTTCAACATGTGCGCTTCACGAGTTCACTTCTAGTTAAACTGGCTATCAACGAGTGCAATATAACCTACAATGACGATATGCCCCCTCCTTAAAATGGGAGCGAGATGAAAATGCTCGAACTTCATGTTGATTCGTATAGTTAATCGCGTAGAAAAAGCCGTGGATTGTTCTTAACAACTTGCTTTTTTAAATCCTCGGTATCTACATAGAAATGTATATAGGGCCTATACACATGAATTAAATTGTGGCAGTTCCACAGTGCGGCTGACGTTTGAGAAACTTCCATACACAAAATATTACACCTGACAAATGATATTTGCAAA